TTCGAAAGCCATTACAATGAAAACTACGATTTTACTCATCTTTATATGTATTATAAGTTGTTCATTTTTTCTTCCCTTTCATTTCTTTAAAGCCTTTTGCCTTTTCATTTTGAATTAGTTGCCGTGATTAATGTGGCATACTCAGCATCATTACGAGAGTTGACCTTCATAAAAAGTTTGTTTTCTCGCGAAGATATACCGAAGTTGGTACTAACTTCCATCGTAAATCGACGAATTGATTAAGTCATGACTTTATATGGAAAATCTCTGTGTTACAGCAACTCGAAAAATTTTTACAATACTACTGAGCAATCGTTAAACTTACTTCTGAACTCATTGGATACAAACAACACTCAAATAGACGTTTTTTAATCGTTACTCACGTATTGTAAGCATGCTTAACCGTGTTAAATACAACTCGCGAATCCCTTGTCTTGATCACTTGATTGTGAATTCGCACTCTAGTTTCTCATGAAATGAACTTCAAGGTATGATAGACGCCTACATTGATGACATTTAGATGGTTCATAAGTGCGAAGTATCCTTAGGATGTCCGAATCGAGTGAATATGAAGACAGTTGATCAAATAAAATCATTGGCCAATGAATTGCGAAAATTTACTTTTTATATGGACGATGCATCCGTTACTGAGCCAATGAGTATTTCAGTACTTCAGTTCATGAAAACATGAACTTCATTTGCATGCATAACTTTATTTTTTCAATGTCTTTGCTAATGACAATTAACCGATTAATAAAGAAATCTTAATTTAGAAATTGCTATTCAAATTAAATTGCTAAAGTGAGCACACATTGTCCGCAAAATTCTGATAAATACTTGTCAAAAAACATACGAAATTGTTTGTACAATCAAAAAATACTTTTGCGCGAATGTTTACGAAGATCAGAAATATCGAACATCACTGTACTGATCTGTATCTGATGTGTACTGATATAATGGACAATAAATTGAAGGCACATTATGTTATATTTACTGGACGATATCATTGAAGATATCATCGTATTATTAGCTATGATAATAATTAACAATCAAAGATTGTAACACGCGCAATCAGTTGTGATGGATTGGATTTAACATGGATTCAATGGATGTGTTCAATCATGTTAAAACCTGAGTTATGGACTATACTTTGATAACACTTTTTAAATGTTTGAAGCATTGTTGTCTATCACTTAATTATATCGTTTAACTCAATTCAATTCAATAACAAATTTATTATTGTTCTGATTGAAATTTAACAAATAATCACGGGCGAAAGTACCAAGTAAAGCAACTTTACATGGATTAAACTGGTTTCAATTTGCAAGAAAACAAAGCAACAAAGATACATTCAGCGATAGATTGTTCATCAATGCTACGATCAAACAATTCAGGTAGATATAAAGACGAGCTCAGATCTATTCAATTCATTAAAGTTATTCAAAGTTGTTACTAAAACAGTTTACTTTTGATTTATTAACATTGACTAACTAATTTGGAAGCTAATACAATGAAAACTGCGATTGGACTCATCTTTTTATGTAAGTTGTTCATTTTTTGTTAACTTTTCGATTTCATTTAATGTCTTTTTTCATTTTAAATTAGTTGCCGTGATCAATGCATCATACTCCATATCACTACGAGAGTTGGCCTTCATGAAAAGTCTATACGCTCGTGAAGATATGCCCAAGCTGGTACTAACTGATATGGTAAATCGACGAATTGATGAAATCAGGACTTTATACGAAAGAAAACCGATTCTTGAAGATGCAAAAATCTTTTGCAATTCAACTGAACAATCGTTACAATTACTTTTGGAATCTATGGATTCAAATGACACTCGAATCAATGATCTTTCTGACAAGGGAAGTATCCCAAACGCTACGATCAGATCTTGGTAAAAAATATGCCATTAAATTAGGCTAGTCCTAAAACCCTAGAGGGCGCTCGCTTAAAGGTTGCAAATTTTTCTTTCAAGAAAAAAAAAGCGTTTCACTTATCAAAATTTAGTCATTTTACCGTCAAATTTTCATCTTTTTCACCTGTTTTTTCATCAAATATGGATTTTAATCCACTCAATGTTCTATTTTTGTGTAAACAAAAGTTTCAAAATGCATCTCCCGAACTCGAATTAACCACACCAACAATTGAAGAGTCACTTTTTGCTGACTCCATGTACGCTCAACTTAAAGCCAAGTCAGAACAGACTCTTGGTCGAAGAGGAGTATTGCTTGGACTACGGAGATGACGCCGACAGTGACGATGAGTGTACACTAGTTCAACCTGTTGCAAGTACATCACAAAGTGCTGAACCAATGGAAATATCATCTTCGTCTCAAGAAACTACAACTAGTGAGAAAACATCAATCGATGAACCAGCAGATGATTCTCATAATAAAAGACCTGCTGATCTTGTAGTTAGTGCAGAGAAAATCAAGAAAATAGTAGAGTTTACCAAAGATCATTCATATGGACAAGCTGCTAAAAAATTCAATAAGTCAAAGAGTTTCATTCAAGATGTGATTGAATCACAAAGGTCAGGTGGTACAAGACGAGCTAAAGTCCAAAGCGTAAAAGATTATTGCCAATCAAAATTTGCCGAGCACAGACGCAATGGGAACATCATTCATTATTGGAATATTCAGGAATGGGCTAGACAACAAGCAACTGCTGTTGGTTTGGAGGGATTCAAAGTGTCTGCTTCTTTTTTGAATAGATTCAAAAAGGCCAATAATATTGTGAGCCGCAAAATAACAAAGTTTTTAACAAGACGTGAAGTTACTAGTGAGGCAGAAATCTTACAAAGAGCAAAAGAATTTGTGAATGACATTAATGCATTTACTGCAGAAAATGGCTTCACAGATGGAATTGTTCTCAATACCGATCAAACAAAGGTTGAGTACGAGATGACTGGTAACAGAACTTTGTCAGTAAGAGGGGAGAAAGAAACTATTGCAAGAGTACAAAATCAATCTTCAACAACTCACTCTTACACAGTGCAGCTCTTCATAAGAAAATCTGGCTACTTATCGAAAAGACTTTATATCTGTCTCCAAGAGCCTACAGGTAAATTTGGGCCACAGGTTCAGCAGAAAGTTAATGCAGCAACCAGGACGTTTCCAGCAATAGTTGCAGATGCCAGCAGAAGTGGCAAGATGGAAAGGAAAAATTTAATAAATTTCGCAAAAAACATTCTTGGCCCTGAACTCTCTGATCGAAATCTTTTATTGCAAGACTCTTTCACTGGTCAATCGGATCAAACCATTTTCACTGAAAATATTGGTGATAAAGAATTAGTAATAAAGACGAATCCGCCAAAGACAACCATATACGTGCAACCTTTGGACGTATATTTCTTCCGCCAATATAGAATACTGATGAGAAGATTCTCTGATTATACTCGCAGTTCATTATCTAATGACGAAGCTGAAGAAAAATTGAGAGATAGAGAGTTCATCATCAAGATGAATGCCATTGCTCATAATCAGCTATCATCTCCGGTATACAGACCGATGCTTGTTTACGCTTGGCAACGTCCAGGTTACACAGTGGAAGAGCAAGTTTCCAGCTTTCAAAGCGTATTGGAGATCAATTTCTCTAATTTTAACGACCCATGTGTTATTGATGATTGTGACAATCAATGTTTCATCGTTTGTTCACATTGTAAACAACCCTATTGCTTTAAACATTTCATTGTAATTCCCCATTATCATAGTCTTCTCTAACTTTGTACCCAATTATCTCATCAACCGATAATTTGCAACCTCAAAGAATTTCAGGTTAATAAACATTCAAAGAGACAAAAAGAAATAACTGAGTTTCATTCAATTCCTATCGTAGCGTTTGGGATACTTCCCTTGTGAGTCTTACTCACATATTGTGCGACTTATAAACGATGTTAAAAGTATCATGGGAATTCATAATGGTGATTATTTGTTTATGGATTCGCGCTATATTTTCTCGAAAGATAACCTACAAGCTATGATGGACGCTTATATTGGTGACATTGAGATGGTTCAAAAGTGTGAAGTATCCTTAGGACGTCCAAATCGAGTTGATATGAAAATCGTTGAACGTATAAAGTCATTGTCCAATGAATTGCAAAATTATTATTTTCCTAAGGACGACGGATTCTTTGCTGAGGTGAGCAGTATTTCACGAAAAACAATGGACCAGTGTTTGTGGCGATTTGAATTCTTGTTAAATAAGTTTACAGCAACCTTCATCAATTTTAAGATGTAATTTTGGAGTTTTTTGTCTATTAATATGAAATTGAAATAAAATTGAAGCATTAAATAAAATTGTTCCACTCAATTATCGCATTGACGCGCTGGTATTGGCACTGTGGTTATAAAAAAGTAAGCTATACTTATAACCCTAATGGATTCAGCGCATATGACCTTCAAACCCACCAAGTCCTTACATCAAACCTGAAATTCAATTTTTTGAATTTCCTCATGCATTTCAATCGTTTTTTCTACTTTTAACACTAACAGCTGCATTTAATGGGTTAGTTTCACCCAGCTATTAGGTACACAAAGTACTGATCCGGTCTTAAAGTTGTTGCAGACGCTCGGCTTTTACCCGAAGACTCGTGTTCCGTAATATGAAGATTCTCTGAAGACATGCTACAGATGTCCTCAATAATTGGCTTGTTTAAGACATCTCTTGTGCTCAGGCACAAATATGTAAATGAACTTTATTTTGTTCCTAAGTTTGAAGTCCTAATTTGATGAATTACGAAAAGTTCCATTGATTTTTGATGAAATCGCTTTCAAACTTTTATTCTATTCTTTCATCAGGTTTGCATTTTATTTACAACGAAATACGATAAAATCTTATTTGTTCTGATAATAATGATGGTGACTCACAATATTATTAATAGTTATAAATCTCGAACTTTTTAATGTAGTTGATGGAATTAAAATGGAATCATTGAATGTATACAATTAGGAGATAAAAGTCTGTGTAATTGACTTTACTTTCATGCTTAAGTGTTTGTCACTTAATTATATCTTTGAACTCAATTAAATAACTTTATCAAGTTAAAGATGTTGAGTTATATTCAATTCATTTATTAATAAGTTGATCAAGTTGTCACTAAAACAGTTTACCTTTGATTTGTTAACATTGACTGATTTGGAAGCCATTACAATGAAAACTACGATCGGACTCATCTTTTTATGTAAGTTGTTCATTTTGTTCTTGACTTTTCCATTTCTTTTACTCTCTATTACATTTTAAATTAGTTGCCGTGGTCAATGTGTCATTTTCCTCATCACTACGAGAGTTGAACTTCATTGAAAATCTGTACACTCTTAAAGATATACCGAAGCTGGTACTAACTTCTATGGTAAATCGACGAATTAATCAAGTCAAGGCTTTATACGAAAGTGTTTCGATTTATAAAGACACAAAAACCTTTTACAATGCTACTGAACAATCGTTAAAATTAGTTTTGGACTATATAGATTCAAATAACACTCTCATCATGAATATTTTTAATCGCTACTCACGTATTGTTCGCCTTATATCCAATGTTGCCGAACAAACGGAAATCCCTAATTTTGATTACTTAAATTTGGGTTCTGGCTTCGTTAATAGTTTACCAAGGAAGGAGCTTCAAGGTATGCTGGACGCTTATATTGATGACATTGAAATGGTTCGTAAGTGTGAAGTATCCTTAGGACGTTCAGATCGAGTGGACATGAAAATCGTCGATCGTCTAAAATCCTTGTCCAGTGAATTGCGAAATTATCATTTTTATAGAGACGATAGAACCGTTTCTGATTCACAAAGTATTTCTCAAAAAACCCTAGATCAATGTTTGTTGCAACTTGATTTCTTGATGATTCACTTTATGCTAAACTTCAAAAATTCAAACATATCCCAGCCGAGTGATACATTGACGCCATTCAATGAGATTGGATCGCATCCCAGAGAGCTTAAGCGCATAATCGCGCTAAAAGCTCGATAAAAATTAAATTTGAACAAAAACATTCCCCAATTCAGACTTTATCAACTGACTCAAACCTGTTTGGCTAATTCTCCAACCACTGTCCTAGTGAATTATTTAGAAGATTAAAGTACAATTAATGAAGTCTATTGTGGAAGCAGACATTAATATTGACATTGACATTAATACTTTTGTTCAAATGAGAATTAAACGAAAAAATACAAATGACTTCTGCGTTTTTTTTCCTGAAATCCTAGTGATTGTAAAAATGTAACAATTTTCACTCGACTGGGGTAATTTTGTAGTTTAATTATCTATTAAAATTTATTCAATTGATAAAGGTTTATTGTTATTGTTTTATAATAATCTAATTACAGTCACCATTGAGATAATGCACCATCGAGATAATGCACTCATTTTTTCAATGGTCCCCATTGAGGAGGAGTTATATCGTCTTTTGAATTTCGTCAAATTTTGATTCGATTTCTTTAATTATCAATTGATTTAATTCAATTTCCTTTCGTGAAATTTTAATCCAAAAACTCGCAAAAGTAAATTAAAGCAAAATTAAAGGTTAAATTTGATCTAATAAGGAAGATTGAAAATCATGAATAACGCTGCCCGAAGAATAGTGAAAATAAGCTATTCCCAGTGCGGTGCATTATCTCAATGGTGACTGTATTCAATAAAATATTGATCATAAAAAGAAAACTTTTGTTATGCTAGCGACATCTCTTTATTAGTTTTCACACTATTATTTAACTGTTGAAACTGAAGTAAATTGTGTAGTATAATTGATTGTAATCAGTCTTGCTGTTAGGAAACCAAATGAGGAACTTTTATCAAAAATTTATAATTATAATAGATTAATATTGTGAGATTATTGTTTATTGACCCTTGATTGTCAATAAATCATATTGAATGATTATAATTAGGGAAGGCCAACAACTTCGGCCAGGAGTAAGATAAGAGGTAAGTACTGTAGTCAATGAAATTTGCTAATGTATTGCAAGTTTATAATAATAAAATCCATATTATATTTGATTTAACTTTATAAAGAAACATCACAATTAAACAATTGTAAAAAAATATATTACTAAGATGAGTTAGTTGATTGGTGTTTATACAATTTGAATGTGAATGCAACTATTTTTAGGTTTCATCAGTTATTTACAATAAAGTATCATTTGTAAGCACGATGTTATCAATCAAAGTGGAAACGATTGGTGTTAATGTTGGTTTGGTTTTTAATGTTGATTTCCTGGTTAACTGTTGATTGGCATATTCTTGGTCGTAGGGTTTATCCTCGAAGGAACAACATTTACAGGTTTGACCAAACATTGACCAAACATAGGTTTGTCCATCTGTATTGAAACTTGTGCATCTTGAACGAGTCAAATGGTGACATGGAGTTGAGGTTATACAAAGAGATGGGATGCAATTGAATTGATGGGTAACAAAAAGTCCAAAAGTTGATCCAAAAGTGAATACTAATTGAAACACCAAAAAAGTAAACACTGTCAATAGATTACAATCATAAATTAAATCAAAATGTAAAAAATGAAAACTTTGAGCCTGAATATCTCGGGAATGGCAGTGCTTACAATCAGAATTCTTTCAAAAATTATAAGATTTATAATATAATACGACTGAATAACAGAAAATTCGCTGTAATAACGCATATCCTTCTAACGCATAATAAGATTTGTGTCTGAATAACAATTACTTTTAAAAATCAAGTATCAAATCTGACAATGATACAATGCTGCTATCTTGAACGATTTGAAATATCTCGATATGTTAAAATAAGTTACAGCTCTAACTCTTACTGTCACAGAAAGCGTAAGGTTTAACCCAAATCGAAGTGATCTGTTGTACCGAAATAGAGAGTTTTGTTTCCCGAATTAAGTGCTTTAAATAACTCATTTTCTGGTTCATCAAAAGTTACACCAATAGAGTGTTGTACATCTAGTATTATCATAACAAATTTTTGCCTACGAACAGTTGTGATCGACTTGATAATACATGTATTTAGTATATGATATGATGGTGACTCGTGCTGTTAATTTTTATGCATGTTTATGATATACACAATGGTTTTAGCACGTGAATTCATTAATGATAATTGCTTTGCATGGGACCATTGCAAGTATTCAATTATAAGATAAAACCTCGTTATGGACTTTATTTTGTTAACATTATTTTTAGTGTTTGAAGCATTGTTGTTTATCACTTAATTATATCTTTTGCCTCGATTCAACAACAAAGTTATTATTGATCTCATTGAAACTAAACAAATAATCATGGGCGAAAGTACCCAATGATTCAATTTTACGTGGATTAAACTGGTTTAAATTGGCAAAAAAGCAAAACAAAAAAGATAGATTTATCGATAGATTGTACATCAATTAACAAATCAGGTAAATATAAAGACGAATTAAGATTCACTCGGTTCAATTCATTTATTTGTATCAAGTTTCTACTAAAACAGTACAACAACTTGTAAGATTTACTAACATTGGCTGATTTGAAATCCATTACAATGAAAAATACGATTAGACTCATTTTGCTATGTAAGTTGATCATTTTGTTTTTGACTTTTCAATTTCTCTTAATTACCTTTTCCATTTGAATCAGTTGCCGTAATCAATGTGTCTTACTCCGAATCTACGATGATGCCATCACTACGAGAGTTGGATTTCATAAAAAGTCTGTATCCTCGTGAAGATGTACCGGACATGTTACTAACTTCATTGGTAAATCGACGAATTGATCAAGTCAAGACTTTGTATGAAAAGTTTTCGTCTTATAAAGACTCAAAAGACTTATACAATAATACTGAGCAATCGTTACAATTACTTTTGGAATCAAATCGCACTTCAAACGCTGATTTTTATAAAGCTTACGAACGTATTGTGGACCGTATAGTCGATGTTAACTACATCATGGGAATCGATGATAATGAACACATGACTATAAATACTCTCTTTGAGGATACCGAAAGCTATGACCTACAAGCTATTTTGCTGAGCGCTTATATTGATGACATTGAGATGGTTCGAAAGTGTGAAGATTCCTTGGGAAATTCATACAGAGTGGATATGAAGATTGTTGATCGTCTAAAATCATTGTCCAGTCAATTTCAAAATTATCGTTCTCATAATGCCAATGGATTCACTATTAAGGCGAGTAGAGTTTCACAAAGCACAATTTATTTATGTTTGTGGCAATTTAGACTCTTGTTGAAGCAATTTACAGCAACTTTCACCCATTATTTGATATAATTTTGGAGTTTCATTGCTTATTGTGCTTGAATATTGAAAGTGAGCTCACAGTTTTTGTCTGCTTTCAAAGCACTGATGGATACAATTAAACCTTTTCAATTTTCACAAACCAAATAGTACTTTTCAATCAGCTCCAATAAGCATAAATATTTAACTACACAGTGCGTCTCAAAAAGATAGCACCACTTGTAACATTTGCGGTGAATTGTTGAATTTAAATTGACATGAAAATAGGCTTATCTTTAGTCCAAGTCTACTAAAACTGTGTAAAAATGAAACCTTTCCTTGGCTGGATGAATAAATGAATTTTTATTTGATGTCAGTACAATGTATTTTCATGTTAAATTGTATGTTAACTTTAAAATTTGATTTTGGTTAAGTACTTATTTCAATATCAACCACGTATTCAGCTTGCAATTTATTTCAGTTACTTTCAGTTAGTTTCAGTTCAGTTCAGTAAGATCTTAGCCTCAAAGACGATTTTCCAATTAGATTTAACAAATAAATATAAAACTTATGGATTGAACATGGCGCGAGAAAGGAAATTATTATCGTCCATTATTTGGCGTTGATGCATCTAACTGATAACAAGATTATGATGCCCTGAATAGCTGGTGAAAAAGAAACCAGTTGATGAACAACTCTAATATTGAGATTTATCAATTTGCATATTTGACTTGAGAGCCAGCAACATTATTAACGATTTTGAGGTCATGATTCGAATGCAATTGAGGGACAATTTCAGGGAAATTGACAATAAATTTTGCACATTTATTGTAAGATTATAATTAAATTTATATCTCATTTGATTTAACTTGATAATAAAACATCACAATCAAAACAATTATAAAAAATATATTACGAAGATGAGTTAGTTGATTGATGATTATACAATTTGAATGGGAATAAAACTATTTTTAGGTTTCATCAGTTATTTACAATGAAGTATCATTTGTATTCACGATGTTATCAATCCAAGTGGAAACGTTTGGTGTTAATGTTGGTTTGATTTTTAATGTTGATTTCCTGGTTAACTGATGATTGGTATATTCTTGATCATCAGGTTTATCCTCGAAAGAGCAACATTTACAGGTTCGACCAAACATTGACCAAACATAGGTTTGTCCATCTGCATTGAAACTTGTGCATCTTGAACGAGTCAAATGGTGACATGGAGTTGAGGTTATACAAAGAGATGGGATGCAATTGAATTGATGGTTAACAATTAATAGGAATAGGGAAAGGGAAACAATATTGAGGGTTGATTTAGACATTTGATGCACAGTATTGATCCAAAAGTGAATACTAATTGAAACACCAAAAAAGTAAACACTGTCAATAGATTACAATCATAAATTAAATCAAAATGTATAAAATGATAAAAATTAAAATCGAATGAAACATTTGATTGTAAAATTAGTTAAACTTTTTTCTCACTAATTCTCCTTCTTCAAGACCTTGTCTTGATCACTTATAATTTCCTTAATTTTTCAACTTTCATTTCTTCCAGCAATTATTCAATAATATAGATGAGAAAATTTAACGAATCAAATTTTCAAGTGGCAGTGAATTAAGCTAGTTACTAACAATTATTACCAAATTGTGAATATAAAAATAAAAATAATTAAGTATTTAGCTAAAGTTTAAAACTTTTGATATGACTTTACTCATTGTATCACTTCAACGAGTTGATGATTGGGTTAAGATGATGATTATGAGTCCTTGAATGTCCTGGAATTGAAGAGTGAATATTTATCCTTCAATCGATTCTTTGGTTAACCAATTGACTCTTGAAAAAAGTAGTTAACAAGAATCCAATATAATTTGACTGATCACATTTTGTTGCCATCACCATCATTAGGACCGAACTTTAATTACCTTGTTTTTGTCTTAATTTTTCTCGCTCATTCGAGTTTACCATTTTATCCAACTGTCAAGGTATTCAAGTTGATTAACGTTAAACTGTAGTCAATTAATCGTGTCAAATGGATTCCTCAGCTGATAAAAAGGGAAGAAGAAATCGATTCCTTGACATTAATGCTAAAGCAAAGGTTAACAGTCCGGTTGCCAGATTAACAGCCATGTTTACCATTAACGGTGGACTCTGAAGAACCGGTAATACATTGAGGAGGACAGTTAACGATAAATAAGTTGAATATATAAATAAAAGCCAATGATGTTCCCGAATAACAGCCAATAATCCAATGACATGAATAATAAAGGTAAATGTGGTTCCAATGGCAAGTAAAGCATTCTCCATTTCAACTCGATCAATGTAACCCGAAGCTTCTGAATAAAACGGTGAAGAAGACGAATCAAAGTCAACCTGATTTTAAGGAATAGATTGCACTTTGTGAACAATTAAACACATAATTGCCAACAAGGATAACACTTTAACCAAAATAAACAACACAGAACGTGGTTCAGGATCATAATCCAATTCATCTTTCATATTGGGTAACAATGGGGTAACCAGGGAGATACCGGTATCTCTGGTTACCTAGGAAATACTGGTTAAACCAATTAAACAAGAGTTTGACTGAAAATTTTGGCTTGGCGGTAGAGTTGAAATGTCGGTTAACCAGGGAAAACCAAATTTTCTGGTGAATTGACTCTTGAGTTTACATTGTATTGAAAGAAACTGTTCAACTAAAAGGTGAATCGTAGTGTTGTTTAAGATAGTGATGGTGATGATGATGATAAAAATGAGGAGGATGATACTGAATGACCAGTTCTTCATTTAATAAAGCGAATGACCTCAATCGTCGTTATTTATTGTTGAATATATAAATGGCATCAAAACGAACTAGTTTCTTTATTATCTTTTAATATAACTCACTTTTTTCATCTTATTTCGTCTTTAGATCATCATCCATCTTTATTTTTTCCTCTTCATGCCTTGTATTAATAATACCTTCAACCTCTTACCTACTTTTTAATGTTTCCAATTCAACTTTCTTTTCATTATTATCTTTCTTTTTCTGATAAATCATTAAAAATCACGTTGAATTTGGTTACACACTTTGTTTCGCATAAATCAACAATCACTTTGTTGGTGTTTTTCAATACAAAGAATGGATAAAAAATGGTTCAGTGATTGCCATCGTTCATGTTGTTATTTCACATTTGTTCATCTTTTTCAACATTTTCATCGTGATTTTATATTAATCATGTACTATTGTTAGTTACTTTAAGTCCTTTAACATGAAGTTGAAGAGGATAGTCAAAATGGGTTAGTCCTTGGTGTCTGTCAGGAGATTGATAGGAACATTCAATCCTGAGATCAGACTTATAGTACTAGATGGTTCCATATTGAGTGTTGGTTAAATGATGATTGCAATTATAAACATTATTACTTATGTGGGAGAGTCACGGGATTGTGATGAAAAATTAGAGTTGAAATCAAATTGTTCAACCGGTTCTTTGTCAAGATGATGACATCTAAAATTTAGGCTCATCTGTTTCATATGATTAAATTGGAGGCATAATTAACACGTAGCATCAGCATTGTGATTGAATCATGTTGATAAGCAAGTTGAGTAAAACAAAGGTAACAAATGATTTCTTCCTCTTTGTTTACATCCAAGGCTGGAATGAAAGTCAAGGTAAGTATCACATTAATTCGGATATTTCCGGGTAAATTTAATATTTTTTTCATCAGTTAAACCGGAGGTTATAAGAAGATCACTTTCGTTTTGGCTATTCGAGCTTTAAAATAGCATGTTCTTCATACTGTTGTGTTAGTACACAGTACAGAAAGAGATAACATTTGATATTTCGATAACGAATGATCTTGAATAACCTTATAGCTCATAATTTATGATGCTTTTATCCAGAATAAATTGAAGTTTAAATAAAGTCAAGCTCAGATAGTTATCATTGATACAAGCTGAATACAGATTATAAAACACCTTGTTCTTGCTGTAATAAGAGATATTAGGAATATGCTTTGCTGGATAATCATTGATAGCAGAGGTATTGAGGAATCGTTATAACTACATCGTTAATGAATGGATGAGATTTGAACTTAAACACTAGAAAGACAAAACAGAGACATTTTTAGAAGCAGTCAAACAAATTCAACAATAAGATGAAAAATAAAAAACATGAAAAGATGCATGATTAAATACACTCTAATGAAGATTGAATAATTTCAAGGATCAACATCTTTCAAAAGAGTCAATTATTTATAGTCACGTCTCAATCTCGATATATTGAGATGCAAAGTGTTAGAAAAGGTTTAGTTTTAAAAATAAGGATTCCATCCTTAACTGGAATAAATTTTTCGATTAGTAGAGCTAAAAAATCATAAAATCAATCAAAAATCTCATCCTTTCTGTTGCTTTCATAAAATTGTTGAAAAAAGTTTTTGTTAATTCATTTTGAGTCAATAAATTAACCAGAAGATGGCGTATTAAACGTTAACTTTAGTTTCAAGTTTTCATCAAGTTGACGATAACTACGAAAACTTTATAATGATTAAGGAAGCTATTAATCTGATAATTAAAGAGTAAAGTTCGGCATTTTTTAACTATTGTAAAAAATTGGGAAATAAATTGGTCTTGAATTTCGCTGTAAACTGTAGTTTTGAAAAGTGAAAAATACTTTGATTTATTGGATTAGTTTTCACAATCAATCCATTTAGCTCAACTTTTATTGAGATGATAATCAATTATAATTGTTGCTAAAAGTTTTCTATTTATTGTTACCTTTCAATAAAAACTGATCAATAAATCGTTATAAAGTTTTCAAAAAAACGCAATTTTTTGTTAAAAACGTGAATGAATTGCTTTTGTACTTGATATCCATCCGATGGTTTTACAAAAAAATATATTTCCAAATTGATGTTGATTTGTGTGGTTTGACCAGTTCTTTGACCATAAAAATCTTTATTTTTGGCTATAATTTTGGACTGATGGGCTAAGAAATTATATTAGGCATGATTTAGAGTTGAGTTGAAATCGGTTTGCCAAAATAATTAAATGTGAGTAACGAGTCACAATTAGATTGTCAGTTGTAATGATGGTTAATGAGTTGGTTACATTTACACGATATTCAATACTCGGTTGATCAAACTTCACCTAGTTATGGTCTTTACTATTTTTGAATAAAATACATCGATTAACCGATTTAACCTTGATTAATGATTGTACTAAGCTGTAATGAACAAAAAATAATGTTAAATTCAAATTGACTTTGATCACTTAAATCACATTTTTGCCTAACCAAGCATAAAAAGGTAAATCATAATTTGATATTGAAAAGGCTTTTACCAATAAACACTGTTTACATTAAACCTGGTTATATCAAACAAATTTTTTATTTAATTAACATTTCACTAACCTTTACAATCACAATTATTGAGTCCAACACCATTTAATTAGTTTAATTAAAACACATTTCAACAAAATATATTCATAAATATTGAACATCAAAAACAAAAAAATTTAAAATCTTGATTTTTCATTGATCTTAAACTTTGAACTAGTGACATCTATCTAAATAGAAACAAATGAAATTAGCTTTTTTCGTATCAACTAACAAAGTCAAAGTTAAAATGGTTAAACAAGGAAGATTAACTTGTAATTCACTAATTAGTATTTCATTTAGAAGTGTAAATTATGTAATTTAATACGAAAAATGGTAGCGAAAAGGGTTTGTGTTTCATCAGGTATCTGAATAAGGGTTGAATCTCAAAATTTGAACCCAAATGGTAAGTTCAATGGTTAGTCTTGTTCAACATTAACCGTTCATCAACATCTCTACAATCAATGGTAACAATTGAAATTGTTTAAGTGAAAACAAACATTCAACCTGTTTATTGCAATATTACACAGCATCCGGAATCTCACCATCACCTTCAGGTTTACCTCCTCAACCACTTCATCCTCCTCCATGACTTACACACCCTGCTACTCTTGACAACAACTTACCTTTCTCATCATTGACTTTAACACGGTAAGCAAATCACGATAAACTCTCATTACTATTATTTGAACATTAATTAATGTACAGTTGAAATAATTGTTGTCGTGTCAACGTTGGTTAGCAAATTTGAAGTAGTAATTCAAAATGTCTGATTATTTTGCTCCGAGAGAGGGAAGACGAATCAACCAATTTAATCATTAGTCCTAATAACAGTTTATCAAATTATAAAAATTAAAAGACTTTGACCTTCCTTGGTAACCAACTAATTGTCCAACAATCATCAACATCAACAACAGCAAACTCTAATGTGTGAGACAAACCTTGTTTTTGTCAAAAAATCTGTATCTTTGTACAACCAGCAACATCAACAACATCAAACGGTAACACCAACAACTCCACCATCAACTGGTCCAAACATTTGATTCACTTAATGTACCTTTTACAATAACGTTAATACCACCAAATAGTGAATTATTAATTGCAATTGTCCAAAAATTTAACCATTCTGGTTGTTCCCTTCAATTGTTGTCTCTACGCTTCAACGTCTGATGTCTTCTTCTGACAAATCATAACGCTCTTTTTACCCATTTTTGTATTTCTTTGCATAAAACTGCTTCTTTTTTTTGTGAATGCATATTATTGTTAGCTGTTTATATCCTGTTCAGTGTATCAATTGATTGTTAAGCATGAAAAATGAAATGAATTTAAAACACGTTACCATGTTTTAGTGAAAGTATCAACCCTGAATAACAATGATTGAATTGAAATTTTAGCTCTTTTTTCTTCTCTCTTTATGTTAAACTTGTGCTTTCACTTTCGTCCATTTTGCTTTGGGTTACTGGTGTTACTTTTGCTGTAACTTCTGATTCTTCTTTTGGTAAGTATTATGTTTCTGATTATTAAATTTAATTTCAAAAACAATTGTAATTGTTACCAGTTGATAATTTTTAAAACCTTACAACAATAATAAACAATAACAACTGACCTTATTTAGTATTGTTAATATCTTCTGATAATTTGTTTTCTTCATCTGCTTCTTCTTTACCATTTTCTTAGTGACTCGTTTATGGTGTTAAATTATCTTATGGCAGGAAACATGAAGGTCTCAGTGTTTTAATCTAATTTACGTATCAATGTAAATTATCAATCATATGGTTTAATCTCATCATCATCTTACTCATTCTTTCCCTCATTTGGTTCAATCATCATCACATTTGACTCCTTGACTCCTTCTTCTTCCTCATCATCAATCCATTTGTTTCTCATTTCTTCCAGTTGAATTTCCTCTTCTTCTTGGGTTTCATTTGCCATCATCAATTCATCAGTATTATTAGTTAAAAATGAGCTCCAACTTTTACACTCATCTTCATCATCAACATTATTACATACTCAAAGCAACTCTATTTGCTATGTTTTACCTGTGTAACTAATTCCGTCTCATTTCATTGACTTTTTTTACATCCACTTGTTTTGTTTTGCCTGCAACAAAAGTAAATATTACGGGCCTAACTTGGTTCCTCATCAAAGTTCAAGGGAATCCTAATTGTTTATTTTATGTGTCTTCTGGTTTTAATTTAAATTGACATTCATCGTCTCTATCAATATCATTATCAGTGTCATCTTCATCCAGTGTACAGTTGAAAACACTGAACACAAGCAACAATTGACAGCTTTTATTGAGTGATGCAAATCATCACGTATTTCAAATGTAAGTTGACTAATTTCAATTGTTTTTGTTCAATCCTGTTAGTCTCACATTTACATGTTAAATCACTTTCCTCTGTTAAAATGAGTTGTTAATACATTTGTTTAATCTTGATTTTAATGTCATATTAATTCAGGCTAACGTTTTTAATTTATGCTGTCAACTGTAAAATATGCGGTAGTTGTAACTGTCCTTTTAACGATTGTCTGATTTTCAAGTTTAATTAGTCAAAATCTATCATTTTTTTCAAGTTTTTACACTTTACTAATCTTAATTAAAAAATTTTCTTTTATTGTCCCAAATAGAGTCATCTCAATGATTTAATAATCAACCAGGATAATCATCAATAGTACCTCGCCATGGTTGCTCCGTCATTATGGTTACTAACCTCAGTTTTGATTATGACCTTTGGTCATTTTGGCCACAAATCATGCCACCGATCGTGTTCACAAGTCACCTTTTACCTTCCACAATCACGTAACTCACAATGTTCAACTGGTAAATCAAGTTGCCTTATGGAGGCGACCATAACGGTTGATCCAACGGAGGATTTATTTGAACGAGTCAACATAACCTTAACACAGTTGACACCAGGCGATTATTTACGAGATCATGTAATGTTTTTCACATTAGTCTTTCCTGGTTATCGACGTTCATCAATACCATCATCATCTTCATCCTCATCAACATCTTACTCTCATAATACCATTAAAGATGATAATGGTTTAAATAATCCAACCAGCGGAAACACCAATGGTGGTTACCTTAGCAATACAGAGTCAAATAATGGTTTATTACCTTATGGACGTGAAAACAATAGATTTTACAATGATTTAACTCAATCATCCTCATCTTCCTCCTCTTCAGCCAACTCAGCTAACTCATATCTTCACAGCTACTCATCTAATCACAACCATCGCCACCATGGTGTTAATCAAAATTACAACCGAGAAACCACCGTAATCAATTATTCTTGTCGTCTATTGTCTACTGGCAATGCAATTGCCGAAGTAATTCAAGGAAATGGATTAAAATACAGTTATGTTTCCAATTCATCCAAATCATGTAGCTTCATATTTAATCGTTATGATTACCTTTGGCCTACTCTTTCAACTCACCAAAAAGTGGATCTAATAAACAATGGTGATTTCACGGTAACCATAGGATATGATGACATAACCAAAGACCTAAGACCAGAATCATTGCCTTTACATAAAATGGCTTTTCTTCGCTGTTGCCATAGACATCACGGTGGATCCAAATATCTAGTTATCATTGAACCTGCACCAACACCAATATCATTTTATTCATCCTCTTTAACCTCACAATCGTATATTCAACGTCGACCCGCGATTGATTTTTACCTTCAAGCCTACTCACCCATTCCTAGGACAGTAATTCTTGAACTAACCGGACCCAGTGAACAATCACTTCGAGTAAACGTTTCCAATTCCTACTTCAATGTATCAATATTAACTGATGGAGAATGGATCTCGGTCCTCAACAATTTAACCTTACCTCGAATCCCTCGAAGATCAGATCCATTTGATGATTTTCGCTTGAACTGGACTCTTCCCGTTTTACTTGAAACTCCTCGAGGATCAATAGTTATCGAGGAAGGTCAATATGTTTTAGATATTGAATCAGATGTTTCCTATGGCCATCGGGAAAAGGTTTATATAACTGGTAATGGCAATCAACTTCACTCGCCATCAACTGTCATTTCACTCTTGTTGCCAATCATTTTATGTATAGTTTTAATTCAACCAGATTGACCACTTTTTTTAAAAACCCAAACTAAAGATTAACCAATCTCAATGTAATTATAATTAGTTTCAATTTTATAACCATTGTGTTTTATAGCATTTATTAATATATTTAATATTATTAATTGTGAGTCTTTTATATATTTAAAAAATATTATTATGAATGTAATAAAAAAGCCACAGATTTTTGTATTGTAGAGATGGTACACATTCAATTAATTTATCGTAATCAACTGGAAAGGAAGTGACTCAGTTATCGTTAAATGTTCAGTTTAAATTGCTGTGAATCAATGTTCAGTTATTTCACCAGTTAATAGTTTAGCTTGAAATAATCATCTATTGGTTTTGATTTTTCAAGGCTTTTCCATAAAATTAAACCAACCAAGTTGGTTAATCAAGGCTGGTTAATTGATTGAATATTACAAAATGTAAAGCGTCTTCACCATTTAACCATCAACATCTTCAACTTAAACTCGTTTCCTTGACACAAATTTATCTTAATTGTTGACTAACAATGAGTTGAGTCAACAATCAGAAATGCTTTATTTTTAAATTCAACTTCTTACAGTTCACCTAAAATTAAGGTTTGCTTCTATTGTTATTTATGGACACATGACCAATCAATGAATCTTTCAAAACCCAAAAACCAGTTTCTGGTTATCAATCAATGGGTTGTGATTCGTTTTGATTTGGTTCATTTTAAGGTACAATTTATGGTATTTTAATAAACCATTTTGTGCTTTACAATCCAATATTTTGTTGTGTGAACTAAAAGTGAGAGCTAATCATCAAATCAACACCATGAAGTAGCTTTTCCTTATTTATATGGTCAGTTGATTTGACCTGAATAACATTTTTTAATATATAAATACATGATAATATCAATTGTGACAGAAGAGATACTTTCAATCATTATTGTCTATTGGTACAACTTAACTGTTGTTGTCTTTTTGTCATTGATACAATGGAAATGAAAATTTTCAATTTGATTGATAATTAAAATGGTTTCCACTGTTAATGGCCATTTAGTTAAATGTTTGCTTTAACCAACTAAGAGATTGGTGAATCATGTAAATGGGTAAAATCAATATCGATAATGTTTCAATGATCAACTGATTGGCTTCGTCTTCAGTCCAATTTGCTTGATTATTTCCTCATTTGTTTGCTTGGTTTTCCAGCGAATTAGGAAGAATGTCTAATTTCAATTTAAACGGACTGAGACACAATTTTTGGGAATCTCATGAAAATGAATGAACATTTTTCCATCCATGCCGATAAGGCTCAATTATCCAGTCTCAATTTGTAACGCATTACGGTCTCAATTAAGTAACATTTATTATTACTTTTCTCGAAAATATAAGTTATCTTAAATAACAGTCTTAATGACATTTCAAACTTTTATTATTTCATTGTTACGTATCCGTGAACTTCATTTGCCTTTTCCCATTTGTGGTTCAAATTAAACACTCGTGGTTTCAATTCGCTCAACTCAATTGAAATCAATGTTTTATTTGGAAGCAATTGCCAATAATCAAGCTAAACTGTACTTGGTATTAATAAATAAGACTTGCAATAAACTCAATATGCGAATAATTCCAATACAATTGTAATCAATTTTAAATCAGATGATAAGCAACTTTCAATGATGAAAGATATCAGATGGTACTGTGAAAAGCACAGAGAAATTAATTTCCCATGAAAAATCGAATGAAATCTAAAAAATTTGTATGAATTGAGTATCAAAAATGACCGAAACCAGAAAAACCAGAAACTGTTTACTCACCAATTTTGAACATATTTGTGTAACTGAAAAGCGAGTTTAACGTGAAATGATAATAGAAGTTAAATTGTAACGAGAACTTTGTTGCAATTTAAGGGTTATATAGATGTAGAGACACAATACGTCCGACTCATATAATTATATAATAATACGCCAATATTTCGACTCATCTTAAAAATATCTTTGCACTTTTAATAAACTAATGATTTGCCAAAAAATTGGGCTTCTGATATTCATCTAATACTGGAAAAATATCGACTATATCGGAAGGAAAATCCTTTGCGGAGCCAATAAAAATTTAAAAAATAAAATATAAGTTGACTTTCTGTGCAAGATAGATTCATAGATTGATCATTTTTATTATTAATAACTATTAGTTGAGAATCAAAAGGCGCTGAAATATCTAAAGTTTTGATAAAACTATGTCATAAATTATCCTGCAGATGGCAGCAAGTTGACAAGTTTAGGTGATGGTAGATGGCAGCTGCTGCTGATGCTGTTGCTGTTGCTGCGAGTCGAAGTTTAGATCAGCCTCTGAAGGTTTTATTTACATCCAAATGATACTCTAGATCGTAAAGACAATTGTCTCGATGTGAATTATCAATCAAATGGTTTAATCTCATCACCATCATCTTTCTCATTATTTCCTTCATTTGGTCAATCATCACCATTTTTAACTCCATCATCACCAACTTAAAGTCACTTCTTCTTCCTACTCATCACCAATGCATTTGTTTTTTATCTGTTCCAGTTGAATTTCCTCTTCTTCTTGGGTTTCATTTGCCATCATCAATTCATCAGTATTATTAGTTAAAAATGAGCTCCAACTTTTACACTCATCTTCATCATCAACATTATTACATACTCAAAGCAACTCTATTTGCTATGTTTTACCTGTGTAACTAATTCCGTCTCATTTCATTGACTTTTTTTACATCCACTTGTTTTGTTTTGCCTGCAACAAAAGTAAATATTACGGGCCTAACTTGGTTCCTCATCAAAGTTCAAGGGAATCCTAATTGTTTATTTTATGTGTCTTCTGGTTTTTAATTTAAATTGACATTCATCATCTCTATCAATATCATTATCAGTGTCATCTTCATCCAGTGTACAGTTGAAGACACTGAACACAACCATCTGACAACTTTTAATTTAAATAAGTAAAGCAAATCATCATCAAATGTAAGTTTACTAATTTCGACTTTTTTTGCTTCCCAAGCTGTGAATCTCTTATTTCCATGTTTTTGTCCATTTATATAAAAAAATCTTAACTCTAAATGAAAATATCCATGTTAAATTGAAATAAACATCAAACGAATTTACGCTGATCACATTGAAAAAATCGTGTTATAATGAATAATCTCATCTCAGAGATCTCTGTTTATCAATGTGAACTAGCTGTCAATCACTCGTGAATGAGTTATATTTGTTTTATTCATGTTTTCAATATTTAATATCATAAACTTTCAGCACTAAATTTTTATTAATAGTGAAAGTTATACATCTACTCAACACGTTAATTGAAAATGTCCTTCTAACAGTTATCTGATTTTCAAGCTAAATAGACGAATCAAAATCTATCTCCAAAGCTGAATCAATCTTCTAATATTGAAATTTTTTTTCTTCTCTTTCAAAACCAAAACAGAACCAGCTCAATGATTTAACAATTTACCGAGAGCATCAATAGACATCAAAATGCATTTTTTTACTTTGTTTATTTACATCTTATTTGTACCTTCAATCCTGACTTCAACCGAATCAGATGGAAGGTCTAAATGTGAAGAAATTACCGTTCCAATGTGCAGAGGTATTGGTTATAATATGACCTCTATGCCAAATCAATTTCATCACGAGAAACAAGATGAAGCTGGAATGGAAGCTCATCAATTTTGGCCGCTCGTTGAAATATCTTGTTCCGATGACTTGAGATTTTTCCTGTGCTCCATGTACACTCCAATATGCATGGAAGATTACACGGAAAGACTACCCGTCTGTCGTTCAGTTTGTGAAAGAGCACAGGCCGGTTGTGCTGCAATCATGTTACAATATGGTTTTCCTTGGCCTGAATCAATGGATTGTAATAATTTTCCCGTCTTTGGATCTCAAGAGCAACTTTGTATGGATCATAAAAATGGTGAAACACCTGGACCTGGAACTGTATCCACACAAGCATCCATACCATCAAAGCCACCACCACCTCATTACCCTTCAACAACATTTTATTCATTATCAACCGCACCAACTTCAACAATTTATCCTACGTTCAATAGTAAGTAATATTTACTCTCAACTAATCGCTATTTTGAAAAACTATCAACATTTTGCTATTCTAGTAATTTCTAGTGTTTCACATAACCGGTAACCAACTCTCCAACCCAAACCTTTGAATTTTAAATTCTCACTGAATTCCTGTGAAACCGTTTCATTTTTAAATCTACTAACGTAGCTGAAAAACTATCATTCAATTGAATACTGTAAATTAGCTTTGGCGTCCAATGGTTTCTCAAAATGTTACTGATTCAGTTATAGACTGATTTACACTGTAATAACAATGTCAATCATAATAAGTCAAGATAACTTTTATTACCATGCCATTTGTGGTGAAACTGAAATAGTTGAAATAAACCAAAGTAACCAAAATCTCTATGCACAACAACATTTCCAGGTTTATGTTTTTATTGACGAGAAAAGAAAACATTGTCAAAAAAAAGAAGACAAAAAAGATTAGTAAAAATGGTTCCTTCTGCTTTTCTGTTTCTCTTTTCATTCTAAATTTTGTTCCAAGCAAACTCTTTGTCTTTCTCCATCAATTCATGATTCAAATACCTTGAATTTTACCCAATAGATTCCCATGTTCTGTATTTCCTCAAATATCGATTTTATATTTTGTCAAGTCTCTTCTTGATACTTTAATTGTAACCATCTTTCCCTTTTCAACTCACAAACTCTTAATCTGACAGGCAAGGAAAAAAGAAAGAAAACGAATCTAAATAATAATTTCTCTCTTCGAACACTTGAACATAATTTCTTTAGTCATGTTATCTCATTTTCAAGCCAATAACTTTCGATCTTTTGTTTCCCACGAAATTCTGTTCTCTTATCTTCTGATACCAAATTAAGATTCCATTTGCGTGACCAAAGAATTGCACTTCAACAGTTACATGCAATATTTACTCATCTTCCAATGTTTACTCCAATTTATCGTTAATCTTTATCTCAATCCTTACAATACAAAAAGAGTCCACTTTTCGCAAAATACGAACATCTTTTGCGAATTTTGGTTCCCACGACAAAACGCAAACAATCCTCTGATAACCACCGGTAATTGTGTCTATTTGTGATAATCCTATCATTAGTTATTTGCTTTCGCGGCTTTTTAAACAATTTAATCTAATGACAGCAATTATATCTTTATCCATATTTGGATAAATAAATAGATGAGATTCAATATTTTTATCAATATTTTCATTTCACTTTCCAATGAGAATTAATTGTTTCATAAATGATCATCATTTGCATGTACTGCTCTTCAAATTATCTCTGTCTTTGAGTAAATTTCAAGTTTATTTCAGGCTCTAATCATCATCTCAACATTTGATTTTCAATTTTCTTGGCCATATCAGTAATGGTTTAATTTACCTTAATTGACTTGCAATGTTACCAATAAATCTTCATTAAAACTGCCTCTTACTGCTTCACATCAACATATCACACACACAAAATACTTAATTACATAATATTAATTTACCAATTTCACATTAATTGATATTGATGAGATGCTATAAGATAATTGGAAAAAGTCTTAAGGTAACATTGACGTCAACATGGTATAAGGAATAAAGATAATTCAAACAAATGTGAGACTTTGATTGACCAATACAATAGCCATTATACTGCAAGCCTTTCCATTCAACATTTGCTCTCTACCTTTCATGATAATGTCTATTTACTTTATCCTCTTTGAACACTTTTCAATCTTCATTCCTCCTTTTCTCATGGTAAAATTTTTCTCATTACAATCCATTGGAAATACATTAAGTCTTCACTTTTATACTGCATAATGATAAATACCATTATTTTTGCCCCTTTTTTGCCCTTATTTTTGCTGCTTCTCAAAGATACATAAGCTGAAAGTCACTCTGAATTAAATCTATTATCATTACAAGATACTTTGCTCCTTTCTCATTACAAACAAAATGTTACCATTCAGTTGTAATCTTACCTTTAATCTTGTAAAAAGCAGCTAGACTTTACCAATCAAATTAAACTAACTTTCTTACCTTCAATCTTGACCATTTCCCCAGTTGTGTCCACTCAGTAATGACCTTTCTACCTAGTCTTTTTCATCTCTCCTTCTCTCTCTCTTTTATTGTCACATTAGTTTAGACTTTTTCTTGCTTTATCTTTTTGACCACCTTGGCCACTCTGGTCATATTACTAGTCGCCAGTAATGGTTCCTGTGTAACCCAAAATTGGCATAAAATCTGACAAGCAATACTGAAAATGAAAAAGATAACTTTTTCTTCCTCTTATGATAAAATCTGTCATTTGGTATCTCTGTAATTGAGATTAACTATATTTTTCAAGTCACGCCATGAATCTACAGTTCCTAATATATTGTATCCGGAACAGGAAACAATATCATGGACAGAAATATACATTTATATGATTGTCATGATTATTATTGATACTTAATTTTCAAGGTATCCAAATTGAATGCTCATAACGCAAACTGTTTACACATGATAGCTTCATAATTTGTCTAGGTTTATGTTTTTTATTTATTGACTTAACTTTATATTAATGATTTTTTTTTTCGTTTCGTTTTACATTTTTAGGTTCAACCAAAAATGTCGATATAACTGGTTCTCGATGTCATTGTGAATGTAAACCGCCAATGATTTCAATCAATGTCCAAAGTGATTATTACAATCACATCAATGAACGTGGTGTTATTGATTGTGCTCAACCTTGTCATACAAACCTATTTTTCACCAAACAAGAACAATCAAAATCATCTTTAATGATCACAATAGCAGCATTTTCATGTTTACTTGGTTCCATCATGGTCATCTTTACCTACCTTACTGGTCGAGAACGCTTCTGTTATCCTGAGCGATCAATAATTTTCCTCTCAGCCTGTTACCTAATAGTATCAATTGGCTTTCTTTATCCTAAACTGACCAACTCGGAAACAATTGCCTGTGATTCAGATAAACTTTTATATGCAGGTTTTGGTACACCAACATGGAACTGTACATTTGTCTTTATCCTAATCTACTTTTTCAGTATGGCTGCCTCTCTTTGGTGGATCATTTTAACCTTTTCATGGTTCCTCTCAGCCAGTCTCAAATGGACAGTTGAAATTATAAATGATTATTCAATCTATTTCCACTTTATTGCATGGTCTATTCCTGCCGTTAAATCTTACCTGGCCATAACAATGAAGGCAATCGATGGTGAACCTTTGGCTGGCATCTGTCTTGTGGGTAACCTTAACTCACAACTTCTTGTCCGTTTCATCATTGCACCTCTCTGTGCCTACCTTATTGTAGGAGTTTTTTTCTTGTTGGCCGGTCTTTTTTCAATCTTACGGATACGCAAATCGATTCGTAAACAGATTCGCCAAATAAACGATAAATGCGGACTGGACAAGTTAATGGTTCGAATCATAATCTTCTCAATTTTACACATTGTCCCAATCCTTGTTGTAATTGCATGTAACTACTATCAATACTCACACGGGTCAATCTGGGAACCGTATCATCATTGTCTATGTAATCCATATCGTCTTGAAACACCGTATGTGACAATTCATCTGGTTAAATACATCATGCTCCTGGTTCCTGGTATAACAACCTGTTTTTGGATACTCTCGGGTAAAACACTTGAATCTTGGTGGAACTTTTTAGCTCAAAAATTTTGCTGCTGTTTAACCATTGCACCTCCTAACCCAAGAGGTCAACTGATTGGTTCAACAAGCGGTGGCAGTAGTCAATATATTGTTAATAGTCAGCGAAGTTACAAACAAATAAAGTAAGTTTTCCTCTTTTCAATCAATTTTAACAAACGCACTATTCAAATGGAAATGATTAACACCTTAAATACAGTTTGATTCAACCCTAAATTGAATAAATTTACATCAAACATTGAACAAAAGTGTAGGTGAATAAAATGAATGTTATTTATTCAAAGAGAAATCTCATTTGAAGCTTTCAATTTAAATGGATTAAAGTCTTTAGGTTAATCCAGGTTGCTATGAAATATTTGAATAATCAGAAGAACAGATTGAATCCTGAAAACTCACTTACTTTGAAATCATTTATTTTATTCAATAAACATCAAATATTGCAAGTATAGTTTCATTGCCATTTCAAAAAATTTATTATTAAATGTTAAATTATATCTGCAAGTGTTTATGTTTTTACTCGCTTACCCTTAGGCAAGATTAATACTAAATCTTACCTTGTTGGATTTAACATTTTCACGTACAATATCACACACACAATCAACAAACTCAACCAATAATCATCAACTTAGAGTGTCTAAAATGTAGCTTGAAGCAATCTCACAGATGATACAGAAGCTGTTATTTTGCTCTCAAAATCTCATTACTTTACGTTTCATTATTATTTGATATATTTGTTCATCTTGAAGCAGCAAATTTTGCTCCTCTCATTCCTGTTGGTTATTTGATTATTGCCTGATTCAGTTTTACCCATCTCTAAATGCTCAACATAATAATAATCAAGTATGATAAACATGTTGACCACCATACTAAACCTAACCTGTCAATCAAAGAATGCAATGGTTCCTCTTTTAGTCAAAATTGCAATCAATAGACAAGGCTCTTGTCCATTGTATTGAAAAATGTCAAACCCATGATGTTCAAATGATAAGCAAAGAGAAATAATAATTCGATAAAATGTCCTTTCAAATAGAAAAACAGTTTTCTCTTCTCACATCCATCAACTTTTTACTCTTTTCATCTCACAATTGAATAAGTGTCAACTGTGTCGACTCAATACAATATCAAGAGCTGTAACAATCAACAAAAAATCGTGTTCATTCAAATATCATTTACACTTTTTTTTGTTCTCGAAATTTTTTATTCATAAAACAAATCTTGCTCTTTTAATCACTCCAATTGACATTGATTATCAACAAATCTCAAGTAAAGTCTAATTGTCAAGTTGGTGTTAAACTTTTTTCCGTAATGAACTAAATACTTTCAATTGCATCTTGCATCTTATTACGATCAGTTTCGGTTAAATTTTCAGTTTAAATAAATTCTGTGCAACTTGTCTGAAAAGCCCATCATGAGTGATGTCTATTTGAATAATAATAAGTCTTCCTCAATAGTCAAACCTTAACACTGAAAAGCTATTAATGGGTAAACCCAAACAGTATAACCTTACAGTATTGAGAAATTGATTTAGAAGTGTTTCTATGTTTACTCTTGATTTAAAAAAAATCATCATCTGTATAATGTTGAAAAGATGAGGAGGAAAAAGGAGGAAGAAGAAGGAGGAGAAAATGAAAGTGAAAATGGGAAGATGAAAAAACTGTTATGTTGAGCAAAACTGTGAAGTTGTGCGAAAATGTAAAGATGAGCAAAAAAAAGTGAAGTTGATGAAGATGTAAGTTGAGTTTGCAAAGTTGATTATAAAAATGTTTCACCTCATTTGCCTGTTCACTAACACATTTAGGTTCATCTTTTTTTTCGCTTACCTTGTACTTTTCACAGATTACAATATTACACTTGGGTCAGCATTTTGAAAAGCATATTTTCTTGACCAACTGTCATCAACAAACAATTTAAGTTTATTTATATTTTCACATTTCAATAGTCGAGTGTTATCACACTCATCATTTTGGTCAACTTGTAAATTGTTGAAAAATGATGTTTTTGCTTTTCTTTCCAAGTTCTCATGGTGTTCATGTTGGATAAATGATGATATGAACTGTGAATTTTCATCCCATAAGGTCCCAAAGCAGAGATTGGGTATGAAATGAAGCTTGAAGCCAAGCAAGAAATCACTGTTTCCAAATAATACTTATATTTATATCATCTAAATGGATGTTGTTTAGATTTCATTCACTTCTCTTCATCAATCACAGCAAAATCATTTCCATTGGAATCAGAAATCTGAGAAGTTTTCCTTTCATTTCTTTTTTTGCCTTCCTTTTCTTCACAAATTGAACCAATTTTCCTGAGTTTTGTTACAGTCACCATTGAGATAATGCACCATCGAGATAATGTATAACCAAAACAACGTTTCAGATGATCTATTATCATGAAGAAGAAAAAAAAGTGAAAAGCAAAACTTGAAGATTCTTCTCTTCCTTTTTTCATTCATTTCCATCCAACAGCAACGATAATATTAATCTTTCCTGACAATTCTGTTCTCGCCGATTAAATCATTACAAATTGTTGATCTTGTGTTCAAATTATTGACAAGATTGCAACCAGTAACAGGCAAATAATTTTTGATTGTGTTGCTTCAGTTTATCATATTATCATTATTTTGTGCATTACAGGGTAAAAGGTAAAAATTGGTTTCCAGTAACTGCTCAGTATCAAAAATGATTGAGGCTTCAGGTCGATACAAACATTATTATCATACAAATATAACTGAAAATGTTTTTGGTATAATCATTCTGTCACCATGATGGATGAACTGAGCAGCTTTATTGTTGTATCTCTTGAAACATTTCACATCATATCAGATTGCTTTAACAAGTTGATCACAAAAGGCAAAAAAAACAGTAGAGAGACTAAAGATTAGGCACAAAAAAAGAGACAGAATTTCTGTTAATACTTATCAAATTTCCTGAACTCAACTTGATTATTATCATGAGATTTTGCCTTCAATTGTCTCCCTGTCTTAATTTATTTTTATTGTAACCATTTTCTTGATTCTGGAAAAGCCAAACTCATTTCTTGATCACCATTATTAACCATGTAACTTAATCAAGATTGACATAATTGTGGTCTTTATGGCTTTCACTTTCATTATTATTTTCATTTAAAGTTGACTTCTAAATCTCTTCGACTCACATTGATATAGCTCAATTTTGTTTCTTAATTTTCATTTTTTGATACAATCTTCATGTTAATACACAATTCATTTTCATTTGGTCCAACAATTCATTGAATATTTCCAGCTATTCATTTATCATCCATTGAAAGCCTTTGAAGAGACTCAATTTGCTATCAAATTTATTTTGTTTTCAATCGAAAATATTTGACAGTTATTTGTACTTTTCATTTTTATTGTTATTTATTTTGATTTGAGAGATAATTTTATATGGTTATCATTTGGGTTAAACATAACAATAACATATAAATAATAACTTTATATTATCAACTTGAAATTGAGTTGAGCCTTTTTTTCATCTCCAGAATAACCAAGAATAAATTTACCTCACAGATAACTTTCATTGAAATGAATTTTTCATTCACTCTATTATACATAAGATTCAAAGGTAAATTCAGTAAACTGTGTACATTCAGACTCTATATATATACAGAACATTAATCTGTAAATGGGATTTTCTCAGCTTCTTATTTATCTCTTTTTTTGCCAGCGAAAAAAAAAACTCATCAGTTTTAATATTGATTGCTTACTTTACCTGTAAAACTATCATGTGAATAATTCAATGATAAAACTATAATTCAACAATAATATATTTTCTTATTTAACTCATTTCTCTTTCTTTCTTTTCCTACCTTTACAGTCACATTGCTCAGCTGTCAGCATCAGGACAACCTCATAGGAAAATTTCACTCTCTCATGTTTAATTACCTGTCATCTTGAGAAACCTCATTGGACCGCCTTTGAATCAACACACCAGAAATACAATCAATTTTGAAGCAAGTCATGAGATGGTTAAAAAAGGATAATCAACAAATCGAAAGAAATTAAAGGATGAGAATGAGATTCATGATGGAAACAAATTAGCTCATGCTAAGCTTCAAAACTCAATTCCAAGACAATTTATCTCAATCTTTCCATTGATTCGTTTTTGCTTTTATTGCCAAAAGGAGAAACAATTTTCAATCAATCCGCAAAACTCAATCATAATCGTTTACTGGATTCTTATACAAATGTACATTTGATGCATCCAAAACCTGTAATACAAAAGCCCACGCTATAGCATGTTGACTCACACAGAAGCACGGTTATCGCAAATATTTTATAGCATCAGAAGCAAATTTTGGCAACACCGTTACCAAGATAATTGATAAAATTTATGGAATCAAGTTTACAAATTAATTACTTCATAATTTCAACCAAAGATTGCCAAATGCAATAGCTATTGGGAGAAAGCAGCAAACCATTACCATTATAACCTTTTTGGGACCATTTGATGTTACCTGTTTTCCCCCATTTCCTCACAACTCATCTTTTACCATTTTAACATAAATCATCAAATTGAATTATCAACCGTAAATCATCAGCTCAAATCACCAACATCGTCATGGTTAATCGTATTTATGACATTCCATGCCTGGCTGTTTTCACAATTATATAATGTTTTTCATTGCTTTTTCCTATCGCCATTCTTCATTTTATCTTGTCATTTTGAAATCATTATTTAATTATTTTAATCATGTGATATAATTCCTAAACAACATTCCTTTGGAAAAACAATCATCTTTTACTGTTCTTTTGTACTATCGGATCACAATTAGCAACTCTACCCGAAGTAAATCAATTGAAATTATTGACGAAGCTGTTTATTAAATAAATGAAAGATTCAACGTTGGATATGGGACCATTTCATATGAACAAGTTATTAGAAAAGTAATCACGAATCATAGTTATTGTCACACAATTTGCTGCTTTCATGAATCAAGAGTTATATTCATTGTCTATCGACTGGATCAATAATGATTAATCATGAGCACACACATCTACAAGTATAAAATTTCAATTATCGATATATTCAAATGCTTCACTTAGAGTTCACTTTAATCAATATTTTGATTGGATTTCCTTTTTTTGGCTGCATCAATCATCCAAGCAAACATCGCCACCATTTCAAGCTAAACACTTTCAAGACTGTATTCAAGCGTCTGTACAATTCATCATGATCATCCTCTAACAAACCAAGAAGCCATCTTTCATCTGCAAGTTCAAGACTAATAAAATGGAGATCTCAGAAACTGCGAACTTAATCACGATGGAAATGCGCTTCAATGTTGTTCAATTTGATGGTCCAAATTATTTACAAGATCCAGAGGAACTCTCAAAAGGCCGAATTAAACAAACCAATTAAATAATGTGCCATCGTTTTTTTATACATTTACTAATCAACAAAATGATCTGAATGTTTAAAAATGTCTAATCAGTATTATTGCTATTATTGAAAGTCACTTTTTTCAGTCAATATTCCTCAATTTAATAATATGATACAATATATTACTGTATTAATTGATGTAGTGAATACTTTTTTACAAAACAGGGTAAACAATTAGGAATTATTGTCTGATAATTGTGACTTTTTGCTACAAATGATTATGCTTTTGTTTTCTTTTGTAATTCTTATTGTAAATCGTATTATCATGATAATCAGATTGTTAACCATTATCACCCACCTTTTCACATGCATTTAGGAATCACGTTGAGTTGAAACAAGTTGATCAATACAACACATTTAAAGCGGATTCAATCAAATTGACTGAACAAGGACAAGAACAAATAAAAAATGATTCCAATTTGTATTGATCAATTTTTCCGTATATTTAGTCAGTTATTGTAACTCCAACTTTAACATCGTCCAATATCTTATATCATCATGAAAGCCATAAACAGGGTATTTTTAATCATACAATAATTCCTATGTAATAACTCTCTTACCTCTTTCTGTTCATCATTTATATCTCGATATTGTTTTCGATGTATTTCATGGTAAATTGTAAACGTTTTATTCACAAATTAACTTAAAATCTGTTCCTTCAAACTCACCCATTTATGATGACAAAATTCATCAAAAATAAAGAACCTTTTCTGTTATATTGGCTTCATTTTGAAAGTAATTAAATTAATCAGTGGTAAATAATCAAAATGCAAGCAAAAGGAAAACTATCAATGATTTGGTTTGCTTTTTTATTATTAAGCTTTGATTTTAGTCGTACAATTTGGTTTATTCATTTTTTTATGATTTTGTTTTCCAATGTTTTCAGTTTTTTTCATTTTTCAATTGATTTACGATTATACATTATTACATATTATGTGCCATATAATAGTAATAATAAATGAACAATTAATATGTAATGATAATGACAATAATTTGGCGGTTTTTGCTTTACTTGTTCAAACCCTTCTCTGGTTGCGCGCCTTGTTCATCCAGAAACATATGGTTCACTAAAGATTTGTATACAAGAAACAAACTCACATGTATTTTTCATTCAATAATTACATGCTTGTAAATTGTGTAAATTGTAAATTGGTGTGTCCAGTGTCTTTCATTGCTTTTCAGAAGTTTCTCTGTGTGTTCTGGTTATGTATCTCATGATGGCCTATGAATTCGTCGGAAAAGTCGAACAATATCAACAATAAAATAATGTCCCATCTTATGTTCACTGTTGTCCTTCCATTGCTCAATTAGCTCTTGAATTGATGTAATTTGCTGTTTAACATAATCCAAACTGTCCTCTAGGCGACACTTTATTTCCACCTCACGTTCGGGAATCATTAAACCTTGATTAATTGGTATCTCTGGTGAAGGTGGCCTACTTACTGCGGCAGTTGCCTCTGAACAGCCCTGAATGGCCGCTTGAAGCTCAGATTTGGCCTCATACAGTTTATCATGTACACTTTTGGCCTTTTCCAGTTCTTCCACCGCTTCCTGTAAAGGTGGAAACTCCATGCGAATGTCTTTGCCCATTCTTTCATTGAGAATGCTTTCACATCGGGCCAATGTTTGCTCGTATATCTCAAATTTTTCCAGGGCATAATTCAATTGAGCCTCAATTCGTTTACCTTGGCCTATTAGAGCTTCGAATGTTTCTTTGAGATTATTATATTGACTCATCATTTTTTCCCTGTCATATCCACATTCCGTGACAATCTCTTCACCTAACGTTCTTAACTCTTCTAAGGCACCATAAGTTTCGATGTCATTCAATATTTTCCTATGTTTGGCCAACTCACTTCGACATTGGCTCAATGTATTAATAGAGAGGGAAAGATGAGCCATCAGTTGGTATGATTGTTGAAGTAACCATTTCTCAATCGACTGTAACAATTGTTGATAACTCTGAATACGATTCGTGTCATGTTCAATCTTGTTTAACAATGAAGCAACATTAGACGCTGCCTGATTATATTGATCAATGAGAGAATCAATTCGGGCTCCCAATCTTGGATCCGAACCAACTTCTTCACGTAATTTAGTCAAACTGGAGCTATTTTTGTCGATACCTGTTGACAATATTTTCAATTTATCAGCTGTAGCTTTTAATTCAAATAGATCTCCTTTACAGCTGAGCGTGGATTCAAATACTTCTGGATTATCCTTTAACCATTGAGCTAAACTGTCCAAATTGGTATTGTATTCTTCATATCGATCCAATTGCCGAGTTAAACTTTTAACCTCTCCATTCAATTGACTTGTAATTTGGTCAAATTTGTCTTTCGCCTGGTCCAATTGAGCTTTAGCTTGGGTTCCTAGTTTATCATCTTCACTTGATAATCTTGCCGCTAACTCGGTTGCTGAAGATATTAAGGATGATCCTGTGGCAATTGTGTTCTGGAGTCCTTTTAAATAATTTAATCGATCAGATGGATTTTCAAAGGATTTTTCAATAGCGTCAACCGTCTCATCAATCCAATCAGACAACTGTTGCTCTGTTTTATCAAATTTACTTTTGGCTTCCTTAACTGTTCTTATTTTTTCCACTTTTTTACGAAGTGATGATACCAATGAACTGTACATGGAGGTTAAATTGATGAAATCTTCTTTAAGTGAACTTGTATTTGCTAACGGAATCAGGGAATCCATTAAACAGTTGAGTTGATCGAAGTCTTTCTTCTTATCTGCTACTTCATTTAGAAGTAGCTCAACCTGGTCGGATGGATAATCTTCATTTGAATATTCTTGATTCTTCGATGTACACCAATCAAGTAAGTTACCATATAAAGTTTCATAATTGATCCAATTCTCTAAACAATCGTTACTTTTAATTTTCCATTCTTCAATTGTTGCCATTATCCAATCAACTTCTTGACTAAACTCTTTTTCATCTTCTTCTTTACCTAGCTCATTGGCCCAGACAATTAACTTGCGAACCTTCTCCAGATTAACATCATTTGCTGTTGATTCAAGCATAGTTAATCTTTGTTTAATACTCTCCTTGTCACTTGGTTTTTCAGCTAATCCATCAAATGAAACATGAACTGATTTAATCCAATCTTGTGCTTCTTTACATGCAACTTTAAATTTCTCGTCCGTTTTAATCTCCTCAATGAGACGATTTATTGTCTCCGAGAGAACCTCGACCCTTGGATGATAACGATTTGTTAAAAATTCATCTGCCTGTGGAAATTTATCCTTGAATTCAGTCAATGATGCTATTAATTCCTGGTGAGTGTTGACATCTTTCTCAATGAGTCTCAATAAATTTAACATAATCCTTTTGTCTCCATCTTTTTCCAGTTTACCCATTGCTGCTTCAATATCATTTTCAAACCACTCAATGACTGAATTCCAAATCTTTTCAAACTGGTTAATTTCATCGATTTTGACCTCAAAAGAGCTTCTTGTATCTGCCGTTTCCTTCAAAAGAGTATCAAAATCACTCTTCAGTTGAACAATATCCTCTTTAACATCATTAACTCCATCAGAATGTGTGTGTTCAACTACTTTGCTGGTTAAATCTTCCAAATAGCTCATCTTTGTTTCTCCCTGGCCCTTCAAAGAATCGAGCATACCTCGAGTTTTGGTTAAATTAGTATTCAACTCTTCCAAACTGGAAGATGACAAATGTTTCCTGACGGCTTCCAGTTTCTCTCTCGTTTTATCAACAAACTCGGAACATTCGGTTAATATACTTTGTTGCTGTTGATGCTCCTGGAATCGTTGTTGTAAAGCATGGAGTACATCTTTAGCTGAAGCAACCAGATCATTGTAACGAGCTGATAATTGGGTAAAAGCAGCTGATATACTTGAATCAGCATGAGTTTCCAATAATAATTGAGCTTTAACATTGAGAATATGAAATTCTGTTTGCCAATCAAAAATGGATTGTAAATGAGTTGACTGAAACTCTTCCAGTTTGGATCTTTTTGCCAATAAGTTTGCTTGAGGTTCAGTAAATTCCTTGAGTAGAGGTTCAATGTAAGCCAGCCAGGTTGAACATTTTGAAAATTGTGTGTCATATTCAGCCCATTTGGCTAGACCAACATCCAATGTTGATTTAACCTGACTAATGGCTGCCCGATGGGAGTCCAATTCACCGCTTAGACGTGCAATCTCCTCATCAAGTTGACTGCATCTTTCGGGGGTTAAATTTTTCTTACACAAATCAGCACACCTAATGGCAGCTCTTAGTTTCTCTGGACCTTCCTCGTCATCAGTTAATTGTTTCAATAGAGCAGTTTTTTCATTGATTGAATCTCTATTCTCTATTGTTGAACTGCATCGACTTAAATCCTCTTTGGATCGAGCCAACCAATCCTTCAACTCTTGACAATAATTGTTGAAATCTTCAATTTGATCCAGTTTTGTTTGAATTTCATTTATATTTTCTTTAACCCCTGTCATCAATTGATCATACATTGATTGTAACTCGGGTGAGCTTTTGGTTACTGTAAAAACAAGGTGAAAATATGAATTAATATATCTAAAATTATTTAATCAGTGTTTTCATTCAAACGTAAATCAATGAATTTGACTTATTATTTACTGATTTCAATTGTGAATTATTTACGATTGATTAAAGGCTGATTTCACGAGACTTGAAATAAGCAAATTACCCAACTAACTAAATCATCTTTTTGAATCAAATCAAACCCATAACAGTTGGTAATTTGGGTGAAAAAGGTAAGCAAAAGAAATGCGTGAATAAAATAATTTATTATTTAAAGCTCAAAACATAACATCACATCAAAAAATACAAATTAAGTCTAGAAGTGAAATTGCAGATGAATAAAGCAATTTGTTACAAATGAGACAAATCAAGAGATTAAATTGGGATTAATTAAGCATAAGCATTGGTACTAGTTAATGGTTGATGGATGCAAAAAGCATAAGATAATTTAATGACTGAATCAAAAATAAATGCAAACTAAATTGGAGATGATTGATCCAACAATAAGGCTAAGCTGTATCAAACCTTAAAATATATTGTATTAATACAAGAAAGATAAACATTGAAATCTAATAAGTTAACAAGCTTTGGCTTTAATCCAGTAACGATTAACTCAGCTATTTTTTTTAATCCTTGTAAACATCAATCAATCTTCAGGTTATTCAATACGCACTTCAATTCTGTCAAATTAAATACAGTGATTCAATTTTTGGTTGAAAGACGTAACAAAACTGGTTCAATCTGAAGCAATTGAGCAGCTTAACTCAGTTTGTTGACCGGTTTTGTTTCAACCTTTCAAAATCATTGAAAGTTAATTGTTACTTTAACCTATTGACATTCAAAGAATTGATAGAGAAATTGATCAACAAATTATCAACTAAACTAATGCAAGTTGAAAGCTATGAATGAAGCCATGAAAATTTTAGGTAAATCTAGCCAATTTACAATCAAGCCATTTCAAGAACAATCCAATTTAGCGCAAGCAATTAAGGTCTAAAATTTACAGACTTAGCATCAATTGTCACCATCATCATTCCCATATCCATTTAAACTCAGTCTGAGTGTTATTTTTTTATAAATTTCAACTAATGTTACTTTTGTCTTAATGTCTGAATCTAAATAAAACTTGAACTATCATGGTCTTTATGTTGCAATGAAAAACAGTTGCCAAAATCCATTGAGTCCAAATAAAATTGAGAATGAAATGAAAGATGGAGGAAGAAGATGCAAGATGAATTAAAGGAGGAAAAATAAAGGTTGAAAAGTGAGTTGAGTTTGGATAAAAATCTTTACTATGTTCCTAATGTAACCTTTTCCCCATCGACTATGTCTAGTATTCATTAATTTACTGCCCTGGAAAGGTTCAAAGTTTAATTACAATGTTATAAATACTTTTGTTTAGCTTTTTATAACATTTATCTATTCATCTATCAGAGTGAGAGAGAATCTGATCTGAGTCTGATTCTCTTCCGTCACGGAATGTAAATGTTTAACAATTCTTGCCTAGTATCAACTTTGCTAGACTTGATGAGTTGATACTTTTTTTTACTCTGCTTCCCTTCAATGCAATTAATCACTTTGAACATGATAACCTTTTTCTTCATTTGTCTCATTAGATTAACAGTCAACCAACAAATTAATAATTTAAATTGTGTTAAGGGTTTTAAGGTGATTTGAACAAGCAGGAGCAAGCATGAGGATCAATTGGATATGGAAACATTGAGTACATCAAATAAGCCAATAGAATGATGATGAAGAGAAGAAATAAAATTGCAATCCTACCAGAATGAACGTCCGGATGAGATTCTAGATCTTGTAGTAAAGAATTCAATTTTCTCATCTTTGACTTTAGGTTTTCCTTGAGTGAACCATATTCATCGGTTGAATTGACCTCTTTAAGGGCAGCAGCTCGGGCTTCTTGCTCCTTCAACCATTGTTTCATCTTGTTACGAGCCAATTGTTGTTCTTGACATTGAATTAAAGCCATCTCTAAATCGGATTTAGTTTCAGACACTTTATTCAAATATCTGTCCCACTTTGATTGAATCTCATGTATTTCCAGAGAGATGACATCACGTCCCTGACTTGGGGCTGATCTTAATGCCTTTTCACCTGCACTTAGAGCTTGATGAACACAAACTTGGCCCTCTTCTTGATTCCTTTTGATTACTTCACCAACTGATTTTAATGCAGCTTCAATGGCTTCACGTTTACCTTCATATGAGCCAGCCATTGATTCAAGCTTATCGGAGGCATTTTTAATCCAATTTTGAGCTTGTTGACATTTATTATGGAATAGCTCATGATTTTCAGCAATCTCGTTGACTTTAGAGGCAACATCTTTGAACAAATTGGTCAACACTTGATACCTAGACTCCAATAGTTTCAATTGATTGCGAATATAATTTTCTAAATGTGATTTAAGAAGAACATCTTTTTTCCACAATTTACCGATTGTTTCCTCTCGACCTTTTTCTAGTTGTTCCATTAATTTATTACAAATGGCAACATTGGCCTGTTTCTCCTGTAAAGTTGACCCACGACAAATGGTTCGTTCTTGTTTTATTTCACTTTCCATCGATTGTAACCATTCATTGGTATCTTCATACTCTTCCTTGAACTTTTTCAATTCAACCATTAAAACTTGAAGATGTTCAATAGTCTTTTCAATCTCACCCAATAAAGAGGCATAATCTTTCTCAAGATTATCTGTATTACGATTGATCAACTTTTTACCATCGGTTGAACTGGTTTCCAAAGCAATAGCGCCCAACTCTTTCATATTATTCAGTTTCTCATCTCCAGCTGACCGACGACCCAAAAGATCATTGAGAGTTGAAATGGTAGTTTCCAGAGATAAACGATCGGAAAGACAACCAGCTGATAGAGAGGGAATACGATCTTTCAAATTTTTCATCCAATGAACAACATCGTCACACGACTCTTTAAAGGCCTGATGATCTTTGTAGGCTCTTTCATTGCTCTCCATAAGATCATGTAATTTACCCAAAGCAGCTTCATGTCGATCCACTAAGGCAGCATACTCTTTGGCAATATCTGGCTTTTCTGGTAATTGAAAAGGGAAACAAACGTATTTCAAGTTTTTTCATAAATACAATTTAAATAATTACTTACCAGATAATGAGCTGATATCAATCAATTTACAATCCCTGAGCAATTGCTTCGCCTTATCCCATTGCGACTTCTTCTCGGAAAGTGAACAGGTAAATAATGAAGCTTCCACAATAGCGTATTCAATCTCATCTAAAGCTTTGGTGGCTTGTTTCAAAGCCATTTGACTTTGTTGGAGAAGAGCAAATTTCTCATTGGTTGTTGCTCGTAAGCTTTTCAGTTTATTCAGAGTTTCATTTCTTTCCCTAATCGTATCACGAATTGGATTTGAAATGTTGGTTCGAGCAGGATTACTGGTTTGATAAAGAACGCGTTGCAATTGTTCGTCCAACCTTTCAAATGTCACTTTTGCTTCTTTACTGTTTATCAAATCGTTGAGCTCGGACAATTTGTCTTCAAGATCATCCATTTCTTCACTTTCTTTTAACCGCAAAGCTGTCTTTGCATTTATTTCTTTACACATTTGATGAAGATCGTCTAAACCACTGTGATCGTTTACATATTTAGTCCATTTATTGATGGCCTCTTCAAGTGAACCATTAAGGGTTTCATGTCGTTCATTCAGTGTGGTCACTTGTTCATCAAGTAATCCATTAAGCTGGTCAACCTGTTGACGTAACTTCTTCAATTCATCTGCTTTAGAGTCGAGTGTTTTCTTGAATCGTTCAAGAGAATCTAGTTTATCGCGTTTCTCAAGTAAATCAGCTTTCAGATCATTATTGGCAACATTACGGTCAACCTCGTCCATCCAAGAGGACAACTCTTCCACTTTTTCAACCATTTGTTTATGATTTTCAATAATATCCTGGAATTTGGTCTTCAATTTATCACCTTTATCATTAAGCTCATTCAATTTAGCTTCAATTTCATCCAAATCGGACTTGGCTTTGCTTTCTAAATCATCGTTATCTCCACTGGCACCTTCAGGTATATTACCAATCAAATCTAAACCTTGTTTCAATTTAGTTAACCTTTCTTCCCTCATTGTTTCAATTTGTGTGATGCACTCTTCAATCGATTGAATAGTTGTGAACGGTTTCTCCTCCAATACATCGAGTATATCATCATTAGTTCGAAGCCAAGTAGCCATTTGATTATAATACTGTTTCCAATCGGTCATTGTAGTGACAACCTCTTCAACTGATTCCTCTTTGGTAATTTCAATATTTTCATTAGCTTCTTCAAAAGTTTCCTCTCTTGGTCCACTCTCTATCAACGATGTATCATCAGCTAAACTTGATTCCGCATCAATGAATAAATCATCATCATCTTTTCTCACTTCTTCCAATGGAATGGTCGATTCCTCACTACCAACTCGATCCAGGGTAGCATCATCTTGGGTTGAAGCTTCAACAGTTTCCTCAACTGCCTCGGTAGCCGGTATTTGAGACACACTTTCAGCAATCTCCTTAGCTGCTGCTTCGGCAGCCTCTCGAGCAACCATCTCGGCAACTTTCCTGGCTGCAGCTTCCTCACGAGCTTTGACCTCAGCTTCTGCTTCTGCTTCTGCTATTTCTGCTTGTCGGGCAGCTTCAGCTTCTAATTCAGCTTTAGCAATTACCTTTTCTTTCAACAGGTCCAGATTATTACCTAATTTTGTTAAAACCTTTTTCTCCTCTTCTACCTGTTCCATTATTTTAACATATTTTTCAATCAACCTTAAATTTATGGTTTCAATAACTTCTAGTAGTTGAATTAAATCTTTTTTCATAGTTTCCAATGTAGTTACATTTTTTTCCGTCGTCTTGATGATCGACTCTTCAATCTGTTCAACTTTACATTTACAATCATTTAACCAATTACGGAATGCAATTGCCTCCTTTAACACCTTGAAAGCTCCATCAAAATCAAATGAAGTTTTCAAGAGATCTTCAACCGTCTTAATCAATTTATTTACATTTGAACTTTGTTGCTCATCCTTATCTTTCATTTTACTTAACAGGCTGGTTAACTCTTCTGAAAGCTTAGCTAATAGGTTAACCTGATGAGTCCATTTCTCTCTTAGCTCTCTTAGCTTAGTGAAGCTACTTTCATCACAAGCAAGTAACTCTTTCTTCAACAGTGCGTCTAGGTTGTTGTTATTGCACCATTCATTTAGTTGCTTCAATTGTTCAACCAGTGTTTCAACTTTGGCCATCTCTTCTTTTGTCATTTCATCCACCTTGGTTGGTACCTGTTTTGTTTCTTCAAAATGGGAAACTGATATCTTCTGATCACCAGATTTTCCACCTTCTCCTCCGTCTTTAATTTCGATAAAATCTCTGGTTGAATCAACGTGTAGTGTTATATCTTTTGATGCTGTTCCAACAATGTCACCACCTATAATTTCTTCGCGTTTCTCTCGACGAGTTATTTCATATTTTTCTGTTTTCTCATAACGTTGAACTGTTTCTTCAATTATACTTTTCACTTGGCGAGTAGATGAGCTTGAATCATCCGGTGAAGATTGAGTTGTATTGGTGATTGTTATTGTTCTGGATGATCCTGGATTGGTTTCTTGACTTTCACTGGTTTCATTAGCCGCTGGTTGCTCTGGTTTTCCTTTGCTTTTAACATCTTCCTCCATTTTTCTCCAAAATTGATCATAATTACAAATAATGTCGGACAAATCTTTCTGTAGTGATTGTAGTGCAGAGTCAGAGGCAAGTTTTTCAATTATTGTCCTGTTTTTGTCAAATCTTTCTAACAATTTGTCACATTCATCTTTCTTCTCTTTCAGTTCATCTTTGTTGAACTCTTTGCGACCCTGAAGCCATGACTTGAGATCATTTTTGATTGTTTCAACAGCTTCCCATTCAACCAGGACAACTTCTTCAAGAAATTTCAAATATTTCTCAAGCTGTGGTGCTAAATTTCTCAATGATTGATACGACTTTACTTTCTGTTTGGCTTCTTTGACGGAACCCACTTTACACCTTTCCATATCAATCAGAGACAGTTGAACGTCAATAGATCTGACTCGTTCATTTAATTCTTTTTCTTCGATTATCATTTGACGATATTTATTTATCTCATCCTTCAAGGAATGGTCGCTACCGGATCGGAATAGCTCCAATTTTTGTGGAGCTTCGTTCTCTAACCAATTAATTATCTTTTCCTTCTTTTTAGCTTTCAATTGTTCAGCCAATCTTTCCAGTTGACTTTCAAATTCTTTCAACTCTTTCTCTAAATCTACATTTGCTTCATTGGTTAAGCATCTGAGAACATTCAATTGTTCCCTGATTTTACTCAAAGTATATTCATTGTGTCTCAGAACCTCAATTTGACTATCTAATGTAATAGATTTCAGTTGTGATTCTGCAACAGAAATCAAATCGATTGTCTCCTGGCGTATAAAGGCGATATCTTGTCGGAGTTTCTTTTTTCGCTTTATAAACTCTCTTCTATTGAACATGGCTCTATCAAGTATGGATTTATCGTTGAAATGTTTCCAGTATACGGTACCTAAATTTTCCATGGCATTCAAGTCTTCCAGTATGGGCTCTTCATTTTCTGGATCATTGGTTAGTCTTGATAAGAAGTTTGCTTCGGTCAAATCAAACTCAAATCGGATCAAATGTTGGGGAGCTTTGAAGTTGGTTATCTCATGGAAACGATTTTCTAGTCCACGAAGAGTTTCCTTCAACCCAGTCTGGTGAAATTCTGGTAAAGTGGCCAAAACATCATTGCACGAAGCAACAAAATTGTACAAAATCTTTTCATTCTCCGCTCTTGAGGAGAAAAATTTCTTTAAATCACTCAGATAATCGACTTGCTGTTGTTGATTAAGATGTGGCAAATGCGAATTTGCTAGCTTGGTTTCCGCCGTTGTTATCCAACCTTTCAATTCATCTGCTGCTATGTGATACTGTTCCCATCGTCTTGAAGCTTCCAACATGGCTTCTAACCATTCATCGGCTAACCGAATTGTTTGTTTGAAATGATTTGCTATCGATTCCCAGAGATTGGAGTTAGCTTCCAATTTTGGTAAGCAAGAAAAGAAAAGTTTGTGGCAGCGAAGTTGCTCTTCAACTTGTTCACCTGATGTTGGTACTGAATATGAGGCTAACATTTTCTCGGCAATTCCAATCCAGTCTTCTATTGATTTTGCAATAGCTAATTCATTTTCAATTAGATACCAATTTTGAATGGTTTCAGAGTCTAATGAATCTTTGACTCGGTCAAATTCACTTTTCAACTCAGCTTGCTCTTGCTGAAACTGGGCAAGATTAGATTGATTGATACCCGTTTTCACCAGATTTGCAATCCATTTTCTTATTGATGATCCCTCATCAGCTCGAAGTTTCGTTGAATGTACAACACAAGAGGACATGAGAACTTCTGGCTGATTGATTGGAACTTGTTTTTGAAGGAATTGAGAAGCATAAGTCATCATGGACCGTTCATCTGGATTGTCAACATCCATATCTTCAGCATCCAATAACTTAATGATACCAAGATATCTTTCAGCTAAATCAAAGGCTAATTGAAGACGAGCTCGATTAGTTATCACGGCTCTTCCTTTTTCTCGAGCTTTCAATTGAGGCAGTATAGAGTCTATGATGGCTAAAATAGCTTCACCATCTCTCCAAGATCGACCAAAATCATTTAAGTTGAGACCAAATCGACGATTAATGTTATCCAAAAGAGTACTTCGAAGGCTACTTCGGGCAGTATCGGAGCTTATTGGTGCTGGTGATGAGATGTGTCGCTGTGAATGATGAGGGATTGTCGAATCTCTCTGGTGCTCCAGTGCGTTTAGTCGAACATATTCTTCGATATGAAAGTGTAATATCATCGTCCAGATTAATCCAAGTATAATACATGGATTACCATCAACGATGTCGGTTGCGTGTATGTTTACAAGTTTAACCTGTTAATTTACAAAGTTGTATGAAAGGGTCACATTTACACACAAAAGGTTCAAGTTAACCAACCACTGCAACTAATCAATATGTTACAATAAGCACTGAACTCTGATCTAAATCTATTGTGAGCTGATTCCAAGGCTGGAAAATGTTTCAAAAGCTTTTTCGCTCAAATTTGTTCCAATCAAGGATCAGGTGATGATAGAGCTTCAAGGAGTAGGAAAACTGTTTTCACAATGTTCAATCAACATCTTTGTTAATCCAACTAAAGTGCAGTTAACCTTTTCTTGCCTCTCGCACAGACTAATTTATTTCAACATCTCTGTCATCCCACATCTTTCAATCTTTATCGCCATTATTTTGAAAGTTTACTTTCAACAAAAATCGGTGTCTTGCATCCACTAAGTACTATTTTCACTCCCTTTTCATGATAATACAAGTCGTCTGGAAATTCTTTTCTCTTGATTGGAGAAAGCAGTCACCTTTCTTGCTGCTATATCAATGACACTGGTTTGGCACTTATTATGATACATCATCAAATCTCTTTCTTCCCATCAACTATGCTGTTCTCCTCACAATTCAAGCTGAAGCATTATTCTATGAACTTTGACGGTCTCTCCAGCTACTAGAATTGTATAGCATCCTTGTAAGATCAGTCATGTCTGATCTATAAACTTGATCTTAAGCTAAATTCATCCAACTTAAAAATTCAACAAGAAATTTTTCATAAAATCTTCCTCGTATCATCAACAGCCTTCGAAAGAGTACATCTTTTTTTGTTGTAGAAACAAAATGTTTAAATTATCTAGAATTGATGTTAACTTTGTATTGAACTTCTAGCGATATCAATTTGGTTTTTGTCAAAGTTCATGAAACAATTACCAGAAGAATACTGAACTTGAAATTGGTTGGCAGTGATTGGTTTGATCTTTTTTTGGTTACATTGATTTTTATCATTAGACTAATATTGTTTTCGCAAACTTACACGTCGTCTCTCCAATAATTGTAAAACAATATTCACATTACTGATAAAATGAGGGCGTCTTAATCGTTTTCCTCGTTCTCCAGGCTGATGGAACGATCCAAATGATGATTTCAACAAATGTAGATTGAACATCAGTGGATAAATTAACAGCGATAATCAAAAATTGAAATTACCAAACAAACTCAAGTTAATGAAATGGATAAGCATTATTTTTGATTTCCAACTTACCAACTTCTCGCCTGTGAGTGCCTCTAGAAGAGCTAACAGCTTGGTTCCATCTCGAAGCTCCTCAATTAGATTATTTTTTATACAATTAGGTACATGGTAATTAATCCAATTCATGAACACTTTACGCTGAACCCTTTCCGTCTCATCCGCTGTTGGTAAAACAAAAAGGCAAACATTTAAAAATAGGAAAAAAACAATACAAAACTGTCAACTAAAAACTGTAATTTATTGAATTGCTTTCAAGGATGAAATGTAAAATAAAATCATAACTTTCCAGAAAAAAATGATTTAATTTTTAATTTTTAACCTACTAAGTTAGCAATTAATAATACTGACATGATGATATTAACCGATATTTCACTAAAATAATCTGTTTTCGCAAATACATTTGATATTTGAAATTTCGCGAAGTGATAAATGTGTTGATGGAAGGTTAATTAAACAAATCGCATGTTAAAAACGATGAAAGACATTTAACTTAACCTAAAAGTTTAATTGTAATTAATTTGTTCTAAATTTTACTTGTTTTCCTTCATAATTTACAAATTCAACTCATTCCTCTCATGATGGTTAAACATCTTTTTTTCTGGTTTTTTCATGGTTTGCTCATTTTGGACGGTAACTCAAATGTTTTCCTTCAAAGAAACAGACACTTGTTTGATTTAGGAAAACAGATTGTTTCTCATTTGTAAGCCAATCCATAAAGAATCCTTTAATGTGGAACATTCAGCCTCATGTTGGTTCTATTTTTCATGTTGACAAAGAACAATTTTCTTAATTTTGCATATCGAACTTATTGAAACACAATACTTTGAATTGAGAAATGGTGAAAAGATAAAGGAAGCTGTAAAAAGTACAGAACGTGAACAATTTACTTGTGACTTAAATTAGACCAATTTGCATGAAAACATGGATTCGCAGAGCGTTTAACACTTTTAGCAACTAGTTCATGGCTGTTTCCCATCATTCACTTTAAATCTAATCATCATCATATTCATCTTGTTTCCCTTCATTCCTCTCTGTCTTTTCTCACAACAATTCTAATCGTACTCATAAAAACTCACCATGTTCACTCTGGAAATGTTTCTAAACATGTTCTGATGGCCCGGAAGAAAGGAAATGCATCCAAATCTTAATTCTCCCTTCAACGAGAAAAAAAACCTTTTGGCAAGTTTAATGTCAACCAACAACAAGATTCCCCTTTAAATCTAATGAGAATGATATACATCTCTTTCTAATTTTCTTTCGTTCTTTTCTTCTTCCAGGGGGGAACAGAAATGAAACTAGAACTGAAGAAGAGCATTAAGAATCGAAGAGAGATTAACTTGTAATACAAAGTTGTTTTCAAAAGTAATGTCAATTCAATGTAAAAAAGGCTGAAGATTACGAAAACTAAGCAAAATGTGAAACGAGTTGAAGAGACATGTTTCCCTATTAACTGGCAGCCCTGATAAACAGACATTTTGTTGGCAGAAGAGGACAAATAGTGTATACAAATTTACGAATCGACTGATGAGTCTTTTTGTCTTCATTTATACATTCAATTTTTCACTCTTCCTAGAGACAAGATTGATTTTCATCTCTTTCATTGACATTGAAGTCTAATGAGTGAATATTAACGTTAAATTGAGGGCAATTATGTTCAATTATGTGAGGTAAATTTGGATCCACTGATCGTAAAAGTAGAGAGAAACTAAGGGCTGAAAGTGTTTAGCTGAATGGGTTGTTTATCATCTCTTTTTTTCTCACAGCGACATCGTCATCTCGAAATCGAGACTTCATCACGATGGGAATAATTATTATTAACATTATCATTATTACTAATGGTATTACTTGAAACTGTTAACTTATAATCATTTCGCTGTGAAAGCAAAATGTATAGCCAAGTTATATGAAAGAGCAATGAACAAGTTGATGAAGATGTGAAAGTAAAAATGTTTTTGCCTTCGCTGTTCAAAATATTAACTCATTCTTTCTCGTCTTTTAATATTTTCACAGTCAAAATATTTTACAACCAAATAATCTGGATTTTTTTTCTGCTTCTCTAGCAATTCTAAGCGAATTGATTGAAAGATTGGTGTATGATGATCTAAATTTGGTTCGCATTAAACCATGAAAAGCAAACATGTCAGTGGAAAGCAAAGTCATATTCAGATAGCACAGATAATAGATGCTAATATTGGGTCCATTGATGAAATAAAGAGAGATAAGTCAACTTTTATTCCTTTTTTACTCCTACAATCATCATGATTATCATTTTGAACCACAGAAAACAGTAGCAACAAAATCAACTAACTGTACTTTTTTGTATTTACAGAGTTGGCCTTAAGATGTAAATCAACGCAAGAAGCAACAAAAGTCACATTAAGGCTTTGGCTAAAATTACCTTAACATGAAACTAGCAAGGAGAGTAGAAAGCGATCTGTTCAGATGGGAAGAAAAGGAAGAAAGGAAGAGACAGAGAAGGATGGAAGTGATGAGGAGATGGTGAAAAAAGAGGACGAAACCACAGAGGAAAAGCAAGAAGAGCATCAAAAGCATCAAGAGGAGGAAAAGATGAGAATGTTTTTCAACCTGAAAAGCTTAAAATTGAAAAGCAATCTCTACAATTAACTATCATTGTGTATGGATTTTCAATTGTTTGAAACATGAAATTTAATTCTGGTTCATTTGAACACGAAAAAGCTCACCTTGATTAACTTCAACATTATCCAAGTAGCCTGAAGCTTCAAACTGAGATTCCAAACTAGAGGTGTCGATTTCAATGCACGAATATCGTTTCGGATTTAAACGTAACATGGTTCCTTTTGTTGTAACCTTTTCTCAATTTTAATCACTTTTGTTTATTACTTGTATTTGCAGTGGTTCGGTTGATTATTATTGATTATCACAAAATTAACAGTAAAACACAAAGGTAAAACATTGTCTGTAATAGCCTCGGTTTCCTCTGTCAAGGCTTGCTGACTGGCTTTGACTGACAAATGAACAAATTGGTTTTTTTGATTGAAACAACTGAATTAACTCCAAACTACTGATGATTTAAGGTGAATTTTGTATTTATTTTCAACTCTAGGTGAACGTTGATCAAATGGTGCATATCACCATTTAGGTTATGTTTAACTGTTTCATGTTCATTAACTGTCACTGATTTGTTTGTCTTTCAGGCTAATTTTCAATTTTGTTTCAGAAACGAGGAGAAATGAAATAAAAGTCAAAATGAAGGGTAATCATGAAAAGGAACTGGCTCACGTTTTCATAAATAACAAACTGAGAGGATGAGGAACCAGAAGATGCTCACAGAGGCTTTAAAACACACACACACAGGAGATGATGAGGATGAACTCGTCACAGGGATAAAGATTAACTAAACTTAGCATCAGACCTACCGACATCTAACGGTTTATTCATTGGTAAACTGTGTGCCAATTATCTTGTTATTTACACTTTCAGAGGTAGACTAATTAACCAATCAGGTTGGCTATAGTATTTATATCATCAGTCGAATGACAATCAATGTAAAAGTTCAGCTGATTGCGTTTCTATCAATCTTGAAACCTTTTCTGGAGTCGATACAGATTTTCATTGAGACTTCATAATTCACATCATTGTCAATCAATTTAATGATTGAAAGGTTTAACCTTTTCCTTTGAGCAATCATCGTTCTTATTGGGATGATTTTATTGATTTAAATGGTGTAAATTGTTGATTATGGGAAGGAAATATTCACTATTTTGATTAATTGTGATTTTATTGTGTCACTTGTTCCATTGCTCACTCAATTGAAATTAAAGTTTGCTTACATTTAAAATGTTTATTTCTGACTGTGCCATAATTAACCTTGATGATGAATAGTAACTAAAATTAACATCATGTTAATCTGTTGTAGTTTATTCAAAGCTCATCAGCTTAACCCTGAAAATAATTTCACTTTTCAATCTTCATTTAAGTGTTAACAAATAGACGATAATTTTATCGTTTTAATGAATGATTAGACTTTACATGGTTTATTAACTCTATTGGTATAATGAAAGTTGATAGCATTGGTTTGATCAATATTTTTTGTTGAATTGGTTTTGGGGAAAAATCAGATTCTTGTTTTTTGGTTAATAATAAAGTAGCTTTATTACTATGTCAAATTTTGTTACATTTAACAAGTGAAAGTTGGTCTAAATTAAAATAGTTTTTTTATAATTTTTTGGATTTTGAGTTTGTTGGAGTGAGAATCGCATTGGTTGAATCAAGTCCGCAAGTATACGAATTGCTAGTGATTTAATTACCATTCAGTGGTTTGAACGGTATCAGCTAATTGTTTCTCTTGGCTGATAACAGTTGGCTGTTGACCAGAAAATCCACTCAATTTGTTGTCAGTGAAAACTTTACCAGCAGAGACAAACTGGGATGAAGGGTTGACGGTGGGGAATGAGGCAACTGGGACAGTTGAAGGGAATGAAGAGAAGGTTGGGAATGGTTGGTTGACAATTGGACCGGCTACTTGTTTAACAACTTTACCGACAGCTTGTGGGACGAAAGTTGATCCAAAACCTGATGAAGAACCGAAACCGGCACCTGAACCTGATGGACCACTGAAACCATTACCAGATGAACCTGATGAGGAACCGAAACCATTGTCAGAGGAAACAAAAGAAGGAACTGTTTGGAAGGTGGCTTGTGGACGTGCGTTGGAAAGGTGGACAATGTTTTGGGTGAAACCTGCTCCAGGGAAACCGGCTCCGGTTGAAGGTGCACCAAATTGAACGAGTTGTCCAGGTTGTCTTTTGTCGAAAAGGTATCGTTCACTTGGGCGGAGATAATTAACTGAACCGGGAGTGAAGATTGATGGAACAGATTGAACGAAACCAGATTGTTGACCAGAAACGGGGACTGATTGGAAGGTTGGGACAAAGGATTGGAAAGATCCAAAGGAAGATGGAACTGATTGGACAAATTGTTGTTGAGGGGCAACTGATTGAACAAATTGGGGTTGAGGGGCAACTGACTGAACAAATTGGGGTTGAGGGGCAACTGATTGGATAAATTGTGGTTGAGGGGCAACTTGTCCGACTACTGAGACTGGAACTTGACCGAATGAGGAAACAGCACCAGAAGATGGGACTAGAACTCCTTGGGGTCGGTCAGAGATAACGGTGACAACATTTTCTTGTGGTCTTGCAGGTTGAACAACAGTTTGTCCAACTGGTTGAGCTACCACTTGACTAACGGGTTGAACAAAACCAGAAGAACCATCATCTACATTGGCTAATTGAAGTTGATCTTTCTTCTCTTGGATTGAACCTGGGGTTAATCGTGGGAAAAAGGAACCACCTTGGCTACCAGAAGAGCCACCTTTAACTCCTATAGGGATTAAAATTAGAAAAAACAAGATTAAAGTCAAGCTAAATTATCCAAAAATTTAAAACAAAAATCAATCAAAAAAATAATGAAATGATTTTAGGTAAAACCAGAAAACAATGTAAACAAATCTTACCGAATTGAGCTGAAGCGCAAACGAAGGCGCAAACCAAGATCAATGCTGATACAGATTTCTGTGTAAATGGAAAGCAAATGTTTAATTAAATTGATTAAAAATACAAATATTGTGATAGGAAACTTACCATTTTTAATGTTGAGAGTAAAGATTAACTTCAATTGATGTTTTTGTCGATGAGGTTTCTTCACGAAAGTGATACTGATTGAAAGCTGGACCAAGCTATTTATATATCTTTTTTACCGGTCTCCTTAATACTCTCACTCACTCTCCTTTTCATCCTAGTGACACTGATTCATCCTTATCATCCACAAAAACGTGATTATGAAGTCTTATTCATGAGGATTGAAGACGATAATCACGAACGGGTTTACAAATCATCATTTCTCATCTTAATGATCATCCTATACCAGATATTCATCTTGTTAATTTCGGGTTCTGGCTAGTAAAACCTTGCAACACTTTCTCCTCTTCTTCATCTTCCTCTCCTCTTCATTTACCCAACTTTATCATCCTTTGCCGATCAAAAAGTGCACGAATAGTTGAAGATGATTAAATGTTAAGCCCAAGGACAATCAAGGTAAACCAAGAACCAATTCAAGATTATCTAACTTTCCCACCGACTTTGTAAATCCAACTCTCTTACCTAGGTTAATGGGACTATTTTTTATTAAATAATTAGCTAATCAATTAAATTTATAGCCACCATTTGGACACAAAGTTGAACCATCAAGGCTAATGGTTAAATTTAAAGTTTACATTCAAAGGGCCTAACAAAGCCCTTAAAAGGTTTTATTATTTACAGGTAACAATATACATTTTATGATTGCTAGCTGATTAGCATTCAGATATTAAATTACATTGCATAAATTAAAATTTAAAATGCTCGATATCAGTAACAATTTAATATTGAACAGGATAAAAAAACAATGTAGGCGAGCGTTTCTCGATATCATATTGATAATTTGGTTGAATATGGTTAAACAATTGTCAAGCCGATGATCGTTTCACAGGGAACTTGATTGTTGTAATTGCCTGAAGCACTTTGCAACATTACGTGATGAGATCAATGTGGGTTTCATCCTTGGTCATCCTTAAACTGATAAATCTTCATCATTCTCATCATTTTCTTGGTCTCATTTCAAATCAATGCTTAATCGGTAAGTTTCTCACTCTTTACGAGCTTTCCTTGTTTTTTTTACTTTCCAAGGTTATCATGAAAGTACATCAAATCAAGATCAATCATTGAAACCATTGAAGGTGGTAAAAGGGTTAACATGGTGTATCTAGGATGTTACAAAATCAACCTGTTGAACACCTCAGTCTACCTTGGATTGTAAACCAATCTTGCACAATTGTTTCACATGAAACAAGAACCGAAATTGATGGAAATATCATTCCTCACTTCATATCAATTTCAACAATTTAGTAAATTGTTTGTCGCAACCATTGACCAACAATTACCAAGATTATTGCGATAGCCATTGCGCTAGCAACAAGCCAAAGGTTTTTAATGTTAACTATGGTTAATCTGGTTGTTGAGGGTAAAAGTACCTCAGGCTAACTGGTTATTTATTATTTAATTATGCTTAATGAATTGGTAATCTAATTAAACAAGATGAATGATGGATTAATAGAAACAAGACAATTACAATGATGATGATCAATAACGATGATAGATTAGGTTGAAATGAGTAAAACATTGTTTCAATAAAAATGTGATTCTATGTGTTTAAATCTAGTCTAACCATTGCCAAATGTTCAATCAAATAAAAGGCTTGAAAATCACATTTTAATCATTCACAAGTCTGACTTTTTTACCTTTTACATTTCCTTATTTCACAATTCACAAAGTACATTGTCTTCACCATTGGATCCAGAAAGATGATGTTGATGGTGATGATGATGATAAGAGAAATGCTAGACAGATTAAGAGTCAAATATGATGAATAAATACAATTAAAATGAAATACAAAAGCTGCATCTCTTGCAAGTTGAATTTATACAGAGATCCAAGTTGTAAATGCAAACCTAAGCGACCAGCAACATTGCCAAGAAAACTCATCAAATGGCGTTCAATTTAATGCTTTTTAAACCCTATTCTGTCATGAAAAATATGCACTTTTTTCACACAGTTTACATATTTTCCGGTTAACCAGAAAAGCTTGATAACTCATCTTCATCATTTTAACCACAAGTGACAACAACAAACAAAAGTAATCATAGTTTCCCTCGATTTCGTCTGCCGGTAAAAATTGAACCAAAAAATCGTCTCAAACAGATAACTCTTATCATGAGGATCATCACCATTATTGAAAAATAAACTCCGGGGGGAACGAACTTGGCATTGTGTCTTCTGAATATCAGTCTCTATCTTTGCCCAATTTTTGCTTTTCATCATTAGCTTTTTACTTCCGTAACAATTAACAGTCTCGATGGCAAATCAGCTTGGCTTCAATAGTTAACAGTTTCCCTTGTATCGTAATCATTTCGCCTTGATCAAACTGTTCTCAGATCATCCTTGATTTATCATGGATTGAACATTATCACTCCAGTGTGAACAATCAATATTCAAGCCTTAAAGGTGAATTCACAATTTGGATAATTTATTGATTTGTTAATAGGATCTTTTTTGATTACAAAGCTTGGCTTCCTAGTTGGATGAGTCTATTGGGAAAATGTCATTGAGATTGTCGTTAATCTGTATTAAGCAATTTTTGCGGATTAAATTAGTTTAACCATGAAAATATAGACTTCTCGTTATTTCAATTTTGTTGATAATAAATATTAAAATTGTGCTATAATTAAATTACCAATTGGTAGGTTTAGGTTGATGATGTTGTTGGTGTTGGAGGTGATTTTTACTGTCAGATATTTGAGCTGTTGGAAGCAAATCGATGACTAAATATTTTTTCATAGCAACTAAAGTTGACAAGATTACAAGTAAAAATTGGTAACGAACCTTGATGAACAAAAACTGTTATTTACTCTTAAATCAGTTTTGATTTGAGTTTCTCAGTTATTTGGTTAATTGGCTGAGTAAATGATGTTCATTGGTGTTAAAGCTTATCCTGAGTCTTTCATTTCTTTCACTGTCTTGAATATATTTATACTTATGTTTCCCTTTTTGCTTTGAAAATATTTACAATTTAATCATCTTAATATGCGAAATGAAGAAGAGGAGACAAAATTTTCATTTGGTGTTCATCATGATCCATGAATCTTCAAGGCTGCTCCAATTTTATTTGGTGCCAAAGGCTAAAACATTTATTCACTAAGTTAATCTGGCAAGAATGAAGGTTGAAGTGAAAATTAATTATCAATGCTCATTCAGGTCACAGATGATGGTGAAAGTGATGGTTGACTTTATCAAACAAATGTTTCATCTACTTTTAGAGAGAAACATGAAACTAAGATAATGATAATGATAGGTTAATCAATGAGAATCAAGAAAAGGGATGATTCCGGAAAGAATTTGGTTATGAAATAATAATTGAATAATTGATCTATCCAATCAATATTAATAATAGAATGAAAAGTCAGCAAATCTCCTTTGAATATCCTGAATCTTGTGGTTGCAGCAGCTTAATTAAAACAGAATAAAATTAGGCAATTTTATTAAATGAATTGGAATTACGTTTCGCAACCAATCTTCATCATTATTTATTTTAATCAACACCATTAGCCCAGCATCTTACTTCAAACCACTCAAGTGTATCTTATTTTGAACGCAAAATATAATATCTGGTGATAAGCCTAAAGTAAATGGTTTCATATAATTAATATATGGTTGACCAGTCAAGTAATTACCAATATACCTCCAAATTTGACTATATAAACCCTTGAGTCGCATTGATCAGATATCAGTTCACTTTCATCAACCAAACAATCCAATTCTTTATTCCTTTAAGTTGTGTATTCAGCATCAACCAACCAACTCCATTCAATATGATCGCCAAGTTTTCATCAGTTTTCTTCGGAATTGTCCTCCTCGCTCTCGTTGCTTTCTTCGGTAAGTAAACCATTTCTTTTCTCCTGACCAGCGATTGAAAACCATTTAACTTGTCGTATTTTACTTTGCCAATTTTTAGACTCTGCTAATGCTTATGGTGACAAAGGTGGTGGTTCCATTGTTATCCTTGGCGGTCATGGTCAAGGTGGTGGTGGTGGTGGTTACATGCCTTATCCAATGATGATGGGTGGCTTTGGAGGCTTCGGTGGCTTCGGTGGTTTTGGAAGAAGATAAACTGTTCCATTGAAATAAACTGCAGCTACCTAGAATGAGAAATAGAAAAATAATGTATTGATGTAAATTAATAGCTCGCAAAAATTGTTATGAACATTGTTGACCAATAATAAAAAGAATTTTAAAAACTAAAAATGTGATCTTATTTATTTTACTCATTAATTTACCTTTTAGAAATTAGACTAAACCATGTAATTAGCTTAAACTGGAGATTGACTTATCTTGATGATTTATTTCCATTTTTTAATACTGTCCTTTCCGATAATCTCAACCTGGTTACCTTCGGATCCATGATAATACGACAACATTAACACATCCAAGGAAGAAAGAACAAGCTGTCTCAAAGACGAGACAATCAAGGTGAAAGTTAATTAACATTTCAATCACAATTTTCAACGAAACACATATTGAATTATTAATAAGCTGATAACTAAATTCAGTTTCATTCAATAACTTAATTACATTTTATCTTTGATAGAGAACCGGAATTATGAGGATACATTTTTACGATTGAAAGACAAAATCTTTTGGAACTTGGATTAAATAGAATGACACACTAATCAAATATGGAAATTAATTATTTAAAGCAACTAAAAAACAAAATATTAACAGTGATTTAAATTATTAACCATTGAAAGTTGTTTTGTTTTTATGTGAAAATAGACACATAAAGCTATTTTCACATAAAACATTCTCAGCTGGTAAAAAAGGCAAACAATAACAAGGCGCTGTAAACAATTTACATTTGATATACCGTAAGACTAACACTTGTTATCTTTTTTTTGTTAATTTTTTTGCTTTTGTCAACATTATCTGAGTTAATTATTGTTTGGTTGATCATCCATCCTCTCAGGCTATCTGTTTTATTACTTGTGTCATTTAATCATCATAATGATCATTGTTAAATTATTGATGGTAATGGTAAATGGATTAGTTTTATTAGTGATGATGCGAATGAGAATGAGAATACTGATGACGATTTTGATGACAATGATAATTTTTTCTTTCAATTGCTACTCAATTGACCAAGCATAATGGCCCGTAAAAGTTTTTACACTGTTGTTGAAGGTTCCGTCAATTCATTGGCGATCAATAAGGACGCCAACCATGTTGTGGTCGCAGGTCGTAATGTGCTCAAAATGTTTGAGATCCGAGATGATACCAATTCTTTTGTAGAAAAGATCAATTTACGAGTTGGTAAAAACCAATTTAACTACAATACAAATGACATTGCCTGGAGTCATTTGGATGAAAGTCTCTTGGCAACTGCGGCAACTAATGGAATGATCTACATTTGGAATGTGGAAAGAAATGCTCGCGGAAAGGTTGAAAATGTTTTTACTGACCACCGAAGAACTGTGAATAAAATTTGTTTTCATCCTGGAGAAGGTTTCCTTCTTCTCAGTGGCTCACAAGATGGAACCATGAAACTGTTTGATGTAAGAAAAAAAGAAGCCAGTGCAACGTTCCCATCAATGTCGGAAAGTGTCAGAGATGTCCAATTTTCACCCTTCCGTAATTATAATTTTACCGCGGTCCAAGAAAATGGTAACGTTCAAATATGGGACCTTCGGCGTAATGATAAACCTGAGAAGCAATTTACTGCTCATAATGGCCCTATTTATGCCTGTGATTGGCATCCAGAGGACAGAAAATGGCTCGCAACTGCAGGACGTGATAACACAATCAAAGTGTGGGACATTTCAAAGAAACCTAACTGCTGCTATTGCATTCAAACGATGACCTCTGTAGCTCGCGTCGTTTGGAGACCTCATCGCCGCAATAACATTGCCAGTAGCTCTCTTAATGTTGATTTTAGTGTCTATGTTTGGGACATTGATCGTCCTTACGTTCCTTTTGCAGCTTTCACTGAACACCCTGATGTTACAACTTCTATTCTATGGAGAAATGATCCACACACACTAATCTCGGCTGGTAAAGATGCTACACTTTATCAACATGCTTTCAAAGATGCTGAACGACCAGCTAGTCACGCAAATAACGTTGGTTTAGCCTTAAATATTCACGGTGATGTTGCTCTTGCAATCTCAGATTACATTCTTAAATCAAATAACAACAATTCTAACAATGATCATTCAAAAAATTTGAACCGAGAAACAACTGTTGGTAATTCAACTTTTTTCCCAGCTATTGCAAGCTATGCTCTCAATTCGAATTCAAATCTAAATTTTTCACAATTTACTTCGGACAAGATTAATCCATTCAAGAAAAATACTGATCTTACTGAAAAATTTAAATGCTCTTCAAGTTCGCTGAAAATTTTTCACAACACCAATATGGAAAAATGTTTATCAATGGAATGGTTTGTTGCCACTGCTTTAAGGTATAAGTTGTTTGGTAAACCATTTGCTGAACTATGTGAACACAACGCTGAAGTTTCCAAGGAATTAAATCGAGCTCAAGTTGCTCAAACATGGAAAATTTTACGGCTACTCTATTCAACCACCAAATTCGGTCAAAATAGTGGATCAAGTGAAATGCGATCCTCAGCGACAATTGGAGAAAGGCCTACCGGTGAAAGTAAATCTCGCCATGTTAGTAAAGGCACTAGTGGTGGAGGAAGTGTAGAGCCGCGTCCCGGTGGAGACAATCGTGTATCTTCAACTTCTAGTATTAACTCACTATTAATTGGCGGGACTAGATTATTCAATAATAATGAATCAAATGCTAATCATGATAATGAAGCAACTATTTCCTATCTAAATGATGCTAAACAGCCTGTTGATGCATCAACATCAGCTATCGATGATCAAAGTGGCTTTTTCTTCGGGGAAGAAGAAATTGTATCATCAATGACCAATTTTACCACAGATTTCGATTTGACACCCTCATCAACTCTGTTCGATGGACTTGAAAATAATCATCTATTTACTGAATCATTCCGTACTACCATTAATGAAAGTTATCTTCTTCCTGAAATTTTTCCTTCACACCATCCTCATCAATCTCATTATCATCATCATCTTCTTCGAGAATCCGGTTCATCTGATCTGGATGATACAGACAGTCTGGATGGAATCAACAAAGATGTTCACCATTCATCATTGGAAGACTCAGATGAACCTGCAAAATATCTTCTCACCTCCAACTTACCACCCCTTCCAACTTGGAAATTCAATGATCTTGTGATAGAAATGTTACAAGATTACGCAAATAAGGGAGATATTCAAACGACCGTATCAATGATGATAGTTTTAGGAGAAAGGCTCAAGAATTCTCTTGATGAATCAGTTCAAGAATTTTGGGTCCACTCTTATATCGGTATGATTTTAAAAACACACCCAAACTAACCTAATCCATTGAATCTACTTTGATTTTCAATTTCAAACAATTTAAAATATTTCCATTATTAACTTTCAGAACTTTTAAGTCGTTTTCAACTTTGGAATGTTGTTAATCAGATTATCCGAGCCTGTAATTTACCCAATATTAACAGCATCAATCAAACATCAACAACCATTTATACAAGCTGTGGTAAATGTCAAAAAGGTTCTGCAAGTAAAGTTGGATGGCTTTGTGATAAATGTAAAGCTTTGCCTTCTCAATGCTCAATATGGTCAGTTTTAATTTTATTCATCACCTCATTCATTCTAATTTATATTCATAAACTGTTTATTTCTATTTTAGCCATGAAATAGTTAAAGGACTGTATATATGGTGTCAAGGCTGCTCTCATGGTGGTCATCTTCAACATATCACTGAATGGCTTAAAAGAAGTCGAGAATGTCCATCTGGATGTGGCCATCTTTGTGAATACACTTGATTACCAAATATTTTCTTTTTCATTTATTTAACGCAATTATTATTATTATTATCACTATTTCTACTCTCGTATTTCATTTTCAACTCTATATTATTACTATAAAATGGACCTTCTTGAAAAGCAAAGCCCAGAATCCTAAACCAAAAGACAATAGAATTCTATTTCATATTATTCAGATTCTATTCGAAATAGTCTGAAAAAATCAAAATATCATCAATTTGTAAACAAACCTATTCGAAATATTTGTCGAGAAAACAGTTTTTTTTCAAACTACAACCAATAATATTCATTTCCTTTCCCGATAAATTTCTATTGGTAAAAACATCATTGTCCTCCAATACCTTATTGTGTACACATCCAATTGTATTCATTTTGTTTTTAATCTTTTCATCAATCAACAATGAATTTTGTTAACGATTACATAAAACTCATGTTGGTATAAATTGAGTAATAATTCAGCCAAATTAGCCACCAATCATGATGCAAATGAATTTAGTGATTTTTTTCTTCAGATTTTGATACTGTAAACATGAATAGGTTATAGTTTTGGTATCGGTTAATAATTGTCTTTTAAACTTTTATTCACTGACTGCCTTACAGGTTTGAAGCTTACAAAGCTTTTGTTAGTTGCATTTTTACTAATTTGTAAGAAAAATCAAATAATTATTACAATAAAACAACAATTAAAGCATAGTTATTTATTTTGAAATAGCTACTGTGTCTGTAAAATTGACCAGTTAAATTAACATTTACTTACATATTTGAAATTGCAAAAATGAACAATAATCAATCATAATGGTTTTTTTTATTTCCATTTTTTTGCATTTTCATTTTCTTCATTTTTAGCTTCCTCCATTCGTTTGCTTCTTGTTTGTTCTCTATTTTCTTTTGACGATTTGCTTTAGCCTCCTTTATTTGCTTCATTACTTTCATCTTTTTGGCCTCTTGTCGAAGCGATTTACCACGTTTTTTCAGTTTTTCCATATTTTCATACATTTTTCGATTAACCTTGGGGAGTACAATAGGTTCATCTTCTTTGAATGGTTTCGCTTTTACACCCATATAATCCATCTCTTCGTCTGGAATATCGGTAAAATCTGTATGATCTTGTTCTGTGTGGAAATCACCATTTTTACGCTTTTTTCTTACAGCAGATAACTTCTCAATTGAAAATTCAACAATCGGCCTCTTATGAGCAGTAAAAGTATTTGGATTATTGTTTAAACGTCGTAAGCATTGGAGTGCATCAGCATGGCTCGAGAAAGTGACAAAACCAAAACCACTCGATTTACCTAGACCCGCCTGATTGACGTTTCTAATAATTTTTGCCTAAATTAAATAAAATAAACAAAAATCAATTTAGTAAATAGCAAGAGTCTGAAAATAGACTGTTATTTAGTTATTTACCTCAGTTATTTTAGCTTTGGAATTATCAATAACTTTTAAACACAAATTTCTCAGCTGCTTATCTGTGTAATCTTCGGGAATATTGTGAATACAAAGTCGATTACGGGAAACAAAATTATTCAGATTTCCAAGTTTAGATCGTTTGGCCACCTCAAGCTAGAAAAAAATAAATTGATATATTAATATGAGAAATTGAAAATTGTTTACATTTTTTGATTAAATTCATACCTGTAATCTCTTTTTTAGATCATTTTGACTGACACCTTCGGAAGCAGGAGAATCTGGATAAATTAACCCTTCTTTAGCTAGATACAGATTCCGTTTATCTCGTAGCTTAGTTTTTCTCTTTTGACTCAATTCTTGAGCTTTACCTTTGGTAACAGCTAGAAATACTTCAAATTTGCGATTAACTAAAACGAATTTCTGAGGTTCGTTTCTATAGGATGCTAAACATTTATCAGCATCTTCTTTGTTAACAAACTTCACAAAAGCAGTTCCTCTTGGATGGCCAAATTCATCTTTACAAAACATACAATATTCCAATTCACCAAATTCAGTCATGAAATTGACCAAATCATCTTTCTTGCAGTCGAAAGAAAGGCTTTTAACAAAAATAGTCTTCCCTTCACGAGCATCGCGCAAACTTGTACGCTCTTTTTTTGTTGATACGGTAGACTCATCATCTGAAGACATGGCCAATAGATTAAATTAAATAACAAAATTAACAGATGATACAAGCTGGAGATCAAATAGATTATAAAAAACACAACTGAAGATGTCAACACGTGGGTTTTGTTTTTGTCCTATTAGCTCAGCTAATCAACAGCTGAGTAAACGCGCCCTCTGTTTTTTTCTTTACTAACTAACTATCTTTCGTCAGTGATTTATTTTGGGAATGAACAATTACAAATGCTTGATTAAAATGGTTTTAATGGTTAATATACAATTTAAATTGTTAATTACTATGGAAATCGAAATTTTTTAAAATAGAAATCGCAGAAAAAATAAGCTCAATATGTTTTTGAATTAGACTTTCTTAATAGAATGAAACTAATGAAACTTTTTTGATTTTAACCTCCATCATTTTGTGGAGACGTTTTTGAATTAAAATGATATTTTAATACTGTCATCTACCAGATAATGTCACTACCAGATAATGTCAGTAAATTTATGCTCGGTCCCTTAAAATCACTATTCTCCTTTTGTTTATGTTTTTTCAACGTGTTTTTTAGTTATGCCTCGGCGTAATCTTAGTATTCTTGAAAAAACCTCTTTAATTGAGGACATCGAAAATGGTTTAGAAGCTAAAGAAGCCACGAAATTATACAAGGTCAGTCCTAGGACTATATTTCGTACTCTCAGTAATAAACAAAACCTATTAGAAGCTTGTGAGAATGGCCAAGGGAAGCGAACAAGGTTAGATTTTTTAGATGTGTTTAAATGTTTTTTTCTAATTTTATATTTCTTATTACATTTAGGATTGAGAAAAATGAAATGTTGAGAAGACATGATGATGAAGTTAAACTGTTTATATTGAAATGCTTGGAGAAAGGAATCCCATTGAAAGCGACTTTCATCATTGAAAAGGCTAAAATGATAGCTCATGAAATGGGTTACTTTAGATTACAGTGTTCATGGCAATGGTTTAAACGTTTTAGAGAGCGAATTAAATTGAAACAAGGAACTTTATCTGGTGAAAGAATCTCAGTAAATAGTGAAGTGGTTAAGGATTGGCGAGAAAACAAGATACCAAGAATAATGTTAAATTGGCAAAAAGAGTTTGTTTTCAATTGCGACGAAACTTCACTTTTTTGGCGTCAATCTCCATCAAAAACCTATTTTATATCTAAAACAGATCATATTGGAGATAAGATATTTCATGAAAGAATATCAATTCTTTTTTGTGTTAATCAAGCTGGTCAAAAACTTAAGCCACTTATAATAGGTAAAGCCGCAAAACCTCGTTGTTTTTATAAAGATTGTCTTTTGGATTTGGAGCTTACATATGTTTCACAGTCAAACGCGTGGATGAATCTCAATTTATTTACTGACTGGTTGAAAAATTGGCATATTGAACTTGTTGGTCAAAACAAAAAAGTATTACTTTTACTAGATAATTTCAAGGGACACAAAATTAATACTGAAGATTTTCCAATGATAACTTTCAATTTTCTTCCACCATCCACTACTAGTCTTACTCAACCATTGGATGGTGGAATAATTCGAGCTTTCAAAGCTAAATATTTAAATATCTTTGTTAAATATATTTTAAATGGAATAGATTCTGGTCGAATGAGTGATATTGTTAAAAATATAAATTTACTGAATGCCTTAAACTGGGTTGATGAGTGTTGGAAAGCTATACCAGAGCAAACTATATGTAATTGTTGGTCACATTTTGGCTATGTAAGCCTTGATTTAATGGAAATTAATAATGTTTATGAAGAAGAGCTTGTTACCAATTTAAATGAACTGTCCCTAAATTTAACCAATTGTTGTTCCTCCAAAGAGTTTATTGAACAAGTTTCATTTGATTACTTAGATTTTGAATAAAGACTATTCTTACATCACTTTCGTGTAAATAAGCTATTTCCAGGTAGTGACATTATCTGGTAGATGACAGTAAATCATTCAATCATCTTTATAAAGATTTCCATCATTTTTAATGGCGACAAGTGGTTTGAAGCAAAACAGTTGGACACAACATTTACTTGGTCACTAGGAAGTGCAGTGTAGCTGATGATGATTTTGGATACTCGACTCATTAAATTGCGTACAAAAAAAGGAAACTTAGGAGCCTCCTTGAACCAGTTTCTCAAGAGACAAGAATAAAAGAAATTGAGGAATCCAGTCACCGTGAACTTGAGCGAGTTTGTTTACCTGGTTGGGTTAAATGAATTCATAAAAAAAAGCTAATTGAGATGGAAGCGATTTGATCGAATAAATGAGATTCAAGAAATAAAATTCCAATAATTAAAAGCAACATAACCCGGTGTTTTATTATTAATCACGTAAATCAAAACAAATAGAGATGTAATCCAAAATACTAATTTAACAAAGAATCGGGTTGAATACAGATCTTAAGCCATTTCCAGCTAACTGTTTACAAGACATAAACAATGATTTTGCACATTATAAAAATAACGTCTGAATTACCACCATTACCAATTATCTATCGTCCAGAATACTGCATTCAAGTTGGTTTTATTTGTCTTGAAGGATCAATGGAATAATATCATAACGTTGATGAACCATTGTTGTTTATGGTTTTTCATGAATCGGTAGATTTTTGAATGTTGACAGATTAACTGTTTCAAGACTTGAAAGACTCTTTTTTGTGTATTTGCTATCCTTAAAACTGTCATACGGTTATTTGAAGATGAAAAATAAAAGATTATTTTTTTGTGCAATTCATTTTCTTGTGAGCTCCCCTGAGGTTACATACAACCCTGCAAATCATCAGTATCATCTTAATTCTTAGCATTTTTACCTTTCAACCTGCATTTCTTCCGTTTACATTGACTTGATCTCAAATAGCTTTGTGTAAATTCATTTATCCGTAACCCAAACCCGGTGTTCAAGCCCAACTCAAGTTCATGGTAACCGGATTCTTCTACTTCTTATATTTGTGTCTTTTCAGGTAAAAACAGGTTCAAAGAACCTCTCAAATCTTCTCTGTTTAACTTAATGTTTTTCATGATGATAACATTATCCTCATCTTCATTATTATCATCATCATCATTCTAACAGTACTTCCTAGTGACCGGGTAAATGTGAGTTTTGTTTTGCTCACAGTTTTATTTCACTCAACCCGACTTGAACATTTTTAATAGGTTTAGTTTAGTTTGGATGTTCAACACTAACTGTTGATATATTGTTCAATATTTAACTTTTATAACTTTTTTATACAAAGTCTTATTTATTTCTTAAGTTATTCTTGTAATTTATTCATTCTGCAAAAAAAATTCAATCTCTTTTCAAAATGAAAGTATCAGTTGTGTTGGTATTTACAGTCATCTTTATTTCAGCATCTGTTTCTGCTTCCGATGAAAATTCTTCAACATCAGTAGCTGCTCGTCAAGCTCGTTTCGAGGAAAGGAAACTTCGCTATGAACAGGATAAAAAAGATATACAATCATTCATGACTACAAAGAATCTATTTAAAACTGTAGTTAAAATATTATTCGGCACTAGTGATGAAAGTGCGGCAACATCAAGACAAGTATTGAACGTCCTCGTACAGGTATGTATTGGATAAACGATATTTCAGAATGAAAAATAAAAATAATTTTCCATCGACAGGCTCTCGATATGATCCGTAATTCATTCAGTCAAAGAGCTAGGAGTTCAACTTCTCGTGGTCTGAGGGAAGCTGTTGATGATGCCACAGTTGCTGGAGTAACAATGTTACGTGGTTATGTTAAATCAGTACTTGCTGGTGATGATCAATGTGCTCAAAGACATTTATGTGAATCCTCCAAGGATGCCATCAGAGAAGGTCGTGAACTCGGTTACATAGTTTCACAGGTCGGAGGGTAAGTATTAAAAAACAATCAACAATTTGTCTGTTGATAAACTATTCTGAACTCGTCTCTTTACTATTTTTAACTTTCTTGACAGGTATGCATCAAGCTATCTCCTTCAACAGCAAAAATCAATCCCATCAACCTCCACTTATGATGCTGTAAGACGAGGACGAAGTGGTGAAGACTGTGCCAAGATTTATACTAATTGTAACGAGGCGGAATAGACTTGATTATTAAACTTGGTTTATTAAACTGTCCAACACGTTTCCATCCCGCTATATTTAAAAACTGGTAATTGTGATCCAAAAGATCATTTCAACTGTTAAAATTGATTGATCTTTCCAGTCAAACTTATTTATTTATTTATTTTCCTTGAATTTATCCAAATCTGTAACCTTAATAATATACGGCAATCTGTTGTTCCTTCCAAGGTTGACAATTAAAATATAAATATTTGTCCATTTAATTATTCACACCAATCGAAATTTCCTGATCAATCCAGTCACAATAAAAAAATAATTATACTTCGTAAGTCCAATAATGTTCGATGTCAATTCAACTTTTCCACGATCGAGTCATAAGTTAGCTCTTTGATTGTTTTTATCTTATGCTTTGGGTTGATGGCATCGCTAGTTGAATCATCTTTTCCAAAAAGTAAAGCATTCCATTTGCAATTTTTAGCAGCAAGATAATCCTTGACTAAATCATCACCAATATGAAGAGCTTGATTAGGATCTTTCAAGTCAATTTTATCTAAGGCTGTTTGAAAAACTTTAGGATCAGGTTTGGCGGCCCGAATGAATTGCGGTAAAATAATAAATTGAAAAAAATGACCTATTCCTAGTTGACTTAAAATTTTTGGCAATCGTTCGTCAGAGTTAGATATTACACCAATTTGAATTGATCTTCCATTTTTTTGTAGAGCACTTAATGTATCTTCAACTCCATCTATCAATTGATAAGGCTCAGCGGTGGAAAATAATTTGTACAGGTGAGTGGAAGTTAACTTTAACTTAGATTCCATCTCAGGCGACATTTCAATACCACTGACAGAGAAAGTGCGAACCACCAATCGATGCCACCATTGATTACAGTTAATCCCCTCAGTGACTCCATAAAAGGGAGACTCTTTTTTCAATTGTTTCATCAAAATTGTGAAGTTAGAGTTAATGGCTTTAACTGTGTTCTCATTATTGCACTTGATTCCATAAAGATCAGCAATTTTACAATACTCATAGCCAACTGAGGATTTAAATTTGATGAGAGTATTTGTAACATCGAATGTGATCAGTCTTATTGTTTGCATGTTAATGCAAACCGATTCGTAAAATAAATCGAAAAGTTTGAAACAATGGCACTTACAGATATAACATAGGACTAGTCATTGAATAAATAAATAACGATAAGAGCGAGTAGATGTTGAAACGTCCAAATATTTACAGTATTTGTTCAATCACGTGAAATTAGGAAAATAGATAAAGTAGCGCCATCTAGTTTTCTTAACGAAATAATCGTTTTCCACTTTGCTTTGAGTAAAAAGCTTGAGTTTTACAATTTCTTTGATTATATTCAGATTTTTGAAATTCAAGTGAACTTCAATAAGATTGAATGTTTCTGCATTGGAAGAAACGAATTTTTAAAACGAGGAAACCTGATAGGAATTAGACTTTAATAAGGTTGCGCGATTATTCAACATTAAAACGAAGTGTTTTCATTCTCACTGAAAATAAACGATTGCTTTGACATTGGTCGAGTCATTTTAATTGAATATCCACTGGTCAATCTTAAGACTTCGATATCAATTTCCTTTTCAATAACTTTGATATCAAGAGACGGTAACCATTCACTGGATTACACCTTCTGTTATCAAGCAATCACATAATCCCAAACCATTCAACATCAACAGTCAATTTCACTCATTTTTACGCTGCTATTTGATTTCTGATTAACATTTGAAGGAATTTTCTGAATCACACTCTTTTTCTTATTGGGAAGCATTTGTTTCAAGTTGATAATAATTGTAAATTATCTGAGGTTAAACAATATTGAAACAATATCAGCGGAAAATCAAATCAGAATCAATCAAATGAAAATAGAAAGTTTAGATTTCAAATCCTGGCGCTTTGAATTAACCATCAAGTATCCGATTACAAATTTTTGTGAATGAAGCCACCTTACGGCGCCACGAGTTTAGCATTACTCATTGAGTAACCAAAACAGCTCCTGGTGGGTGAGAGCAGTTACAATTTAAGGCATAGTTGCTTAGGTTGGATTGTCGTTTATGGTGAAAAATGTAATCTGTGCAAGTGTTTTATGTATGAATTAAATATCTTATTTCAATCGTTTTTTTTCCTTGCCGTGATATTATTAAAACAATGGTTCATAGCGAACTTTAAATAAATCTTCCTTTGTAAATAATGAGAGGATTGATGGTTCAATCGGGGTAAGTTTTATTAGTAATTACTCTTTTTAAAATTGACTTGTTCCTGTTGTTTTACTTTCATTCTGTAGTATACATTCAATATAAATTCTTTACTTTTTGGCGAATACGTTTCTCTCTTACTTTCTACTGTCTTTCTTTGCTACTTTTTCTGCTTGTTTGTACTCTCTCTTTTTACTTTATTTTTAAAGGTCTTCACTGTTTTACCCTTTTCAATGTTCCTAATTGTTTTAGTGTCACCTAATTTTACTTTTTCTTTTTTAGAACCTTACCCAATCAACGATTGAAGAAAGGTATAACTGCCTCATTAGCCCCAGATGGTAGAATATATTACTTTAATCATGTAAATCAAACGACTTCCTGGTTACCACCAATCGATTCATGGGATGCCGGTGATCCATGTTTACCCTATGGTTGGGAAATTGCTTGTGATGCAGAGGGCAAAAATTATTACATTAATCATCTTAATAAGACTACAACGTATGAAGATCCAAGAAAAGATGACGACGATCCACCACCTCAGCCTAGAGAGGTTGAATTATTTCGCCATCCTGAATGGGGTTTTGGCTTCGTTGCAGGCTCAGAGAAGCCTGTAATAGTTCGTTCAGTTAAAGAAGGGGGACCCAGTGATGATAAATTGCTACCTGGAGATCAAATACTCAAAATTAATGGAATAGATATGATTCGAGCTCCTCGTGAAGAAGTTATTGAAATGGTTAAATCTTGTCAACACTCTGTTAAACTCACTGTTTGTCAACCGTTTTCAACTCGTAAATCAGCCATTTTAACAGCCGCCAAGAAAGCCAAATTAAAATCTAATCCATCTAGGGTACGATTTGCCGAAGGAGTTGCCATAAATGGTTCACCTTTATATTGTCAAACACCTTTCGAATCAGCAGTTCCATTCATGCCAAATGTTTTAAAAGTTTTCCTGGAAAATGGTCAAACTAAAACATTTAAGTATGACAGTTCTATAACAGTGCAAGATGTTTTAAACTCTCTCGTTGAGAAACTCGACCTTCGTTGCTCAGAATATTACAGTTTATGTACGGAACACATAAAATCTATTCGACGTAACAAATTAACCATTTTGGACCCCAAAGATACTTTATCAAAAATTGCTGCTAGACCCGGTGCTCACAATTTGCGATGTCTATTCAGGATGACTTTTGTGCCAAAAGATACGAATGAATTATACGAAAAAGACCTTAATAGTTTTGAATATTTATATGGACAGTGTTGCAATGATGTTGTTCAAGAAAGATTTACTCCTGAATTAAATTACGAAATTGCTCTTCGTCTCTGTGCCCTTCACCTTTACAAGCATGCACTTGTTAATGGTTTGGTGAATAGTCGTGGTAAAGTTAATTTAAAAGCTGTTGAAAAAGAGTATGGTCTAGAGCCTTTTGTGCCATACACATTGGCAGAAACAATGAAACGCAAACAACTCCGCAAATATCTCAGTCATTCCCTAAAACAGAACCGCGTGTTCATTCCATCGGGCCAAAAACATCTTACAGAGACACAAACAAAAATTCATTATTTATCTTTTATCAGTGAAATGCCATGTTATGGAGCTAAACTATTCTTAACCAACATTCACGATTCAACTGCTGATTCGGCTTTGCTCATATCTCCCAAATATGGTATTAGTCATGTTACCCGTGGACGTCAATCATCACCCATAACTTTAGCCAAAATAGAGGATGTCACCAGTATCAAAGTAACCAAAGATGATGATCTGAGTTTTACAGTTGAAATTCAACTCAAAGGATCTGGAAGCTCCATTGAAACATCACCGTTACATTTTGCTCTAGATGAAAAAGATACCGAAGAGTTTGCCTTGGTCTTAAAAGGCTATCATAATCTATTAACTGGAAATACTGATTTATCCAAAGAGATTCCCGTCTATTGGGATGTGGGTCCTTCATGGTGGACTGATTCAGGTAAAACATTAATCATTACTTACCAAATTATTATCTTTTTTTCAAGGAAATGGAAACAAAAGATTATCGAAAAGACAAAAGCTTCAAATTGACATGGAATGAGAGGAAAAACATGAAGCTTAAAAACATTACCATCGTCATAAATAACTCAACAGTTACTTTGATCCTGTTTTAGTTGAAACTTTTATCTATTATAGCAGCGACAAATAGTAATAATACTTTATATAAATTACAAGGGTAGTTTTACAATAGACCAATTGAAACCTGATAAAAGGCCGTTCAATTTGTACAATATATTTGAACATGAAATTGTCATTCCAATTAATTTTTTCTCTTTCTCTTCCTATTTTCAAATGCTTATCAAAGATTTAAGGGAATCAATGAATGGAAAGGGTAGGAATTTAATCATAATCATTGTCATTTTCCCCATTTATTTTTTTCGTTCACTAGCATGTTTGCCTATCATTATAATAACTATGACAATTATTTTAAATGTTATTCATCTAATCATCTATCATTGGCCAGGCTTCCAAAATTATCTTTAAAAAGGTTTCATCAATTATTTCAATTGTAACAGTTGATTAATCATTACCAGATTAACATTTGTAATACTTTTGATAATCACCTCGATTAAGTCATTTTTAATGCAATTACACCAACAATACATTGACCAGAACAAGATCAATGGTGATTAATAATCCATCTAAACAAGTTGAATGATCATTAAATCATAAACAAAAGATGAGTGATGACTAAAAATACATCCCAGTATAAAATTGATTGATTGATTGATCAGTTGCCTATTACAAATTAAATTAACTGCTTTTGATAACTTTTATTAGTTTATAGCATCTCTTGATACCTTTCATGACTGTAAATTGATAATTTGTTTTCCTCTAATTTCTCGGAAAAAAAATATCTTGTCAATTGTTGCCATTCAATTAACAATGAATTTTCATCTTCATTTTTCTTCCCAAGCCAGACTGCCTCATGTCCTTTCCTTTCATCTTTCAAGGCTACCCTTTCATGTAATAATACGTTGATTACATTATTGTCTTCATCTTCATATTTCCTCAAACATTTTTTTACCTTGAGGACACTCTAAAAATTCAATCATTACTCAACAGTTACAGGTAACCATGAGGATGAACATTCCACTATTGATTCCCTCTGACTTTAGGCAGATTTACCTTGTCTTACCAATATGCTAGGTTTGCCGGTTTGCTCCTACTTTTGTTCATCTTCATCCTTTTCATTTTTCCTCTTCAAGTCTCGAGGAGACAAAAATTTAAAGTACTCATGCCCTTCACTCAAGTATTTTCATACTGTTTAAATAATATCTCAATATTGAAATACAGCAAATCTAATCTAAAATCTGCCCACTAATGTTCCATATTTTTACTGATCAACTGCTAAAAAATATCCTTCAATCATTCAATGTTGATGCTAATTGAGTACATTTTTAATTATTCATCTTGACAAGAAGAAATGAGCTATAAAACTTGGATAATGAAACTTCTTAATTTCTGTAATTCTTCCAAATATTCAGATTTAAACTGACTTTCAAATGAACAAGATTCAGGAAGCAAAAAGAGTTGAAACCATAGACTTGAAATATTGATTTAAAGGCTGTGGCTCGATACATCTTTGACAGTATAATAACCCTTGATGGTTACCTCTTCCCTAACAGATATAATCATGTAATTTTATTAATACCATAACTCAATTATACAATTGAATTTCACATTCTCTCCACCTTGTTGTGAAAAGGACATCTCGATTGTTCAATTGTGGCCATTTCTATCATTGTTTTATTGTTTCAATTGTTTGGCGACAATTTACAGTCATGATCAACCTTCAACCATTTATCTTGAAAATTGTCCCAATTTCTGGTTTCTCATCTTTCCTCAATCTCTTGCCGGCACTAATTCAATCCATTTCTTAACCCTTTGTTTATCTCTTTTAATATTTCTTCTGATCAGGGCAAGTAGTAAGAAAATCTGGATGAATCCAGACAAATAAGGATGTAACATTTTTAAGTGAACTTTTTTTCCATCTTGCAGACATTACTGATATTTGTCCTCCTTATCCTGGTTTTATTGATTTCAGTTTCATACTCTAATTTCAGTTTTCCAGTTCAATTTTGAATTTTGATACTAAACCTAATTAACTAGTAAACTTTGGCGCATTTACTCTGAATCCTTTTTTTGTCGCTTGAATCATGCATTCCAGGATGAAAAAGAATTGATTGAATGAATGAATTGCGATCAAACATTTCACATTTTGTTTCACACTTTTTTTCACCAACTCTACTATTCCAATTTCAATCGTAATTGTTAACAATTGTTTAATATTTCTGTATATTTGTCGTTAGTCAACTTTATTTTCAAACAAAAATGTCAAGTTCACTGTAAATTGTTAATTAGATACTAACACTTGCAAATCAGTTAATTCACCATCAATTTAGTGCTTTTCAACCGTTTCTTGCTTTCAAGTGAAAAGATCCATTACAACTCATTGCAATTCAATTCAACTCTTTTTTTTCATTGATATTAATTTATTTGATATTTGTACTATTGAGTTTGGTGTTGTTATCAAGTTAAATAAACTGGAACCAATATTTGCTCCTAAATACAGATTTTAAAAGCTTTAGATGAACGTTTGTTTAACTTGATTTGCTCAAACATTTAGTTGTTTGATTAGTAATGAATCATGGCTCAGACTGTTTTATTAAAAAACAAATAAAAGCCTAAAGATGTTGAAAAGTGTCTTAATTTTGCTCTCTATTGCATTGTAAACACTCTCAATTATTGTGTAGCAAAAAAAATGCATTTTATTATAAGATAATTGTTTTGAAAATTTCTTGCAATTCAATTCTTATTACAACTCTCACCATAACTTTGGCTATCATTATTTTACCCATGATTATTTTTTGAAGCAACTTGAAATAGAGAAGATGATGATGATGAGAATCTGAGAAAGGATGAACAATTTGTGAGGCCATTTTTTTCCTCTAAACACTAGTATATTTGATAATGATGCTTATCTACTCTTGAAATACCCAGTCCATGATGTAAAACAACAATAACAATCATTAAAATAATAATCATCATCATCAACATCATCATTTCTTCCCAAGAAAAAGTTGTTTAATTTATCTACAATCACGCCTACGAAACATACAGCTAGCTGGTTTAATAATCATTACTTTCACTTGATTTTAATCATTTCAGTTATCAACATCTTTTTTAACACTACGCTTTGAGTCATTTATCTCTATGAACCACAGCTTTTCAGCCTTTCCTATCAGATTGTTCAATAAATTGATTCCTTTGATCAGTTGCTTTCTCTTGTTAACTCTTTTTTCCCTTTTTTTCATGTTTTATTAGCATCTCGTTCCGGGTTTTTTGCCAGCTTCCAAAATCAGATAATAAGATGACAATAAAAAGCTGAATTTCTTCTTCTTCTTATCACTTCATCATGTGAATTATGCTTTTCAAGCCCTTTAATCATGGCAAAAGTAAAATCCCTGGTGACAGAGTTTATTAATTTACAATGAAAAATATATATTTTATTGTAATGCGGTTTTCCTCTTTTCCACTTCCAATCACAATTAAATCACACCATTAATGTTATAGTTTATATATATTATTGTATGCGTCATTTATTGTAAATTGGCAATTGATTGGTTAATTGATGTTTTGTTTTGTTGTATTTGCTTTTCATCATTTCACTCAATTTTTTTGCAACTTGTTCTCATCATTTATTCATATCATATCACCTGTAGTAATTAGCAAATGAACCATTTCTCTATCTCTATCTGATCTTGTCATTTTTCAAATTTTCACTCAAACTGAGTTGCACTTGATTGGCTCATCTTAACATTATTATCATTACTATTATTATTTTAATCATTATTTTTAATCCGGTTTATCGATAATTTTTTTGCATTTTGATTTTTATTGCTTACACACAGCATAATTATACAATTATGACAAACTTAACCCGATTGCAACCCAAACTTGATCAACTGCCTGTTTATGCTAATCAAGTTGAAAGCTTCTCCATGTGTGTTCAAAAGTTTAATTTTCATTTTTGTTTTCTTCTTCTTCTTTTTTACCTTTAGCTCCGAGTTATCATGGTAAACATTTAGTTAAACCAGCTCCTTGGTCTTATCCACCATCAGACAATCCCAATGAACTAAAAATGGTTAACTTATCACTACCTCCGCCTAGTTACAGTCCAAATGAATCTTTGTGCTCTAATTATCCCAAAGGAAGTCCAATGATTCCTCCTGAAACCCACCTAGATCACAATATGAACAATTCATCCAACTCTTCAACTGCATCTCGTCTTTTGGGTGAATCTTCATCTTCACTTAGAAACCAAATCTCTGGATTTACCCGTAAAAATGAGATACTCTTTAAAGAAACGACAAAAGATGATATTAATAATGGACTTTCCAGTTCAGATGACATCATGCAACGAGTATTGGAAATGAATAAAATAATTGCTGATGCTGAAACCTATCTCAGTGAAAATGAAGGCCTAACAAATGATAACTCTGATAAAAGGCTGATAGATAATGAAGAGGAAGTCAGCGAGTCTTGTGATCATCATCCTCAGCTTAAAGCTGCAGATTCGTTGTTATTTTTAACTCATATTGATGATACAAGTAATTGTCGAGACAAAATAGCAGGTATTTTCACCATCTTAATAACAATAATAACTGACACTAAAAAACATGTAATCACCAGTAGAGAGACTCTTTTAATTCTGTCAGTTGAATAAATTCTTGAGCAATTGTTTTTTCTCTCCTTTTTGGGTTCTCTTTTTGATGTCTCATTTATAAATTTTTCATCTTTTTTTTCTTCTTCTTCTATTATACAGAATCCATCGACGATTCTCCCTTTGAAAGTGATACTGATGTTGAAAGTTTAATAACAATAAACGGAAGCCTGTCTCATGTGCAATCAAGTGAAACAACGTGCCTTAAAAATGATGCTGAAAAAATGGAAGCATTTGAGTACAATCATCTTAATAATAATTCAATCATCAGTAAAAATGCTAATAATAACGTTAATAACAGCACCATCTCTAACCACATGAATAGTAATAATAATAATAATAATAATAGTAATAGTAATAATTCAAGCGCCAATAAAGTTACTATACCAATACCCGGTAGTAGTAATGGATCAAGTTTTGGTCTCCATAGTCCTGATGTTATACCAAGTCTTAGTGATACTGAGAATGATCTCATTGAAACGTTAAAGGCTTTACAAAATCCTGGTGAATATCAGATACCTTTCTCGGAGACGACACTGTATCTTGACCAAGATATTATCGATTTAACTGCAATCCCACCGCCCAAGACACCCGACTTTGATCTATCATCTTCACCCTCGTCAAAATCATCTTCACCATCATCGCCATCACCTTATGCAATACCCTACTTACAATCAACTAATCATCATTATGAATTGTCTCCTTCCTCACCAACGCCTTATGGAAGGCTTAAAAATAGTGCAAGAAATTTGTCTAATACGTTAAATAATAATAAAAATAATAACAACACCATTTTAAATGGAAATAGCAAAATTGTCAACAATGACAATGGCATGGATGATAATTATCATAAAGATTATAAGCATAATGGAGTCCAAGATTCACCAACTAATTTGGCAAACGTTCAACTATTGGCAGAGTATGACAGAATGTGTGATAATCTGAAAGATTTACAGCTTCTGTCTAATTTAGGATCTTCCCTGCTCAGCTCATCGTCCATAAATTATCCTGCTGCCCCACTTGATACTGAAATTTTAAAATCTTTACCCCAAGACATTGATAAATTTATTGCCACGGTTACCGTCCCACCTCCTACAACAGCCTTGTCAGCTAATCTGGTTGATGAGGCAAATTATGACAATGGCTACGAGTCCAATAAGGATGACTGTGATTACCTTAGTTCACTAATAATACCACCTCCACCTTTAAGTTCACCCTCATTCAATCAAGAGCAAAACGACATAATTGCCCGCTTTTGGAAAGCTACCGATGACGTTAGAAAGGTTTGCAATGACAGAGATGATTCAAGTCCGCGATTATCTTGCCGGGGACTTCATAGTAGTTCCAGTGGTGACTCTGGTTATGATTCAATAATAAACTCTTCGCCCTTCTTCTCGTCATCTTCCGCATCTTCAACCCTCACAAATAGCACCATCAATGCTACCAATCATAACAATAGCAACAATTCATTTCACCATCCATCTCAAACTCATTACCAGCTCAACAATAGCAATATTAATGGTGATTGGTCTTCAACATCGCCTAACTGCAATGAAAGTATAAATTATGATAAATTTTTCCTGCCAACAGTAGAAGAGATTCCAATGTGTCGATCTAATTTAAGCAACATTTACTCTCGACTTACTATTGACAATCATGGTTCATCAAATACAACCAGCAACAGCAGTTCAAACATATCTACATCAACCCAATCACCATACCTAGATTTACTCTCATTATCAACAAATAATAAAAGGATCTCAGAAAGCTCAAGTTGTGATGATCTTTACTGTTTCTCAAGAAAAACTGAAAATGAGGTGAGATGATTCACTTCACTGTAACCTCAACTCTTTTCACTCGTACCTTACCGATTGAATTATTTTTTACATTATTTTTGACATCATCTTCCTTTCACCTTACCTAAAACCATACAAAGCACGCATAAATGCAAAAAAAACAAACCTAACACAAAACTACAGGTAATGAAGCAAATTCCTTCCTTCGCCTCTTCACTCACCTTTAAATATTTTTATCTAATATCTTTTAACCCAATCATTTAAAACCTAATCCTGTCGAGTTGCAAAAAATTAAGCTTTGACAGACAAGCAACACTAAAAAAGGCATCTCTCAACCTGTTGTTGTAACCTACTTCACTTGTCTGATTGTTTACTCTTTTTTAATCATTTATATTTATACTTTGATAGTAATTTTGACAATTTTTTTGTGCGAAAAAAATTCCAGTCTCTCTCACCCGTTAACATGATGAAGATGATATTAACTGTGAAAGTTGCTGATGGATTGATAATATAAGAAAAATATTTTATTGTTTAGTTAACCTTATTTCACGTTGAGAATCAACAAAATTGTCAACATAACCTTGCCACTCTCACCCCCTTTTTTTGGTCTCCATTATCACAGTTATCCGTTAACAGCTGACAGTTGACTTTTTAATCAAAATCAATCTTTTTGTTATCATCTTTTACTTATTCCTTGCATCCCAATTCATTTCACTTTGATTTGCTCCATTGAGTTGATTTCATTTCACAATTCAATTGATTGGATTCATCCAACACACACACACACACTCAACCACAGTCATTTAACTCACACTTTTATCATCCATCATCAACAATTAACCGTATTATAATACTTTATTAACTCTCTAACCTTGTTTAAATCAACTAACACACAAACTTCCTTAACATAATCTGTTTCTTCCAAGGTTAATCATTATATTTGAATTACAGACAAAGTGGTAATTTAGTTACACATTTTTTCTTGTTCAATAATTAACTTACGTACCAATCAGTTGACTCACTTGATACACTAATTGTAATCAATAATCAGCATTCACTAGTTTACAAAAAGGCATAATTATCATGTTTCACTGTTTTCAGTTTATATAATTTGCATATACAATTCCTTATTGAAGCAAATTCACATTTTGTTTTATTCCAAGTCACAGTTTCATTGACAATTAATTGAATAGCTGTTTAGGTAATTAATGGGAAAATTAATTTTCACCTCAATTTAAAAGCTTTAAATTAAATTCTGTTGATCACGTTGACTTTCAATTCATCGTATGACTTGATCATTGTCATTTTACTCTTAGTTTTGTGATTTATTTATAATCAAACACAATGCTATATTATATAATAATTTCATACAATATTGTATCATTTCCTTATTCCTTTCAATCACACCACAATCAAATGAATGAAGAAGATGACTTACATGATGAATCCCTCAAGTCTAGTACAGTTATATCATTCATCATTGCAGTTAATTTGAAATTATATCCACAAATTATAACCATTATTAACCATCTTTCATCCTCTGAGTTTGAGATCAATCAACTCAAATAAGAGCACAATGTCAATCAAGAACGATCTTTGATCATCCTTGACTATTTATACAGCTGAATAAATTGAGCTTATTGAATCCTTCACTTTTACTAATACAATATTAAATGGTTATGAGCAATTATTATGATGTATTGTTGGTCTGTTTTATCATCACAATCATCAACTCGCTTAATCCATCAGGGTTACATAAAAAATATTTTGGTTTAATTTTTTGCCAATCAATCAATTTCAGGTTGCTGTCTGATTTGGGTTATTTATTTTGTTCACTTTCAAGTTTAAACAATTTAATAAACACAAAACCTAATTAGTTGACTAATCAATTGATACGTTATAATCACTATTTATAAATTCACGCTTTTTTCCCACTAACATATCAATCATTTCTTAAACACTTTGCCCGTTAACTCATTCAACATTTAACAGCATTTTGCCAACCTGTTGATTGTTAAAGGTTAACAGTTGAAGGATAATTTGTGTTTTTCTCATCATTATCCAGCTATCATTGTCGCTGGCTTACAATTAAAAATTAAGTACGGAAAAAGGAAAACGTTGAAATGAAATGAAATTGAAAAAAAAGAGTTAAACAAAAGATGAGAGAGAAAGTTGCCTTTTTAAATGTCACTTGATTACCTTGTTTTCAATTCTTTTACCATTTATTATTATTCCAATTTCTATTATACCGTTCTTATGAACAAATCAGACTTTCTCCTTGTTTACCTGACAACCCTTTTCGATACTATCAGTCTGTTAATATGCATGAGCGACTCAAAATAATAATTGTCCAACTGCCTTCAATTTATATTCAAATAAAATGAAATGTCTGTGTGTGTTAACCTTGATCATTGTTTGGCCAATTTTTAGCCTCTAATTGTAGGAAATTAAACAATCTACTGATAGAACAATAATTTTAGGTATTTTTAAACTTGAAGCCTATTCTTTTCCATCCAATTCCTCCATTTAAACTTAATTACCTGTTGTCAATACTTAGATAACTAAATTATATTTTGTTACGATTTATTAATTTTATTTTTTACTTTTCTTCTCTGCAGTTTTTATCAAGAAGTTCTGATGAAAGTGCCGATGAATCTTCAATATTACGACCCTTGGTCAAGTCACATTCATGGACGAGCCTGCAAAGAACTAGAAATCGAGCCTTTGGTAAACCTCCTTTGCCGCCCTATTCAGCGACACGATTAAGTGAAAGAAGGAAATTGATACCCAATTGCAATAAAAAGTTATCCGGATTGACTTCTATGGTTGAAGTAACCAAATCTGATCGTTGTTCTGGCTCAGAGTTTCATTCAAAACTAAACAAATTTCCTATTGAACCCTCAACTTCAAATTTATCTGCTTTGGATCATATTCAATCTGATGCTGTTGACAATTACATGTCTCTATCCTTTGATAATGATCCTTTGAGTGACTTTATTGGCCGAGGAGTTTTAGGACTTGGTGTTGAAGTTGAAAGATATCATCAGCATGAATCTGAGACTGACATTTTGCTGAATAAAGGGAAACTGGAAGATTTATTTATACGATCTCAACGTGATATCGATACTTTGTTGGTTAGATTGGAGGAAGTCCATGAGAATCGTTTACGAAGTCATCCAACAATTTACAATTCATGTCATGTTGAAAAATATGTTGCAGCCAAAGAAACTCTATTAGTTGAATCTCGTCACTTTGTTACCGCATCCAAACTGTTTGTTAAATGCGCAACCGAAGCCTCACCTCTATTAGTTGATCATCTTCTCTCTTGTATATCTTTATTGGAACGAATGTTTGACATTGGAGAATCAATTGCCATCCATTTAAAATCTCAAGCTCAAATTACCTGTTTAGTCGACAGATTAAAAGAGGTTGCAGCCACTTTTGGCTATACCGTTGATACGGTTCACAAGTTAATTGATGGATCAACCCAACCTGAAGATGCTTCATCAAGCCCTTACATGGGCCTTTTAATGAATCACGCTGGAAGCCTGGCAACATCGCTTAGCGCACTAATGAGAACCTTGAGAGCCCTCAATTAGATATTAGACTGTTACAATTGACTAGAATCATTATTTCATCTTTTACTTTTTAAATATTTCTAATCATTTGAGATTTCGCCTGTTGATTTCTCACAACCCTGCTCTCTCTTTATAAAAGAATCCTCATCCTTCAAATTAAGTTACTCATTATATTGTATTTTCATCTCAGACTCATCTTTTTAACAACTCATCTTTTCTAATCATCTATCATTTTTTAATCATCAGGTGTTGCTTCTCTCATAGTGTGCACCATTTTAAATCATCTTTCCTCAATCACAAAGTTGACACTGTTAACAAACTCACTTGCAAGTTGCATCTCTTGTTCAGCAATATTGTTCTTTTCAACTTTGATTATAATTGAATTAGTTTACCCTATCAAATTATTAGATCATAGGTATTAAAAAATATTAACTATGCTGCTTTAGATGCAAAAATTTTGGCAGCTTTTTTTCACAGCTTCTTCTTTCCTATGAAATACAATTTTCCTTCTCATTTTCAATTAACAAATTGTTACCAGTTCTATTTAATAAACGTTTTTATCGATTGTTGAACTAACAAGAAATTTAAATCATGACTCTGACTCTCACTTATTTCAACCCTTAGTAATTCCCCGTGATTATCAAAACTCAACTTTTTGTTTCAATTAACAGTCAACCTCGTTTAACCTCACATTAACCTACACACCACTACCCTCTTAAGGAAACCTTTCTTCTAAAAAAGTAAGAGAGAAAGTAAGAGATAGTCGAGAAAGAAAGAGTAAAAAACGTTGCCTTAAGAGAATAGTTGAGTGTATTGATTATTGATCAGTTGTAAAACATAGACTGATAAAAATCATTAATTAAAGGCTAAAACATAGTGATTTATCCAAGCTTTAATTGTAATTGTATCTTTCTTTTTATATTCAAGTTAATACGAGGTTTGTTAATATGATTGACCCACTGAAAGCTTTGAAACTGTTGAGACACGTTGGAAATATGAGATTTTATACAAAATTGAAGATCTTGACGAACATAAAGTGCATGATGACATTCAGTTTTATTATACAGTATTATTCCTGTAGAGTAACGCGAATTATCGAGTTAATCTCATGGTTACTTGCTTGTTCAACAAACAGACATAGAACATGCTGCAAAAACTTTGATTTTCGAGTTAAGAGTAGGGACTTTGTGGATTTGTAGGAACATTGAAACTGAGTCCATTCGTGAAATTAAAATTTTTTATGATGAGTGGTTTTTGATAAAACCGAGTTCAAAGTTGAAACTTTGAAATATTTGCACAGTTGTGGAGTCAGATTTTTTCATCAAACTCATTTTATGTTGAAACTTTCAATGTTCAATCAGAAAATGCGGCCAAAAATAAGTTTTATCGGTAAAAATGAGTTTAAGTTCATTCGCTATGTTTTCGGTAAAAGCGATATGTCCAAATACACTCACCAATTTTCAACTTTACACACTAAATCCTTTAGTTTCATGAGTAATTTAGTCTTATCATCATGTACTCATTTCAGTATCTTTCGTTCTTTAATCCATATCAATGTTATTATATGATAACGAGTACTACTTGGAACTCTATCGAATCATCAGTTGAATTATTTTATTATTACTGAAATAATCTCAATGAGATTAATTTCCCAGAATCTGAACGAGTTGAGCTTATATAAAATGAATTTGGGTCGAAAGAGGTTTATTTCATCGCCTAGTATCAAGTAGAATACATTTGATTAATGTTTAGTAAATTTTATATTTCAGCAAATCTTCGTTAATAACTTATTCACAGTTACTCGAGCTATCAAACGAAATGTTTTTGCTTTCATTACTTTCCAGCAATTTCATCTCATCTCAACTTATTTATAACATATTAACTGGACTCCTCACATTCTGGTTTGTTACTTATGTGATACCGACAATCAAGCGTTTATTCACCTTACCACCTGGACCATGGGGACTACCATTTGTTGGCTACCTGCCTTACTTGCAGAAACACCATGAATACAAAGATCTTGACCGTTTAGCGAAAAAGTATGGACCAGTTTATAGTTTAAGTTTGGGCAAAGATACAGTTATCGTTGTGAATGATTGGGATCATGCTAAAGAAGTGTTTAAAAGTGATGATTTATTGGCTCGACCAGAAGGTTTTGGAAGCAATGTAGATGGAGCATCGATCCTTGAAATGTCTGGTGAACCATGGCGAGTTCATAGACAGAACACAGTCCATCTTCTTCGTGATCTTGGTCTTGGTAAATCATCTTTCGAAAATAAAATTAACGAAGAGATTGAAGAGTTCTTGCCTAAACTGGAGAAAGGCCCGGTTAAAAACCTGTTTAAAACCTTTCTATTGACAGCTACAAACACTGTATCGATCTTGTTGCTTGGTCATGGGTTTGAGGATGATGATCCTGTGAAACAGACTCTTATTGATGCTCTGGAGAATGCTTCAAAAATTGGATCACAGTTTATGATTTTTAAATCAGGATTACCTCGAAAGATTGAACGATTGCTTATAAAACCAGCTGATTTAAATTTAGAAGTACTTGGTGATTATTATCAACAAACAATGGCTATTCCAAAATACATGCAAAATGAGATCGATGAACATAAAAAGAAACAATCAAAAGAGTTCGAAGACTATATTGATGGTTATTTAAAGGAGCAAAAGAAGCGAGAAAATAGTGATTCGAATAGTAATGTGTCTTTCACCGATAAAACCTTACGATCAAATATGGTTACTTTTTACCAAGCTGGAAGTGAAACAGTCTCAACCACACTTACATGGGCTATTCTTTATCTGGTCAAGTATCCTGAATATTATGAGAAAATACGAGCTGAAATTTCGGATGTAATCGGCTTTGAAAGATTACCAGATTATTCGGATAGAAACCAGATGCCAATGACAATGGCTTTCATCTATGAAGTCCATCGAGCTGCTTCGATTGTCGGTGTAAATTTATTCCGAGCTGCTACTCGTGATTTGAAAATTGGCAATTACAATGTACCTAAAGGTGCCACTGTCATGGTAAACTTCTGGACTATTAACCATGACCCTTCATTGTACATAAAACCAGATGAATTTGATCCCAGTCGATTCTTAACCGATAATGGAACCAAAGCAATTAAACCTCCATTCTTGAATCCATTCAGTAAAGGCAAAAGAGGTTGTCCTGGAGAGGGTTTTGCCAATGTTGAATTATTTTTATATCTTGTCAGTATTGTTCAAAGATACAAGATTGAATGTGAACCTGGATCAACAATAACGTTTGAATCGGATTATGTATCGACTAGAAAACCAATTTCCCTTCCATCTTTAATATTTACCAAAGTATCTGAATAAACTAATTTTTATTGATTCTTTAATGTAAATGACTGTAAATGAGTGTTGAATTTAATAAAAATGAAAACCATTTAACGCCTTAAATTTTGTTTGATTATTTTAACGTGATCTATCGTTATCAATGATAGACAACAAAAAATAGTGTAGTTTCATATTTTTATTAGATAAATCGAAATTTTTGAGGGAAACGCTCGTGTGCTGGTTCTTTCCTACTCCTTATGTGAGGGTTGGTATTAAAAACAAGCATTTAACACAAATTGCCACAAATGGCCAGAAAACGCAGGAAAAGAAAATTTCTTTCCAATTTGGACTTTGTTAGTTTGTAGGAACATGAGAACTGAGTCCATTAGTGCGATGCAAAACTTTCTTTGATGAACAGTTTTCGAGTGCACTCTGGTAACGATGTTTTGACTTTAAATGTACAGGCGCCAACTTATTCAACAAAATAAACGCATAATAACCAATATTTTGGGAAAGAAACAATTTTCTGGTTAATGCTGCAAATGAAATGGAAAGAGTGCTGCTAAAGGCTCGAAAATTTGAGTTAAAGGTTGTGACTAAGTGGGATTTGTAGGGATATGTAAACTGAAGCCATTGGTGCTTTTGAATACTTCATCAGATGGACAGTTTCATAGAAAATTAAGGTCAAAGTTGAAACTTCGATAGTCTTTTGTCCAGCTATGCAATTTGATTTTTTTAGGGGACTTAGTTTACTGATGTATCTTTTGATGCTTGACCAGAAAATATAATTATTGCGAGGAATTGAACTTTTATTTTTCTTTAAAACAGATTAGTTCGCTAATTAGTTAAACCTCATCCATTCTAAGGCCATAAAAGTTAGGGAACTGAAACTTATTAACAACACATAGAAATTGACTGTTCAAATCATGGATTGAATAATTTTTTCGATTCACCAACAGTTTTCTTAATTTTGGCCATTAACCTAAAAACTTTGAGCTTCGATATTTCGAAAATGGCATCACTTACAATCATAACTCATTCACCAATTCATTACTTTACTAATTAATAACTGGATTCAACCAAATAACTTCTCATTTGTGCATTCTGGTTACGATATTCCGGTCATAAATGTACAACCAACAACTTATTTAACAAAACAAGCTCATAATAACCAATATCTTGGTAAAAGAAACAGTTTTCTGGTTAATGTTGCAAACGCAATGCAAAAATGACTGCAGAAGGATCGAAAATTTAAGTTAAGAGTTCAAACTTGGTGGGTTTTGTAGGGATATGTAAACTGAAGCCATTGATACTATTAAATATTTCATCTGATAGACAGTTTTCTAGAAAATTGAGGCCAAAGTTGAAACTTCGGTCGCCTTTTGTCCAACTGTGTGACCAGATTTTTTCATCTAAATACTTTTTTCTGATGTTACTTTTGATGGCTAACAAGAATATGAACTCATTTTGGGAAATAAACTTTTCTTTTTTATGTAAAACACATAAGTTCGATTTTAATTTAAACAGACCTTTTCCAGTGACCATAATAGTTAGAGTGCTCAAACTTATTGCTTGCCCATAAAAATTGATGCTACTTAATATGCATTGAATCTTTTTTTCGCTGCATAAACAGTTCTCTTAATTTTTGGCCATTGACCTGAAAACTTTGAGCGTCGATATCTCAGGAAAGGTATCATCTACAATCATTATTTTTGTATCGCACATCAGATTTCGTTATGCATTATAATTGATTGAAATATTAAAACATTCAACATCCTGCAAGAAAAGTTATAGCACTCTATTATTTATGTTGTCAGATGTTAGCTTGATTTATAAAGGTAAATGTTTATTCAAACACAAATCTCTTATGTTAGTATTATATTCATAATTAAATGAATCAGCAAAGGTTTTCTCAGGTATTCAGTCACATTGTGCTATAGTCCATAGTGCAGTCTAATGTGCGATACAAAAATAATGATTGTAGATGATACCTTTCCTGAGATATCGACGCTCAAAGTTTTCAGGTCAATGGCCAAAAATTAAGAGAACTGTTTATGCAGCGAAAAAAAGATTCAATGCATATTAAGTAGCATCAATTTTTATGGGCAAGCAATAAGTTTGAGCACTCTAACTATTATGGTCACTGGAAAAGGTCTGTTTAAATTAAAATCGAACTTATGTGTTTTACATAAAAAAGAAAAGTTTATTTCCCAAAATGAGTTCATATTCTTGTTAGCCATCAAAAGTAACATCAGAAAAAAGTATTTAGATGAAAAAATCTGGTCACACAGTTGGACAAAAGGCGACCGAAGTTTCAACTTTGGCCTCAATTTTCTAGAAAACTGTCTATCAGATGAAATATTTAATAGTATCAATGGCTTCAGTTTACATATCCCTACAAAACCCACCAAGTTTGAACTCTTAACTTAAATTTTCGAGCCTTCTGCAGTCATTTTTGCATTTAGTTTGCAACATTAACCAGAAAACTGTTTCTTTTACCAAGATATTGGTTATTATGAGCTTGTTTTGTTAAATAAGTTGTTGGTTGTGCATTTATGACCGGAATATCGTAACCAGAACGCAAAAATGGAAAGTTTTGTGATTGAATCTAGTAATTAATCAGTGAAGGATTAAATTGGTGAATGAATTATGATTGTAAGTGATGCCATTATCGAAATATTAAGGACCAAAGTTTTTTAGTAAATGGCCAAAATGAAGCGACCTGTTTATAAATTGAGAAAAGTATTCACTCCATGATGTGTACATACAATTTTTATTGAAGATACATGAGTTTCAGTCCTCTATCCCTTACGTTCACAGAATACTGTCTGTTCAAATAAAAATCGAACTTATATGTTTTACAAAAAATTCAGCATTTTATTTCTCAAAATAAGTGCATTTTCTGGTTGATCATCAAAAGCAAAATAAATGAAAAAGAGTTTCGTGCAAAAATCTGCTTCCATTGCTGAAGAAAAGCCGATCGAAGTTATAACTTTGACCTTAATTTTCTATAAACCTGTCCATCTGATGAATTATTCAAAAGCACCAATGGCTTCAGTTTACATATCCCTACAAAACCCACTTAGTCGCAACCCTTAACTCAAATTTTCGAGCCTTTAGCAGCACTCTTTCCATTTCATTTGCAGCATTAACCAGAAAATTGTTTCTTTCCCAAAATATTGGTTAATATGAGTTTGTTTTGTTAAACAAGTTGTTGGTCGTTCATTTATAACCCAAATATTATAATCAGAATGCATTAATGGGAAGTTATTAAGCAATTTTGAAATGATCGAAATTAGTTAAGTTCAAACAAAACGTTTGAAAAACTATGCTTCAGAATCTTAGGAAAAATATTTATCTTTGTTTTTTTTTAAATCTTGGCGCTAAAGTAACCAGGTTGAGTAACCATCAAAATGTGAAATTACCAATTCCGCTTAGTACAGAAAACTGTCGTAGAAGTCGCTATCATATTTTCTGTTACTTTTTGCTTAATTATGATCCATCTGATTTGTGTTGAATTTTCTATTCATCTTAATTACTCTGTGTCTTTTAAAAACAATTCTCATGTACATCATCATTTATTGAGTTATACGCATTAATACTTATGTGTTGAATGGTTAAAACATGAAATGATAGTTCTTTGAGATCATAATTAATTTGCCTATCAAGACTTGTCATTTTACATGGTTTACCAACAAATCATCTGTCAGTAATATTCACTGTTTATTATTATTTCTTTTTTAATCCATTTTTCAATCCTCAATTATTATTACTAAATTTTATCTCTATGGAATAAATGCAAAATTAACTAATTATGGCTGCCCCAATAACTTTGGAAAATTGTTATGTTGCCTTACTATCTATGGCTGAAGGATTCAGAACTTCCAATCCACCCGACATCAAAAGAAGTGTTCAATGTCTTCAAGCAATACTCAATCTTCCCATCGATCACTACACTATGGCTAAAACTCATCTTCAAATCGGCCAGTTAATTAATAAACATGCAACAAACATTGACATAGCTTGTAAACATTTTCAAGATGCGGTAAGTATTGACAATTACACCTTAGCTATACTCAAAGCTATCAATTTTTAATATTATTCTTCCATCATTGTAACAGTGGCAATTATCTCGTGATATACCCGGAGCAGAAGATATCATGTTGGAATCCATCGCAATGCTAGTGAATATCTATGAAAAGCAGAATGAGTTTAGAACTGCTAAAGAAATAATCGCCAAAGGAATTGAAAATTCAGCGAATCATGTTTGGTGGCATTGTAAATTTCTATTTCAAATAGCTCAAATTCATGCTAAAGAACATGATTACATATCATCGGCCCATGTACTTACATCTGGAGCAGATTATGCCTATATATCCGGCGCTTCTTACACAAGAATACTGTTTCTATTAAGCAAAGGAATGATGCAGTTAATAGGCAGGAGCTATGTGGAAGCTCATAAAGCAATAGTTAGTGCTCAACAGCTTCTCGAAGCATGGCAAGGAAATAATCAACAAAAAGAAAGTTTGACCGTTTTCTTCCTAATTTTACAAGTTTGCCATCATCTAAATGCTGGAAAAGTAAGCTCATTTTTATCGATTCTCTACTATTATCCTTACTAATCATTCATATTTTTCCATCTTATTTTCAGGCCAAAAGTGCCAAATCTCCTCTGAAAATACTCCAACAAAGTATTCAAAATCTTTCAACTTATGATTCGAAATCAGCAACATTTTCTATGACAGATGAAGGCGGGTTTCATTGGATGCCGAAAGAGCATATGTGTGTTTTAGTTTACTTGGTAAGTTTTATTCTGCTTTGATTCAATTTTACTAATCAGGAATTTTTATTTGGATTAGGTAACTGTACTTCATTCTATGCAAGCTGGTTATATGGACAGAGTACAAAAATACACAGAGAAAGCTCTTATGCAGATCGAAAAACTTAAAAGTTGGTTGATTTATTACTTTGCTCAACACTTTCATTAAACTAATTATTTGGTTTTTTTCTTTCCAGTGATTGACAATCATCCATTACTCCATACTTTTCAGCTTATCCTATTAGAGCATATTGCTATGTGCAGATTGGTTATGGGAAATCGTACTCTCGCCATTAAAGAAGTATGTTAACAAATTGCTTAGAAAGCAAAATTCGATTCAATATTAAATTATTTGTTTCTCTTATTTTCTTTCAGACTGTGCAAGCAATTCATATTTGTAATAGAGACCATCGTTTGAAAATGAGACATCAACCTGTTATTCATTCACTTCTAGGACTTTACTCAATGTCAATGAATGTCGGAAACACTGCAGAATTTCACTTGAGAGCTGTGCTCGCAGTAAGTATTTCTAATTGATTAATTTAAAGGATTGCTTTTCTAATATCAATTTCTTATTCGTTCAATTCAGTCACCTGTAGCAACTGCTGAACTGAAAGTACTCGCATCTCTCAACCTATCGATAGTTTATTTGCGAATGGCAAGACATTCCGAGTTAAATGAACTTCTAGTTACTTTAAATCCTGATACGTTGCAATCAGGGTAAGTAGATCTTTATGACCATTGTTTTATGTTTAAAAAAACTAATTTGGGTTATTTATTCTCGTTCTAGATCTCAAAGCGTGAAAGCTGCTTGCCTATACGTAATGGGCTTGAATGCATTTTTTCAAAATCGTTTCAATGATGCAAAGTAAGTGAGAAGCCATGAGTTACTTTTTAACTGTTTAATCAATCATCAAATTAATTTATTTTCATCTTTAGACGGTTCCTCCGAGATACTCTCCAAATGGCAAATTGTGAAGAACTCAATCGTTTGACCTCTTGTTCTCTGGTTCTTTTGGGTCACATTTTCTATGCACTAGGAAACTGTAAAGAAAGTATGAACATGGTTACACCTGCCATGGAGCTGGCTAGTAAAATACCTGATATTCATGTTCAATTATGGGCAACATCTTTATTAAATAGTAAGTTACTTATTTACTCTAAAAGTTAAAACTATAGAGATTTAATCTTTTTCAATTCGCATTTTTCCCCTTAGATTTGTACGGATTTTTCGGTAACAATCTTCAAGCTCAAAAAGCTGATCAAACGCACAACACATTCTCTCAACATTATATGAATGACTATTATCAGGCTAACCAAACACCAGAGCATTCTTATATAAATGTAAGTATCAATAATTATTAAATATTAAACATAAACAAAAAATATAACTGAAATTATTTTCTCTTTTCAGTGGACTGGAGAATGAAACTTTCCTGATTCAAACTCAAACTCTCAATTTACATGACAAAACCCCATATATCTGTATCTTTTTATTCAAACATTTTTTTTTTCTTAAAATTTAATATATTATTTATTGAGCAAAAATTAAATTGATTACTACAAAAGTATAATGTATTGATATAAATCAATATCAAACCTGTAATTTCTCTTCTTTCAAAATACAATGTAATTTGATATAAAAATGTATTTAATTCTGTATTAAATGAAAATGATATTTAAAAAGATTCAATTTTTAAATTGATTATTTATTACTTATTGAATTCTGAATTTTTACAATTTGTAAAATTATTCATCTTAAACATGTGAGTGACAAATGAAGGTAAGTTTGTTAAAACTGAATCGATAAAATGTTGCATTTTCAAGTTTCTTTGAAATGTGCGCCTTTTTCTTGAAAGCCATTTAGAAGCCATTTTAATTTACAGTTAACCAGCGGCTTGCCTCGATTTCTTTTTGTGAGCAAAACTGCTCGACTTTTTTGTCACAATCAACTACAGTCACCATTGAGATAATGCACCGCACTGGGAATAGCTTATTTTCACTATTCTTCGGGCAGCGTAATTCATGATTTTCAATCTTCCTTATTAGATCAAATTTAACCTTAAATTTTGCTTTAATCTGATTTTGCGAGTTTTTGGATTAAAATTTCACGTAAGAAAATTGAATTAAGTCAATTGATAATTAAAGAAATCGAATAAAAATTTGACGAAATTCAAAAGTAGATATAACTCCTCCTCAATAGGGACCATTGAAAAAATGAGTGCATTATCTCGATGGTGCATTATCTCAATGGTGACTGTATGTCGATACCATTTAATTAATTGTGATGGTTTCATTGCAGTTTAACGTGTGCAAATGTTAATTTGTGTAAAACATTTGTGACATACCTTCACTTGTTTATCTCTCTCCGACAGCTTACTAATCTTATTCTCTGTTTACTCAGTGAATTTGTTCCTAGTGAATCCAGTAATTAATTGATACTGCCAATTAATTAATCCAACTAATTAAAACCAAGTGATTACAACTAATCGGAGTAATACTTCTTTGGATTGAGTGAAACACATAAGTGACAATGGACAACGAAAGGAAAAAATTAAAACAGAATGAGAAGATTCTCAAAGTGATGAAAATGGACAAAGATGCTCTTCTACCTACAAGAGCGACAACTGGCAGTGCAGGACTGGACTTAATGAGCTCGGAGAATATCATCATTAAAGCAAACACCGTATCAAAGGTTAAAACAGGAATATGTGCTGTGGCCCCAGAAGGATGCTACCTGAGAGTGGCTCCAAGGTCAGGACTCGCGCTCAAAGACTGGATCCAAATAGGTGCAGGTGTAATTGATGGAGACTACCGAGGAGAAATCGGAGTGGTATTAATCAACATGAAAGATAAGGACTTCTCAGTTAGAAAAGGTGACAAAATAGCTCAAATTATATGCGAGAAGATAGAGGTACCCAAGGTTATAGAGGTCATGGAGATGGAAACAACTCAAAGAGGTGACAAGGGATTTGGCTCAACAGGGATTAACTAATGATACCATATCAAACAATGAAAAACAAAAGATATAATATAAACTAAGAAAAGATTCTTTTTTAAGAACCAACAAATCAGAAAAGCCTTAAGCTTCCAAAGTATATGACACAGAAATAATGTAACAGAATACCTCAAGATAATAGATTACAATAAGATAATCTCTAAAAGAAAATAAAAACTTGCATTGCAAATTGCCAAAGATTATTATTGATAAAAATTTATGAAAATTAATCAAAGAAAGTATGTCCATAATCAAACCCTTATCAAGATAAAAGAGAAACAATGCACAATCATAGGTCAAGCAATGGAAGCAAACAAACTCATTGGTCTTAGATAACAATAAGATCAAGAGAATCTCTAACAATGACATCATCACTCGTAAGAGAATACATATACTAGAAGAATAGAATAGTCAAGGAACATTATACATTCACAACTTCCAGTAACAACTTAAAATTAATAACTATTAAAGTACATTATAATTGTAGTGTTAATATACTAGTGTTAAAACACATCTTAGGTAAAATGAATAACTTTGAAATTGGTGACGACTTAGACCAAACTAATCTTAGTTGGGCCGGTAATGAGGACACTCAAGCTGAGATCAATGGGAAAAGTGTTGATCAACCAAGAGAAAGTTCTTCTGGAACACTTATTCAAAAGATTCAAGATGAAAAGGATGGTACAGAACGAGGTGAAGAGATCGACTCTCAAACCAAAGAGAATAATGGTCAACAGATGGGTAATCTTGAGGAAGATGAATTGAATACATCCAACAACGAAATCCAGATTCAATATTCTAAAATAATACCAGATGAGGAACAAATCCAAGTCTTGGATGAATTCCTGGATAAGGTAATCATGGCAAGAACGGCTGCTCAAAAAAAGAAAATAGTGGAAAAGACTTCAGATGAAGAAATGGGGAAACTCAAAGCAACAATAACACAGATAATATGGAATGACCCCAAATCTGGACGGTCATTCAACCAAGAACTAATCCAAAAGATCAATCAACTTATCGACATTATGAAATGGGGATGGAAATTAAGTGAAATATCCAACACTCCAAGTGCAGATAACCTCACTCTATGCGGTGAAGACATGAACCCCAATCAAAGCAAAATTCAAGATGAACAAATTAAAGAACTCGAGAAATTTCTTGAACTAATTTTCTCGGAAAAAGAAAAAAACAAGATCAAAGAAGCTATCAAAACAGTTGATCTACAAGAAAGAGAAAGATACTATAAGACCATGGTGGAAAGTAAAAAAGATGGTAATAACCAGCTGCCAAAGAACGTGATTGCGAAAATCAAGAGATTAGAAAAAATACCAGGTTGGGTGAAACTTGGAGAAACCAAAATCATCAAGAACGAAGATATCCAAAAGATGGAACGTTTCTTGGACATAGTGTTCAAAAACAATGCTGAAGCAGCCATACAATCAGAAATTCTCAAATTCAAAGAAGAAATAATAGAAGACATTAAAGAAATAATCTCTGAAATATTATATCCAAGTCTTATCAATGCAAACTGGGTACACGATCCAAAGATGATGGCGAACATCAACAAATTAATCAAGATAACAAAATGGACCATTCAAAAGAGAGCAACGAAAAGGAAAATACATGGAAAAGAATCAACAGAGAATCAAAAGAGAAAGAAAGCGTCAGATGAAGCAGAAATAAATAACGATGAGACTCCCACATTTGAAAAGAACACTGAAACCACATCCACGGAATCCAATCTAGTGAAAAGCAACGACAAGAATGACACAATCTATAAGAACAACCAGACCATCATGATAACGAGAGGACAAATAGTAACTCCTGAATTATCTCAGAATGAATCACTGAGTATAAGTCTGAAAGAAGGACAAGGAAGTGATGAAAAAGACAAAAGAGATAAATTCTACATTGAAAAAGCAAGATATATCAGACCAGCTGAGACGATGAGTAATGACCATATAAAAAGATGGCATTATGAAACTCCAAGAGGTTTTGGACTCTTCATCAAGGGACCATCATATACGAGTAAAACAATGGACGATATTCTGCAGACAACAACAGAAACCTTTGGTCCAATCAAAAACATTTACATGGATGATAAATACACCTTGGTGGTTATGCACAATGAGAAAGATAGAGAAAAAATGAAAGGAATTATTGAACAAAAAGAAGGACTCATAGTGGAATCAGCGAAGTATCGACTTCCAGTGATAAAGTTCTCAGTTCACAAAAACATACTGGAGAGAGGTACCGAAAAGCTGGTTAGAGACCTAAAACAATGGAACGGGCTCAATAAGTTCCAAAACGAGAAGTTCGCCTTGACATCAATACATCAAATTGGCCAAACTGATTATATGATACTCCTCTTTGAGATTCATCCAGATATAAGAAATTATATCATAGAAACTCTCAGAGGAGAGCTTAGACTATCTAACAAGAGTTATCCGGTGAAATCATGATGGGGAGAAACTTCTGAGAATAAAAGATAATCTAAAAGATAATCTCAAAATAAAAAAGGGAAAATCAAAAAGGTTTCCCCTCAAAAAATCAAACAAATACCTGTCTGAAAATAGGAAATAATCCAATGTATTTCCATTTCCTTTTTTGAATTTATATTACAGGGCATTTCAGCTAATTTTCCCGTTGTAAATTGGCTATATCTTTGCTCCTGAGTGACCTAGAGGTTAGATATTTTGTTAATGGAAATTTGGGCGATACTCAATTGTCATATTTCAAGGTCAAGGTCATTCAAGGTCATTGCGTTATTTGACCTCTAATTGATATTCAGAGGTCATTTTCTAAGAGTGCAAAAAATTTCATATTGATTGATGGTAGTGACATGTTCATAACTTATTCTGGTCAAAAGATATGGGTGTTTACACATTGCTGTGTCGATCAATTGGTTTTAAGAAAAGTGCATTTATCTTTTCAACGGTTTAAGATACCAACGCGTAGTAAGCATCAACCAATATGAAAATTTTTGCACTCTTAGAAAATGACCTCCAAATATCAATTAGAGGTCAAATAACGCAATGTCCTTGAATGACCTTGACCTTGAAATATGACAATTGAGTATCGCCCAAATTTCCATTAACAAAATATCTAACCTCTAGGTCACTCAGGAGCAAAGATATAGCCAATTTACAACGGGAAAATTAGCTGAAATGCCCTGTACAATAAAAAAAAGATTAAAATATTCTGTTCTAAATGAAATCTTCCATCAGTTCATTTCTTTAATAAAGTGTGTACTAATTCCTCAAAGTATAAATTTTCCAAAGGGACAAATCCAGCAAACAACTACCTTCATTTACCATAATTGTTAATTCAGGATGTACAAATCTATGAATAGATCCAAAAAAATTACAGTGAATCTTCCAACAGACATTAATGTCCTCACCGAGTCCAACAGTGTGTCTTTAATTAAAAAGTTGCTCAACGATGATACAGAAAAATTTCTCTCAGATACAAAAATTAGTCAACAATCATGTGTGAATCTACTAACCCTGATAGCAGCATCAAGTGAATCACCGGTAGAAGCAACAACAATTGAGTTATTATTCAAGATAGTTAAAGCAATCTCGAAATTATCAGCAAGCTTCAAGACGCCAGCAACAGAAACTAATGAACAATCTCCTTCTACCAGTAAATATATGATGGATCCAACAACAACCAGAAACAGTGATACATCAAGTGAGAAGCCAACTGAAACCACTGGAAAAACTGGATCAATTGACACGGAAGAAATCCAAATGGTAATAGCACATAGGAAAGGATATGATTGGAATCCTGATGAAGAAATAAAGAAAATGATACAATTCAAAATCGAGAGTAAAAGAGTATATCATCACATGAAGAATATTCTAGGAAATGATATTATCTTAAAAATAATCCAAATAACAGACAGCAACATTGAGGTAATATTAGCAGATTTCAAGGTTATTACTCTACAAGATTACACAACTGAATCAAAAGCATCCAGAATCATCAATTACTTCGTTGAGAATTACCTAGAATATATAAACGAAGAAATATTCATCAGGAAGATTAAAATGAATGAAAACAACTTTACAATGACAGTATATATTAAAAAAGAAATGATATATAATGATATCCAGAAAAATAAATGGATGATCAAAATAGGTGAAGAACAATTCAAGTTCAATCAAAAAACAAAATATAAAATTTGTTCAAAATGTAAGATTGCTTTCTCTGGAGGACACACTCGGTGTTCATTACAGTAAAGACGAAATGTATCACAATACATACAGATATAAATACAAATAAGATACAATAAATAAAGAAAAGACTTATGTAAGAATAATGTGCTTTGGTTTATTTAATATAAAAACAGTAGATGAAAAGATGATTCAAACTCAAACTCTCAATTTAGGGTGAATCCGATCAAGAAAATTATTTAGATAAAAATTTTATTGAAATAAAATCTTTCAGTTAGATAAAAAATGTTTTTATCCAAACTAAAAACCAAGCTTTTTTCGTGAAAATAGCTGCGCTTTTTAGCTATTTACCTGGCTTTCTCTGAGTTTTTCCTTTTCTAATTCAAGAATAATAGTTTTTTTTAATTTTGTCTGATTTGGCTGGGTGTTAATAGCATTAAACTAATTAATGACAGATCAAAAACTAATTAAATTCAAATTTAAACTCAGCTCTACTACACCACGTTTTTCAATCAATGAAGGCGCAAGACAGCAATGTTAATAAAAATATGAGTTCGGAAAAGTTAAAAATGTGACGTAGTAAAAACGTCACACTTTTGTCACTCTTATCTTTTTTATTCACATTCCTCTCTTTTTATCTAAATAATTTTCTTGATCGGATTCACCTTTACATGACAAAACCCCATATATCTGTATCTTTTTATTCAAACATTTTTTTTTTTCTTAAAATTTAATATATTATTTATTGAGCAAAAATTAAATTGATTACTACAAAAGTATAATGTATTGATATAAATCAATATCAAACCTGTAATTTCTCTTCTTTCAAAATACAATGTAATTTGATATAAAAATGTATTTAATTCTGTATTAAATGAAAATGATATTTAAAAAGATTCAATTTTTAAATTGATTATTTATTACTTATTGAATTCTGAATTTTTACAATTTGTAAAATTATTCATCTTAAACATGTGAGTGACAAATGAAGGTAAGTTTGTTAAAACTGAATCGATAAAATGTTGCATTTTCAAGTTTCTTTGAAATGTGCGCCTTTTTCTTGAAAGCCATTTAGAAGCCATTTTAATTTACAGTTAACCAGCGGCTTGCCTCGATTTCTTTTTGTGAGCAAAACTGCTCGACTTTTTTGTCACAATCAACTATGTCGATACCATTTAATTAATTGTGATGGTTTCATTGCAGTTTAACGTGTGCAAATGTTAATTTGTGTAGAACATTTGTGACATACCTTCACTTGTTTATCTCTCTCCGACAGCTTACTAATCTTATTCTCTGTTTACTCATGTAATTCCTATTATCATTTAATTGTACCTTTTTTATAAGTCTGTATATACTTATGCCTGTAAATTTTCTTAGTGAATTTACTCTTTCCCATATTTCAATTATTTATTTATTTATTTATTTTTCTCTTGGTTGATTCCATCATTCCTTTTTTTCCTTGTTCATTATCTTGTGATTCAGTAATTTGTCTTGCGTTTAATGTTGTGATTATAACAAGTAATTCATTATTTTCACTTTACAAAGTGACTCATCGAATTTATTCAATAGCGTTTGTGATGGCTACACTTGACACAAAAACCTTATGACCCTTCTTTTTTGTGTTTACTTGGAATAGTAAAAAAGTGTTCAGAAAAAAAGGACCAATATATCTTAAAATACATTCATTGACAAATAATATTCAAATTGTCATGAACGGTGCTCTGGTGTTCTTGATTTTTTTTGCGCCTTTTGGTCATCAGGTTCAATGCTATGCTCCGGTTGATATTATCCAAGATGACAAAGCCCGTCAAATTCACGAACTTGACTCTTTAAATATCCTTGCATATACATTGCTCCTTATTTTGACAGTTCTAACAATCTGGCTGTTCAAGACTCGGAGAGCTAGGTATCTCCATGAAACAGGCCTGGCTGTGATTTACGGATTAATTGTTGGCTGTATCATACGGTATGTTGGAGACTCCAAAGCAAATTATTCTCATGTTCGCGTTACACCATCTCAAAGAATTACTGGCAATGAAACTGCTCCATGGGACTCAGTTTGGGTTCCATTTACGGTGGCTGAAAAAACAGGACCAAAAAACAAGACATATGTTTACGTATTTCGAGGTGAATTGGCAAACACGGCACATGAGATCTCACAGAAAGCAACTTTTGATCCTGAAATATTTTTCAACATAATTCTACCTCCGATCATTTTAAATGCTGGATATTCATTAAAACGCAGATTCTTTTTCCGCAATCTAGGTAATTTATTTACACAAGCTACATTCATTTGTAATAATTTTTTTATATTTCCATTAATCCGTCTAATCTTTTCAATTCCTATTATCTTTTACCCGATTATTTTTTAGGAGCTATAATGACTTATGCCTTTATCGGAACAACTATATCGTGTTTTGTTGTTGCTTTGATTTTATATGGTTTGATGCTTCTAATTCCTAAGTATGGTTTCAGCTTTGCTGATTGCCTCTATTTTGGAGCAACTATTTCTGCTACCGATCCAGTCACTGTTTTAGCTATATTTGCTGACCTTCGTGTAGACGTAACTCTTTACGCCCTAGTCTTTGGTGAATCTATACTAAATGATGCTGTAGCAATAGTTTTAGCTGGTTCAGTTAATACTTTTGAAGATCATTATCGCACAAGTGGAGGATTGAATCCGTTCCAGGCAGCTGGCAAAGCCTTAACAAACTTTGTGTACAGTTTTTTCTCATCCCTTCTCCTTGGATCTTTTGTTGGCTGTTTTACTGCCCTGACTACCAAATTTACTCGACTTTGTGATTTCCCTCTTCTTGAGACCTGTCTTTTTGTTCTAATGTCTTACACTGCGTTTCTTTTATCTGAAGTTCTTGGCCTTTCTGGTATCGTTGCAGTCCTTTTCTGTGGCATTTGTCAAGCACACTACACATATAATAACCTTTCTAAAGAATCTCGTGATAGAACAAAACAACTTTTCGAATTGCTCAGCTTTATGTCGGAAAATTTCATCTTTACATATCTCGGTGTTTCTATGTTTACTTATCCAACCCACCGATGGTCGTTTGGTTTTATTTTAGTTGCATTCATTGCAATTATTCTGGGGCGTGCTTTGCATGTGTATCCATTGACATTCATACTCAATTTAGGACGGAACAATAAAATTCCTACCAATTACCAGCATGTTATATTTTTTGTTGGCCTTCGTGGAGCTATGGCGTATGCACTTGCTATCCGAAATACTCTTTCCGAACCCAGGCAAATCATGTTAACTACAACAAGTGTTATTTCCATCGTCACAGTTATCGCTTGTGGTGGTTTCACGTCATCTGTTTTACAAGTTCTTGAAATTCCAGTTGGAGTAGAAGAAACGGAACACGAAATGCTTCCATTTTCTGATGTGAAACGCAGCAATTCCGTTACAACTCCCATTGAACTTCAATCACCAACATCTCCAGGTGCTGAAAAGCTGTCCGGTGAACCTGCAACAGCCTCAAGATCAGTTTATGAAAAAGCATGGTTAGTTCGAAAATGGTATAATTTCGATGTAAGATACATGAAACCCTTGTTGACCCACTCACGACCCACACTAATGGATACTTTACCTGGATGTTGTCTACCAATCTCTCGTCTCCTAACCACGACCCAGCAATTAACTTCTGATGAAATTGGCTCCCACAAAAGATTCAATAATTCTGGAGTTGATTATGAATATGAATCAGATGATGATTACGTTTTAACCCGAGATTCTCGCCCTTCAAGTATTCAAGTTGTCCCGCCGAGCTGCTCAGTAAAAAAGCAAAGTACAGTGATATCTAGACCAAGTCCAAGAGGAACAAGGGTTGGTTTCTCTGTTCGACCTAATTGTGATTATTTAGACGACAAATCTATTTTAGAAAGTAGCAGTGTTACCTGTCTATCAAATTCCTCTCAATTCAAAGCAACCGGTGTACCAAACTCCTTGGGGCATGATCCTTCCATTTCTGGCGATAATTTCATTTGATGATCCCAATTCAATACCAATGAAAAGCATTTAGTCAAGCTTATAGTCAAAACCAACTTCACTCAATTTGAACCTTCACAAATTTATTTCAATTGTCAATCTCTATTTGGTTTCCCTGCTATTTTCACCATTCCAATCTCAATTTCCAATTTATTTTGTATCATTTTTTGTGTTACCATCTGTATTATTTAAGTAACCAATACCTTCTATTGAGATAGATGAAAGTCTATCTATTATTTTTGAACTCGCATCCAAATCGAGCTAAGTCATTCAATTACTTTTCCTTCCATGCATTTTTTTGTTTTTCCTATTTTTCCCAAAGACTGATTAAGGATATGAATATTTGCTCACAATCCTAAATTCCTAAATTAATGTTAGTCAAACTAAATTTGCGATTTTCTATTGCAAATGAATGATTTAATATATTTTTTTTGTTGAATCAAAGTACCATTATTTTTTGTCTGCCTTTACTTTAAGAAAAATCAAAGTAAAAAGAACCAACAACACATATTAATAACAAATTGTTTTTGCAACCTCATTTTATTTCTTGATCATTTTTTTCAATTAAATTCACTGCTTGATCCTTTCTCCCGGCGACTCTGAACCCTGTTGACTAAATTGACAAATTAAGTCAAGAATTGATCACTGATCAATATGACCATTAATTTATGATATCAATAGATAGTTTTGAACTCAATCATGAACCAAATTATTTTTAAAAAAAGCTTAACATTCTAGGCAATTCTGTGATAACATTGACCTTTCATCTATTAGAGCTGTTTACAACAGAAGGCTATTATATGAGTAAAATAGATTTTATATTTCTACTTTTAAATATTGTGATTGATTGATTGATCAACATCACTTATAATAATAGATTTATTAATGTCATCGCTCTCCAAAGTTTCTTTACCTTTAATGAATCAAAAGTTTCACCTTTGTTTATTTTCATATTGATTTATCTCATTGTTATTAATTCTTGTTCTTTGTTTATTACAACTCAGACATGGCGTGCCTAACAAGAGGAAAGTATGGAAAAGAATCTGGAACTTAACAGGAATGCTCAATTATATTGTGAAAGTTTTAACGATACAATCGTTCGATTACGTTTAATTTGCTGATCTAACCCATTGAATGTGGTCCTCTTCAAAGAGAAGTCTCTCTTTTAAAATCTTTTATTCCAATGAATGCAGCTGCTGAACCAAACTGATTTCCATTTGCTACTCACAGTTTTTTCATTTCTCACCCTGATTCAAGCCTTATAAATAATGTTAAGGAGGATCTGCAACATCGCCTGTTCTCGAATTTTTTTCTAATAAATTTTTTTAAATCAAAATTTATGCTGATTACGAATATTTAAATTGTTTTCATTTTTTCTCTTGAGAGATATTCAACAAAAAAGAGCAAAAGTTTTGTTGCATTATGATAACAAATTGACATGAACATTTCAGCGATGGAATAATTGCTAACGTAAAGCACTCCAAGTAAATTTGGTATAATTCCGTTTTTGCACACCCTATTGCATTAGAAATCCGAGAGTCATTTAATGTTAATAATCGATAGTCGATGAACGTATCGCTAAATTGTTATTTCTTGTTTTTAAATGTTCCAGGGAATGCATTAAAGGTTATATCAATAGTACGTTAGATAAAATAAGCCATGATTATACAAAAATTTAGTTTGAAAAAAGCAAAAGAAATTCGTTGTAGTTAATATACCGCGTATCTGCGCGAGCTCAAATATCTTTGCTAATGTTTTTGCTTATTTTGTAAGATAAAATGGTTTGAATAATATTCTATGATTGCATAGATCGAAATAATGCTAAAAATATAGTTTTTGCGTGAAAAAATGCTGAAAATGGATTTTGTTTTCGTTTTTGGAATACGACTATCATACTGAAAATTATGAAAATACTCGAAGTTATATGATAAAACAATTTCGGGCAGCGCCCTCGATAGTAATCATAAAACTTCTCGTTGCAGTTAGTTAAATAATACTTATCTGCTGACAATCAATAACAATCTTACATCAACTTTACTAACATATTGTACAATACCAAATTAATAAACCCATTTTATTGTTTAACATGCCTTTCATTCAAAATGTTATTTCTTCGTTACTTATCCCTCATAATTCAAGTCTTTATGTACAGCTTAAGCATTGATATGCATTCGGAAATACTTTTCAATTCACACATCAGACTTTTTAGGCATGTCTCTTTGTAATGCCGCGAATGAAGGGTTCGAAAGTTTGCTCAATGCTAATCCCCGATACCAGCAAAAAGTCTGAATCTGCACAAACGATAGACGGTGCCGTTTATTTTGACCCCGCTATCTACCCCCTTCAACTATTTAGCATGTGCGAATTGACCGCCCCCGATGTTATTAATATACCCTACTTACTACTTATTAAGCAGACAAGTCTTTAATTGTGTTGTCGGGTACAACAAGATGAAATCTTTTGATATCGGGTGCATCAATGTATGAATACGAAACAACGTAAGCAACATATCATGCGCCATCATCACCATCAATTGAGATGAACAGATTAACGCGTCGACGTTGAAGTCGATGATGATGACGATGAAGCAACGAGAATGAAGATATTCTCTTTAACCTTGTTCAACAGCAGTTTAAAAAAATATAGTGAATCAAGTTAATCCAGTTTGTGTGTTTAACAATGATGATTGAGTAAAGTGAGATGAAAATGTTTACTTTGATATAAACCATTTCATTAGTTGGTTGTTGGTCTTGGTGTTGTTGTTGTTGATGATGATGATGATAACTTTACAGTAACTTTCAGGTAAAAAAGCTGAATAGAGAGAAGAAGAGAGCTTAAAAGTGAGTAAAGTGAGAAGGGAAAAGTTGATATATAATATAATTTGAACAATTCAAACTGCGCCTTTAAATTGCGAGATTTTAACTCAAAGATTGTAAACGACGCAAGACGATAAATTTAAGATTACTGTTTCTTTAGTTTTGTTTAGCAGCATACAACGCCAACTTCATCATCATCACCATCATTAACAACCGTCATTTGCAAAACATTTGTTCAATTAACAATATTCTGGACAAATTAGTTCAACAGTGTTGATAGAAATGTTAAAAAATTATTTTCTTGGTAAGAATCAGATTCAAGTTTCATATTTGTGCTTTTATGCCAATGCTTTCTGGTTTCCATGTTATTCCCTGGTCATCTTTAACTTTGTTTTCCCTTTTTGTTCACAGGTTTTTTGCTTTTAACAAGTGTATTTACATTGGTCAAGAGTCAATCAGAAGATGAATCTAATAGTAACAACAACCAAGATGCAAGATCATCGAATCGTCGAATCCCTGATGGAAGAGGCAGCGATGTTCCCATCTTTACCAATGTCCACACTCATCCTAAAACGGGTTTCTCTTGTTCAGACAAGAAAGCTGGCCAATATTACGCCGATCCGTCTACCAATTGTGCCGTCTATTACATCTGTTTAGCCGATCAATATGGTCGATTGTCACCAACATCATTCGCTTGTCCAAATGGTACCATATTTAATCAAGCAACCAAAGTTTGTTCACCTCATGAACAAGTCTTCTGTACTTTGGCAACTCGTTATTATGACTCTTATAGAGGTAAGTTTTAACCTATTAACAGTTGATCTTAACATCTAATCAAACAATTGATTTATAAAATCAATCAAAAAGGGGGACAAAAACGCAATTATAAATTTATCAATTGATACCTTGAAGGCTATAGAGATGCTTCTCAGGCCTGACGTATCAACTTGTTATTCAAATAGTTGAAGGATTTAACTGATTTTATATTTACAATTTACTTTAACTTAACCAAATTTTGCCAATTAATCAGTTGCAATCAATTTAGCTAGCATTTGTTGATCAATAAAACAATTGGTCAACATTTTGTTGGCAAAAGTGATTTTTAAATGAGTTTGAGTCTTAAAAATATTGGGTTAACAAGTTCATCTTGTCAAATGTGTTGATGCCTGAGAAAGGCAACAATTTACCTTAAATCATTTTATTATCATCTTAAATCAAAAGAAACATTTTTACCTCAATATTTATCCATCATGGGTCAAACCAATGGGTCAAGGATCATTAACTAAATTAACAAACCAATCATCGTAAACAAATAAAAATCTTAAAATAATTTCTACTTTCAATTTTCAACTTTCACTTGAAACAGTTCAGCTCAACAGGCAAAATCATTAATCTTAATTTTCTAGATTTTCCAAGAAAACAACACAATTAATAAATATAATTAACAATTTTTAGGTTCATTGACCTACTAAATTAAACTTAATATAGCTTGCCTTTTTAATAAAAAAAATACATGAATATATATTTCAACTGACAATTGAACTAAATTATTATTAGTATTATCATTAACATTATCATTGAATGAATAAAAATTATTAATAAGGTAAACACACCCAATTCCCTATCATCACCTTCATGTTATTCATTGTTAATTTGAATTGAATCAACTGATGATTTTCAACAATTTACAAAATGAAAGCCCAAAAAACCAGTTTCTTTTGAAATATAATTCATTTCATAACTGTTGCATGCACAAGTTGTCTGAGTGATTACAATTAACAAGTAATCCGTCAACCTATTGACCATTTTTGATGACCAAATAACCGATTATCTAAAGGTGAGGTTAATTGTGACTCTGTTTAGGCTTAATCAAGTTGCACCCATCAATTGTAAATTGTCTATTGTTTGGCCATTCAACATTTAACCATTTCCTTGTATTACTGGCTGATGTCAATGAGCAGAAACAAAGCAAACCATTTAACATTCAAATTTCAACAATTAATCTAACCATGTTATACAACAATTGTAACCAAATATCACTATTTCAACCCATTATATGCTTATATTGGTTACACTAAACTAATCATTATTACCACTAATAATCAAGGAAGTTGATTTTGACAGATTTTTCATTTAAGACCAGAAAATGTTTTGCCAACCAAATTTGATTCACTTATCAAAAAGATTGATAATTATTTGACATTTAATTGTCATATTTGCTTAACCATTTCATGAACTTTCACAGTTGGTCTCTTCACAATCAAATTAAATTGTTCAACATTGCATGTTTCAATTTTTGCTTTGAGTTTAAATCACTGTAAATACAAGTCTATTAATGACGGAAGTGTTTTGTATCTTTGATTAGTTGAATGTTGTTTAACTAATTGTTCACTTTCGATGAATTTAAAGATTAAAATGAGCGTTAAGGTTTGAATGTTTTTGAACCGCACATTTAGTCAAGTTGAACTTGAAATGATGTGATTGATGATTAGAGACTGATTTAGTTGTTGACTGTTAAGTGAACTTTTGATTTTGTTTCGCTTTTAAAGACAATTGATGGGAAAGTTGATTGTTTTTACAATCAATTTTAATCAATTTTTTGGCATTCAAATGTTTTCAAGGTTTTCATTACTCTTCAACCTTGTCCTTAATCTGAATCTTCATTTGGATGTGACAATTTGACACTCAATTGAGTTGATCATTTACTCAATTGTCATTTCAGTTTTGATTGTAATCATTTTGTTGAAAATGAGCCCAACAATCAATGTCAATTGATTGTAATCAGGTCAACTTGATAATTTGAAAATGGTATTTACCTTTACATTTACAGCAATCCAATTTGTTGCTATTTTTAGCCTGTCTTGTGTCTATAAATAGATCATTTTGTCTAGTTGAATTGAAAAATCAACTAATTTCATGTTAATTTACATTTCATCAACAATTTTACCTTTTAATATAATCTGATCAAATCTGATGAACCGTCTGAATCTTGATTTAATTTTCATTGAATTAAAAGCCTCTCATTGTTTGGTCAGTTTTTTGTTGATTCTCACACTCAATCAACTTATTGTGCCATGAAATATTATCAAGTATTACTCTATTTACCCAACTGATTGTTATCAATGATTTAATTTCATTTCTAATAAAGTAAATGGAACACAATTTAAATAAAAATAACAATTAAAGCAAACAGTATTATCTTAAAATAAAATTGTTCATAAATTTATTCACTTTCAAACGTTAATCACGTCTCTTAACATTACACAAAAATGTTAAATAAATGAAACATTTTAAGGCAAATGAGATTCAATTGTTGAATAAAATTAACTCTACTAATTGCTGAAATTAATTTAAATGTCTTTCAATATCTACCCAAACTCACCCTAAGATCAACTAATCAGTATTTCACTTTCCAATTTACTAATATTGTTTAATCTCTATTAATAGGTCACATAGATAGTCAAGGAAAGGATCCAAACCAATATACAGCCCATTATGAAACCATCCCATCACAATCCCACCATCAAGCATCCCATCCACGAGCTCGACCTATTGCTGCTGCCCAACCAGTCCAACCATCAGCTACTCCAGTAACAACACCAAACCGTAATCAGGGAACCCTTCGTAATAGTGGTTTTGCCGATGTTGGTCGATTCTCTTCTTCTTCTTCTTCATCCTCTTCCTCTTCATCGTCTTCATCTTCCAATTCACCATCTCAGGTACAGCCACTTGCACCGACACGTTATACTCAGCCAACTAGACGAGGTCAATTCCGTCCAAGTCTCAGTGAGGCTCCAATTCGAGCAGCCGCACCAGTCACGCCAAGAACAACCACTACAACAACAACAACACCTCAACCACTGCCAGTTGAATATGTCTATGATTATGATTATGATTCAAACAATCCAAACAATCCTAATCATGGAGGTAACCCAAGTGTTGGAGGAGCAAACACAAGACAAGAGTCGCCTTTAATTCCAAGTCAACCTAATCCTGGTTCACCATTAGCGCCATTACCATCATTATCACCTCTATCTGCACCCTTTACATCTTCACCAACTATTGGACGGAATAAAAGATCTGCAGAAATTGAGGAAACAGAATCAAGTTTAGTCAACATTGATAGAAGATCAAGAAGAAAGAGTGCACTTGAATTGAATTCCGAGGCTGGTTCAGTTGAAAGGCTTAAGCCATCTAATTTTACTTGCCATGGAAAGGTTTCTGGTATTGCTTATGCTGATATTGCAAATGATTGTAAAATGTTTCACGTTTGTCTACCTGAAACCAAAGGAAAGTTGAGTGATTATCAACTCTTCTGTGACAAAGGATTGGGCTTTGATCAAGTCAAAGCAACTTGCAAGCCACTTGGTAAATTTGATTGCTCAAAATCTGATAAATATTATCCAGTCGATAAATCCGTTGACCATGAAGGTTATCGTAAGAACAATTGGAGAGTCAATAAGAAATTGAGGAGTCCAATTAAAAGTAACAATAGTAAGGCAATTAAATAGTGATTAAAGTAAAACTTGCACAAATTGCCAAAATCAAGTTGAAGGGAATCAAGAAAATTCAATGATTGATTATTTAAAAAACACTTGAAAACATCGTTATCATCACCTCAACCCTCACCATCATCATAACCATCGTCATTATTATTAGAGTTTTTATTCAATTTTCACTCAATTTATAAGAATACTCATATAGACTTAATTATATGATTAGCGAAAACAAATTGTTGCCATTTTAAACTTAAAAAATAAGTAAACTGTTGAACTCAGCATCCAATTTCAAGTCGTCTACTTTTTTGTCGACTTGATTCATGATGCTTTATATTTTTTGCAAAATATATAATTAAATAAATTTTTGCGCCTTTTAATTATGATCAACTAATTTTATAGATGCTTTTAAATCTGTTTTCTCAATTGAATGTCTCAAGAAATTGGCTTTAGAAATTATATTTTTTCATTGATTACATTCAGCTTTTTTGAAGCTAATAAATCGATTTATTGATTATTGTCCTGTCTTGTTTTTTTAAATGCACTTTCAATTCAGTCATTTACCCCATGATTACAGACTGAATCAGTATTCAGTAAATTACATTTTTTACTTTTACCTGTCTTACTTGTCATTCTATTGTTGACTATGGAAACAATATTTAGTGTTGAGATAAATTATAATAAAGTAAAAGTAGTTAGGGACAGCGATTGGCGATATTAACATAAATCAGAGATTTAATAACTGAATATTTATACAAATGTCATAGTAAAATCATTCTCATAATCAACGAAATCGACCGATTGACTGTCGCGATTAGATTCTGTGTGTAAGTCATCTGCTATGGTACAGAAATGTTTGGCAAGATTTAGGAATATTCTGTTAAACATGAATTAAATCATCTAAAATAATGAGAGAGGAGAAAAATAGTAGAGTTTCTCTCAACAGATTAGATTGAACACAGAAATATTGTTCTGACAACTAGTTTGAATGGCTATAATATTATGTTTGACGGTTGTTGTCCTCATCCATCCACGAGCTCTTTAGTTTTCAATTTGAAAAGCTCTTCACATTTTCCAATGGATTCTTGGGCTCTATATCTAATGTTATCAACAGCGTCTTTAACCGTATCTTGACTTATACCAGCCGTTGGCAACCTCGCAGTCTCGGTGTATTTGTTTTGTAATTGGGTGATCTCCTGTTTTGCTGAGTTGAAAAGAGTTTTAGCACTTTTGGCTAAATTTTCCCGATGCTCTCGCGTGATTTTCGGTATTGTTAAAAATATTTTAACACCATCAATTTGTGGGGCAAGATTCATTCCAGACTTATTGATAGCATTTAGAACAGGCTTTATGGCATCAGGTAGAGCACTAAGATTTAACACAATTATATTTGGAGGTTTTCGGGATATCTGGGCCACATCTTTGAGAGGGTGTACAGAACCATCCAATTCAACAGGTAAAGTTTCAATTCCCAAGCCAACTCGTAAACTTAATTGAACAGTATATTCGGTTTTCAGCTTAGATACCACTCCTGACAATAACGCTTCAAACTCCTCCACATTAATAAGCTTAGACAGTTCTTCATCAGACATCTCGTACTTAGGCGATTTTCCTTTTTTCTCCTTGACAATTCCTCGTTTAGCATAATTTCGTCTTTGATCATACATGATAGCAGGTAGGCTACATTCACTATTCGGTATAAGATTCCAGTTAGTCAAACACATGGTAGTCTCTTCTAAAGAATAACATTTTATACATTTTGTGACAGTTCTCAATGAAGATAAGCACTGTTGACCAGGCTTAACTACACTCGAGAATAATCTAAAAACACTCATATTTGCGAAAAAAGTTAATCAGGCACAAATTAAATAAAGTAAAATTAATGTTTTGAAATTGTTGTTTACATCAAATTTTTTCGTAGGAATAAGCTTTCGTGAGGATAACAAGCTGTGCTATTTTGACTCAACTTAAATTGAAATGTAACTTTATGTTGCATGTTATGCTATGTATTTATCCATCAGTTGTTAGTTTAATTTTTGTCTCATGAAAATTTGTCTTGAAATGTCATATGTTTCATGATCTTCCTTTGATTTCAAATGAATCTAGTTTCTTGAATTTCAAGAAAAACGAGTTCAAATTAGATTCTGATTCACCTCAAGACAACACTTTTTTGAGACATTGATTTTAAACCAATAAATCGATCAATTATTTTTTTTAATTATTCTTACCAGTACTCAGTGCTTATTATTTAATTAAGTTGAGTGTACAAACTCATGTTTTTAACTCTTAGTGCATCTAGCACCAACTTCATGCCATTCAAGAACTTAAATTATCTCAGTACAACGTTACGTTCAAATCATAAGCGGTCACCATCGTCTCATTGAGCTCACAACTCAACCAAAATGTACTTAATTATTCTAGTTGTAATCTTGATTATTTTCACCCTAACTCACGTTTATAATAAGGTGCTAAGAAGGTGTAAGATTGACAAAATCTATGAAAAGTCTGTGATGGTAACTGGATGTGACTCTGGACTCGGCTTGGAGATGGCCAAACATCTTCATGAACTTGGTTTCATCACAATTGCTACTTGTTTAAATCCTCAATCGAACGGTTATCAAACATTAAATTTACTGGGTGATCGATGCAAAGTTTTCTTGATGGACATTACGAATGAAACACAATTAAAAAAGACTGTTTCTGAGGTGAAACATTTTCTTCGTCAAATTGGGATAAATAGTGAGTAAAACTCAATCAACACGCCTAATAGATCTTCATAAAATACTTTATCCATATAATTTTAGCAATTAAATCTAAAAAATAACAGGTTTATATGGGTTAGTAAATAATGCAGGAGTTATGGTCAATGCTGAATTTGATTGGTTGACTTCTTCGCAAATAAAATCTCAAATCGACGTAAATTACTGTGGTCCGATAATTTTGACTAAATTACTTCTTGAAGACATTATAAACAGTCAAGGTAAATCATCTTAAGCTTTTCAATCAATGTTGTCTATATTGAATTTTTTTCAAATTTCAATTGCAGGTAGACTAGTTTATGTCACAAGTTTAATATCAAATGTCCCGTTTCCATTGTGTACAACATACTGTTCAACTAAAAGTGGTCTTTCCATGTTTGCTGAAGGATTACAGGCTGAATTATCTCGTTTCGGTGTAAAAATTATTTTGTTACAACCAGGCGATTTCACCAAATTAACTGATATTGTGCCGGCTACACTTAAAGCATCTGATGTTATGTGGAACTCTTTTGATGAACGGAAAAAAGAGTTATATGGAGATTATTTCCATAAATATTATGCGAACATGAACTCTTCTAGGGGAATGATTTCATTTAAATCTTACACAGACTCATCTCTATTCATAGATATTGAGGAAGCTTTAATTTCAATCAATCCAAGACCGGTTATGGTTCAATCTTTCTTGTGGTATCATGTTTTAATCAAGACGATTAGCTATCTTCCGAGAAGCTGGAGAATCAATCTATCTCAATTAATTCAATATGTAACAAGACGTGGCTTAATTAAAATGGATTGATTCGATTTCGAGATTTTACGTAACGGCGAGCATTGTTTTAGAATTGGTGATCAAAGACTTAAAATGAGCGTTTCTCTACAAGTTGAAATGATACATTTATTTTAAATATATTAATAGAAGTAAAAAATGTTTGAGATAAAGAATGATGAATCGTATTGACAGAAACAACAACTAAACATAATCATCTGATTTTTTAGACTCATTTGCTCTTTGGCGATAACAGTAAAAATATGAGCAAAGATAGATTATCGATATTTGTATGAGAATTAATATGCTCTAAAGAAACCTGGTCCTTGATTAAAACCGAAGAAACCAGGTTGATTGTATGCTCGCCTTCTTCTCATATTTTCATATGACGCTTGATCTCCATAATACCTATTATAGTCATTGTAATTAGGATTTTGTTGATTTGGATCCGGTCCTTCTCTATGGCCATGATGATTGTCAGTTATACCGATTGGGGCAGTTAATACATCTATCGAAAAATTACAATGATTAGAAATGGTGAAAATGTATAGAGAATATAACAACTTACGATAAGTAAGATCGATGAAAGCTCGAAGAGGACCTTTAACATAAGCTAATCCAACTAAAATACCGGACAAGTGCCCAATAAATGACGCATTAGGGCTGACCAACTGTATGAATACAAGTTCAACCCAAACAGCATTTCGGGCAGCTACAGGTATCCCATAAACACTGCTATATGCATGGACTGGCCAATAATATGTTGTGAGAACCTTTAAAGCAAATATCACTCCTAAAAATTGAGGTGGAGAAAACAGAGTTGTATTAGTAAACAGTGTATTTAAGAGATCCATACATTAGAAGAAAATGAAAGTATCATAAGTTTTCACTAAATAATATTGACATACCTGAAAATCCAATCGCACACACACTGTTATATTGATAATCACCAGTTAATCGAGAGAGACAGTAATAAAGTCCGATATATGTTGCATTACAAGAGAGTGTGAAAATGATCAACATGTAGAGAAATTTGAAGGGGCCAAATCTTTGTTCAAGAGTTTTTCCTTTCCAAAGAAATGATATCATGTTGTAGTATAAATGCCAGTCATCAGCATGTTCAAAAGCACTAGCAATCAATCTGATCCATTGATGATGCTTAATTACATGAGTTACATCTAAACAAACGTCATAATGATCGAGCCAAGGAACCTAAAAATGGGAAAAAATAAACATCTTGAGTTAATAAAGCAAAATAAGATATGATTAGACTGGTCGATAGTATAAGGAAGCAATGAAAATCCGACAGAATAATGTTACAAATTTCATTCTTACTGCAATTATCCTGAGGAAAATTAAGATTTGAAGACCAATAGTAATTAATGTAACAGGCGGTATACCCGATGTTGTTGCTGCTTGAAATAATTCAGTCAACAATAATATTGTAGCAATCGAAGGCTGGCGGCCTCCTCTTCTCGGTCTGAACATTTTTGGAAATTTAATTCACAGAATAACATAAAATTACAATCAGATGAAATTGTTGCTTGATATTTCAACTTAAGTTAGCGTGTTTTTTCCTTGTATTTATTTTTATCAATAAAACAGTTTTTTAATACTGACTCAAGATAACTCTGTTGACAGCTAACACATGATTCCATGGCGCCAATTTCATAAATTTTGTCTGCTATTTTTTATTCAAAATTTATATTTTCATTTAAATATCTATGATTGAGCAGAATAAAATATCATAATTAATAAATGTAAATCAAGTTGTCGGATAACAATCGTTTCCTGGGTGTAAGGAAAGGAAACATTGTTTAATACATCTTTACAGTAATTAATCAAAGACAAAACGTACACTAGGTATTAGGTTACACTTAATGACTTAAGTTAGAGGCGTCAAAAAATTAGGCATTTTAACCTTATTTATGCATAAATTATTCAAGGAAAATTTAATTTCAATTCATGAGAAGTGATTGATCTAGAGTAAATTCAATGTAACCAAAAAAGGTATAGTGAAAGTGTTCTTCCAATAAACAACCCAAATCAATTGATTAACATGATACTTGGCAAAATCAAGGGGAGAGAAGTAATTAGTTAATGTCAAAATGTAGTCAAATTTAATTGTTTTAATAAATGAAAGAAAATATTTTATTATTCATTTATTTGATTAATCGTTAAGCAGGCAAGAACCTACATTTGATATCGGATTTCAGTAAAACGCAGAGATCAGAGGCGGCTCCTGAAAGATCAAGAATGTCATCTAAATCTAACTACATTTAGTTAATGAACAAGAGTTGATCAGTGTATTGAAAACTATCTAAATGTTTAGTTTGTAATGTAACTAAACATTTATAATTTGAAACAGATTGTAAGCTTTTTTAAATTTTAAAATTACATAAAACGTGTCTTCTATTTGTTTTAAAATGAACTCAACAAGATCAAGATTGAATAGATCATCAAGATCATCATCATCGTCATCATCATCAACTGAAATAGGAAAAAATGCTGCTCGTGAACGATCAAGAGTCCGATCATTGAGGTTAGCATTTCATCGACTACAAAATTCAATTCCAAAGATTCCACCGGATACTAAATTGTCAAAGCTAGATGTGCTACTATTGGCAACTGATTACATTGCATCTTTAACCAAACAGTTGAGTGAAAGTGAACCATTAACAGAAACTGACATAATTGAAGCCAAAGAACCTGTTGATGAAAAAATATTACATCCAATAAAGGTTAGTATTTATCATTTACAATGATTTAATAGATGTTGAATAGATCATTTAAATTTTCCACTTTGACTGTCCCCTGACTAGAAATGGCCGATGAGGTCTCGATTATATGCTAGTGCTGATATCAATTCAAGTTATGATTCAAGTTCGGCTGTTGCGAGAGTTGACTCTTTGGATTTTCCTGATTCAAGTTGTTTCCTTCTGGACAAAATTGAACCAATAAATACGGACGAATGGGATGCAGTTGATTTCAATATTTTTTATGACGATTTAAGTTCTTTATCATCTTTTCCGAATTTACAATAACTGGCGAGAATTTCAATGTCTAGTAAATCATGGTATGATACATCAAACATTATCTATTAAAGATTCTTTGTTTTTTACTGTTCTTTGTTCAATTGTACACGAAGAAATTTCAATTATTAATTTAGAGAAAATTATCAGGCAATTCAAGTCATTGAAGTATTTTTTTGCGAAAAATACGCCATTAAGCAGTCTAAGTAAAGCAATCTTTATAAATATTTATCTGACAAGATTTCATGATATTAAAATAATAATATTTACAATATGTAGCCATATTTTTTGTGATATAATGTATCATTCAATAAATGCTTATTCAATAATAGCTTCACCATCGCGCGTAGTAAAATATTGATAGATTCGTCGAGAAGCTTGTGGTCCTAATTTTTTGGAAGTGGTTCCAGTCATCAAATTTTTTCGAGATACTTCAATTGAACCTAAAAGATTTTCCCTTTCTTCTTGGTTTGTACATAGTTTGTACGCGCTTAATAAAGATTGTAGACAAGGATAAACTTCGGAAACCGCTTTGGCCATTTCAAGACTCATTTTGGTAAATGACATCAACTGTTTGATCCAAAGAGAGGTTATATCTGAGTCCTCTACGATGTCGACTGATCCAAAGCCATCGTTTTGAGCATACCATTCAAGTCCTTGTTGTTCTCGTTGGGATTTTTTGATTACATACATTGCTGTGGAACGAGTATGAGCCCAAATAATATTACAGAGATCGACTGGTGTTTCAGATTGAATGATGTGGACATGTTTAGTTGAATATGATGATTCGTTGAGTTTAACTTGCAGATCGAATATAGCTAAGTCTAGTTCACTCTTTTTTATTAATGGAAGAGTGTCCTTATTTTTGGTTACTCTTTTCTTGGCCATACCCATTTTAGCGCGATATTCTTGGTTTTCTCGGTTCTTTTGTTGATTCCAATATTTTTCGTATCCATAAAAGATCAAAGTCAAATTCTTATCATAAGCATCTAATAAAGAGGTAACAAATTCAAATAGAGTCTGATTACAACTCTCCTTGTCGGATTCATCATCACTTGATTCAAGTTCAATTTTGGAAACAGAGACATTTACCAAAGGAATAAACTCTGTTGCATGTAAAACTTTGAAAATGACATCTGCTTCAACATCTTTTCGTATTAAATTGACGACACTTGTGTCATCTTCTCCTTCTTCAATCATTTCTCTTTGTTCTCTGACCCATCTAATGCCGCAATCGACTGGATTATTAGTGTCCAAAATAAGTGGTGCTTCTTTCTCTTTAAAAATGGCTTGAAGTTCATCCGATATTTTGAACTTTTCCAATAAAGCAATGTCAACAAAGGTTTTACAGAACTTATGACAGTCAGTTAATAACTTGGTTCTTCCAGCTTCTCTTAGAGCTGCTTTTTTCTCCTTCTCTTTCATCTTCATCTTTTCTTTGGCTTTTTTCTCCTCTGCCTTTTCGGCTTTTCTTCTTTCCTTTTCCTCTTTCAACTTTCTTATTTCTTCAGGGGTGCGACGTTTTCTTGCCGGAGTAATCGTATCATCTATTTTGTACGCTTCTTCATCGCTCAATCCAGAAGTAGATGGAGGATCATTCTTCAAATTTTTCTCTTTTAAAGATGTATAAGAGATATGTGGGGGAGTTTCACTTTGGTATGGTCTCTTTTCAATTTTTTTAGTGATCTTGGGTTGTTTGAAAGGCGACACATCTTTATCTAAAGAAGATTGGCGGGATTTTATTGGAGAACTTTTTTCGGCATCGGATGATTTAGTATCATTATTATCCTTAGTTAACGTCCATGCTTCAATACTGTCTTCATCATCAAGCCAGTTAAGTTCTACCTTCCTACTGTTTTCATCCTGAGATACTAAATTTGGACTGAAATACAATGAAAGAGTAAAAAAGGTAAGTTAAACATGAAAAATATAATGAAATGATAAAATGTTACCTTGAATCTTTATTAGAGTCACAAGTGACTTTGTCTCCTAATCCAATCCTTTGAGACAGTGGAATATCGAGAAATGAATCATCGTCAGAGTCGGAAAAGGTGTAAATTTTTTTGATTGCAGGCTTGAGAGGTTCTTTGGCAGGGCTTGGAACAAGAGTATTGACACTGTCATCACTGCTAATACTTAAACGCTGTCCTTCACATTTATTATTGTTGATCTCGTTAAGATCACTAGACTCAATTAGACTGTCATCAGATAAATCGATTGTCACTACAGAGTTACTAAGTTTATTTGAACTCGACTCCTCAGCCAAACATGGTACATCCAACATCGGCTTTATAGACGGTGGCGAATGAAGGGATTTTTTTGAAGGATAAAAACTTTTCAAATCAGAATTGTGATTTAATTTAGTTACATTGTCCATAATGGTATATAAATTTTGTATTTAAAATAAAAATCAAGAAAAATCAAGCAAACACAAGCATAAAATCAGACTCTTTAAAACCAATGTGTATAAAAATTTGAAACAGACTGTCAGGCTGTTTACTACTTGTTTCTTATGGCAACGCGCATACTTTTTAACGTTTTTTGGTTCTTTATTGAAAGTTTAAAATTCATCAATTGATGTTTGAATTATTATTTCATTGGAACGATTAAAATTGACCGCATGTTCGGAGATTATTTTCTCAGGTCTCACAACTTCTTGATTAGAAATTCCTTAATACTCACATCGACAATGCTTAAGCTGTTTCATATTGTTATGCTGTAGTGATTAGAAGTTTTGAGATGATTAGGATTTCATGCAATGGCTGTGAATCGATTGTATAAAGGTTGTTGCTCTTTACCAAGATTATCAGTTCAAACAGTTTCTGTAATTCTGATGAGCCAAGATTAAATAAGACTAAACAATATTAAGCTGCGTTTTTCATGCCAATGTACACAATGTATGACTGATGTTTTTTGCAATCTATTGCTATTGTTATCTCATGTTATCCACTTTTACTTGTACAATTGCGATATGCAAATTAAATTGAATAATAATGAGCTGAATATTGGCTTGATTAAAAATTAATGTCGATTCTCACAGTAAACATGATTGATAATTAATGAATTATGGTAAAGTAATTATTCTAATACAGTCATTATCAGTCAGATTGACAGAAAATCGATGTTAAGTTCGCTTTTGTTTTCCAACTCTGCCAATAGTAACTATGGTAATCAATATTGCGAATCAATGTTGATGCTTACAACCAAAGTTTGATGTTAGCTTTTTTGATAAAATTATTTTTTACTTTAAAAAAAATTGTGAAAACAAGAGACTCATTTAAAACCTATTTTTCATCGTCTGAACTCAAGAAGACCAATCAGATTGTAATCTGAATAACAGCTCCTGGAAACAAAACAATGGACGTTAAACTCAATAGGGTTGACTATCTGCAAGTTGGTCTAACCTCACCCAATACGTTGAAAGTATTGAGTCCAGGTTCATCAGATAATCATATGACCATTGTAGCTGTGGTTGGTGACCATTCAGGTTCCCTTTGTTGCTTCTCACTGCGCCATGATTCAACCAATGTTTCAACCATCTTTAAAACTCTTCCAGGTCCGAATGCCAAAATAACCAGTGTTCAAGTGGTTCGTGGCTCATCTTCATCAGCTTCCCCTAAAATACTAGTCGCCTTTGGTTCATCTGTGATTCGTGGTTACACTGCCAAAGGAAAACAATTTTTTGGCCTCGAGTTGAACAACTTAACCGAACCTATTCGTCATTTACAAATCAAATGGCCGGCTGATGTTTACATCTGTGGCCACTTTATCTATAACCATTATGTGCTTACCTCAGAATCGGCTGAGGCTGACAATAAATCATCAATAATTCAGTCAAAAAATTTCTACGTTTCTCCTGGTAAAATAACTGGACTCATTTTAATCGAAAATAATTTAACCAAGAAAACAGGTAAGAATAATTACAGACAATAATCTTAAATCAATTGCCAAAGACTTGAAATAATTGACTAACTGACATTCAATATATATTTTAAATATTTCCTTGAATTTTACAAAATTGTTGAGCCTTGAGGTTATACATTAAATAATTTTGATTTACTCTTCCTCCTTAGTGCCAATTATATCATGTGAAGATAGATTAATACGCATTTTGAAGGACTCAATGTGCCAATATGAAATCGAAACCTGTGGAATACCAAATGTCTTGTTCTCGTTGAATAAGCTGAACCGATCGTCGGAAAGTTTCTTCACTTATGGTACTTTGGAGGGCAAAGTGGCTTTAATTTCATTAGATTTCAGCAAAAATCCATTGAAAGCGGTTCATAAATGGGAGATTCCTGAGAAAGGTTCCCGAGCTCAGGTCAATTGTATTGCAATGATGGAATCAACCGGTGAATTGTATATTGGACGTTCAGATGGTTCAATTGAAGTTTGGATTTTTGTTGAAACATTAGAAGCTGATGGAAGTCAATCGGTAATTGAATAAACAAACCAATTCACGTGAATTTATGATACTTGAAGCATTTGATTCTAATCGTTTTATACCTTTTCTTTTGTAATCTAGATTAATGTTGATCTCAGACCAATTTTTCGAACTGAATTCAATTGTGGGGAAAGTTTAACTTCAATATGCATCTGTCGCGATGGGACTTTACTGCTTTGTTGTACATTTACTGGATTCATCTTTGGCTTAACACGCAATCAAGTTGTTAACTTGACAAATGATCAAGTCTCGTTGATGATGTCTCGTGATGCCGAAACTCGGATTGAAACACTAAAAAGTGAAATTAATGATCTTGAGAAGAAAATTTCTCGCGAAAGAGAGTATTATCAAGATTTGACTTCAGGTTTTCCTGCAAAAGGATTTCGATCAAGTCCAGGTTATTCAGCACTTCCATATTTTGCTATTAATGATTCAATGATTTTACAAGAAGGTTTGTCCTGATAATTCAACCGTCTAAGTTGAACACTAATTTTAAGGCAATCTTTTTCATTCTCATTTAGATGCTTCCTACCTTTTAACGTTAGAATCTGAAGTGGCCATTGATTCGATTGTGGTTCAAAGTGATATACCCATTGATTTGCTTGATTGTGAACGTAATTCAGCTGTTGTTACATTCAATGAGAATTGGTCTTCAGAAGTTTTAGCAACCTTTCGATGTCAGGCAAACACAACAAGAATTGAAATCAAGATTCGTTCAATTGAAGGTACACATCAATGTCAACCCATAACAACCATTCCTGTCAGTTAAGCTAATAACACATCTCTTTTAATTTCAGGCCAATACGGAACCTTAAGGGTTTACATTATGACAAGGATGAGCCCTAAAAGCTGTCAAGTTAAACATTACACCATTAAAGCATTATCTTTACATAAAAGAACTCATAACAATTTAAATCAAACGATTGATTCCACTCAAGTTAACCAACTTCATATTTTTGGCTCCTTTGGTCTCAATGAATCTCTCAATTGGCTACAATTGTGTTTACCAGAGATTCCTGAGCGTGTTAATATTAACAATTCCTCTTCAATGAAATACACCTTTATGTCAACCCTGATGGATACCTTTTTGATTGTTGATTGTTCAAAAGGATCACTTACTTTTCAATCGGACAATATATCAACCATTTCCATTTTGAAAGATTTCCTTACCCGTGAAGCAACCAAAAAATCAATTCCAATTGAGATGACTTTAAAAGTTAATGGAATCAGCCTTGGACAGACAATTAGAAAGTTGTTTCCTAAATTGAAACAATTGCTGGGTGAGAAAAGAAAAGGTTTGCTCTTAGAGGCAATCAAAGATTTACGAATTAATGATCCTGAAATTGCTAATTCAATGTTGACAGAACTCAATGTTGAATTACCCTCGATTCCAGTTCAATTCAACCTTGAGCGACTTTACGGTCTTATCACTGATCTCTACCTTGATTATATCAAACTCGAAGGGATCAATTCTAGTGTCAATGTGACAAACATTAAAACTAAATTGAACGAGTTAATTTCACTGATAGAAGAATCAAAAGGAAACGAACAGCAATTTGAAACGTTGATAGAAAATCTCAACGAATTTTGGGGTCTTCGAACCTTAACTTAGGTTCAGCTTATAAAACAATTTAATTTAAATTAATAGAAGTTAACATTTTAAAGTTGACAATCAATTGTAAAGCAACTAGATTTTTCCATAAAAAATGAAAATATTGCATTTCTTGCTTGTCTTTTTAAAGATCAGTTGTCAGCTGATTAATCAGATGAAATATAAATTGTAGTTCAAGTTTAAAAGGTTAATCATAATGAAATAGTTTGTTGAATTTATATTAAATTTGCTCTTCCAATGATGTAAAAAAGGAATCATTAATTTATCGGATTTACTCAAAACCAGAATTTTTGTCGAATTAGCAAAATTAAACTTTTCTTTTTGCACTCAAGGCAAATAAATTAACTCAATCATTCATTATATTTCTAATGGATTATTATTAATTGAGTATTAATTATAAGTATTATCATCTAACATAAGCTTTAGACATTATCAACATTGATCTTTGCTCATTATAATCAAGGAATACTGTGAACATCTTGTAATTCCTATCTAAACTGGAATAGTCTTTATTTTTTATCAATAATTCCAGTCAAATGATTGGTTTTAATTACTATAATAAAATCGATCAGTATATCGAGATCAAAGAACTATCTGACAACAAAAAGTTGTGCGAAAAGTAAATAAGCAATTTTATTTTGTTGATTTGATTGTAATGCGCATTGAACATGATTTGAATGCAGTGATCTGTAGATTGGTAAACAATTTAAAAATAATATTCAAAGTGAACTGTGATATGTAACTAGATTATAAAATGGGATAAAACGATGAAGAGGAGAAAAATTTAGATGATAATTTGGTATTAAATTGAGCAACCTCTTATTCCTTAAAATGATTGATGTTTCATGGAAACATGTCTACTATTATTGGAAATAGCCATTCGAGTGACGAGGTTTAGGAAAGTAATCACTGTAGGCAAAGTTGAAGGTTATGCAAAATCCCATTAAAACGACGTAAACAATCAATGCAATTAAGCCTAATCGTTTCTCCCATCGTTTTACTTTGAGATTTCGTAAGGCAAGGACACCAACAAGGAATCCGGCTAAGGCTCCCATTAAATGGGCTGAATAGCTTGTACGATTTCTTCCGACTTGACTGTAACGATTATAGATAGCTACACCTACATCAATTGTACCAAACATGACCAAACCGATAGCACGAATCGCTCCAAATTCCATTTCATGGAAATTCTGTTAAAGAAAAAAGATGAATAAATGTTAACTAAATGCAAAAATAAAACCAAATTTAGCAATTGAATCATTTTATCTAGTTAATAGTGAGCCAGTCAATCATAGGATTGAGCTTTGACAACAAGTAATCTAAAATTTGAAATTATCAGATGAAATACCAATATATAAATTATTTGATTTCAGAACAAAAATCAGTAGAAAATTGATTTATCTAATTACCATCAGATTTAAAAATAATCAAATTTAGAGAGCAAAATTAATTACTGAAATAGCTAATAAATTATCAAAATATACACATCAGCTATACACACTGAATGTTAATATTTTTGCAAGGTGAAGGTTAACTTACTATGACAACGTTCGCCAACTGTGCCGCTATCAATGCATAAACCCCACCTGACGCTCCGGCAAGATATGATTTGGGGTCCGACAGGGAACTGCCCAACGAGCCCGCTAAAACACCGCTTAAGTAGACTAGGCCGACTCTCCACCTGAAAAAGTTAAAGAGACCGATTGATAATAAAACATAATATTTACCAAAGTATTTTGTCAAGGCTTCAACCGAGGAGTCTCAATTGATTCATCCACAAATAAATTGAACGTTGGTAAAAAATGACAAGTAGCAAGACAAAGAGAAATATTGCATGATAGCTGAGATGAATTGTAGTTCATCTTAATATTCCCAGAAGTCTCTCTAGATTTCACCATATTTAAGAATCATATTGATTCACTTTTTAAATCGATTTTCTTTGACAATATGAAATTTTTCATAACTGGGGCAAAGCTCCATCATAACGAACATATAACAAGCAGAAAGCTAACGCCTAGATGAGCGACAATTGGATTACAAGACTATATTTACCATTTATGGACCATTTCTAACGGTATACCGAGTAGAAGTTGAACAAGTAAATTAAAGAAAAGATGAAAGAAACCAGCATGAATGAGAGCATAAGTAAAATATCTCCAGACTTGATAGCGACGGTATGGATCATAAATAAGTAGACTATCAAAAGGCACTGGACCAGTGGCTGAGAAAGTATTCATTGCAACACAATAATATATAAAAACTGCAATCTCGACGATTGAAGCTAACATTAGGAACAACGGTGGTGGTGAACAATTGTACTCCTCGATGTAACGTCTAATCACCGATTGTCGTTGAGATTTAGGCACAACTGCTATAGCAGCATAACGAATTAAGCGATGAAGACGAGGTCTGTGAGCACCCATTTCTCTTGATTTGACCTGTAAATCATCAAGTAAAAGTTAGATCTCGTTAGATATGTTTTGAAGCAAACTAAAATGGACATTAATCAACTTGCCATTGAAATGAATTCATTATAAGAAATGCAACCATCATGATCCCATTCTACGCGCTCTATAATTTCATCAAGAATTTCACGAGGAATGTCTTCTTCAAGTCTTTCATTTGCCTCCATGATTCGGCGTCTAAATACATCGACAGGTATTCTTCCAGCACCGTCAGAATCATATTTGTCAAATACTGGTTTCCAGATCTAAAAATTCAATTTACAAAAAACATTAGTTGGAAAACAAAGAAGGTTATTTAAAGCTTTTATTTACAACTTACCCGATCCATTTCTAAGCTTACAGTAACTTGATCGTGATCTTGATCAACACCAACTCTATTGCCTTTTGTCATTTTCTTTAATCCTTGAGTTAATAACTAAATCACTTATCATAAAATAGATGATCAGAGATACAATCAACTGAAATAGCTTGGATCGACTTTTCGTGTTTCTTCTCTCCTCTACCTTTCAATCACCAATTTGTACTCTCTCTTAATCTACAGTATTTAGTAAATACTCACAGTACTGGTTGGTAACTTCTTATTGATGACAACAATGGCAATAACAAAGACAAGAGACACTTAGGTGTGGTTACGGTTGCACATTCAATACTGAAAATTAATGGTTACCTGGAAAACAAAAAAAAATCAGAGTTAAAGTGAGTGCGGAAATGTAATTCTATCTGTTTAATGAAAAATAACTTAAAATATGTTAACAGGTAATACTATGGATACATACCATAGAGAACACCAAGCAACCACCACAATCAATCAAATAATCATGGTAAACAAACCATATTCAATGATAAAGAAAAAAATAGAGAGAGGTTCAAAGAGAAAAAAAATGCTGTAATAAACTCATCAACATCAAGATCTTTAGACATAAACCCTTCTTAAAAACACTTACCTTACACTTCAAAGTCAATGCTTTTGGGTAGCTAATTGTACACAATAAACACTCTTAAAAGTAGATATAAGACTAAGAATAATTAGAATTGTCAAAAATAAAAAAAAACAATTAAAATAAATAAAATAAAATAAATAAGCAAATTAAAACTTGTTGGGATCAAGGAGATGTTGCAACATGCAACTTTGGTTTCTTAGTCAACAAAAAATACTTTAGTGTAAATAGCGTCCACCAAATGATCTGTCTAAACTTAGGTCAAATGGTCACTCATGAAGATTTACCTTTAGATTATAATTTGGTAGTCAACAGAATTGCTCAGTAATTTCTTTTTAATTTACTGTCCATCAATTTTTCTTAAATGCTGTATTATTTTAAAGTCAATACCCGTTTATTTTCATCTATTAATAATTTAATCATGAGCAAAGAGTAAAAAGGATTACTCTTCTTCTTCTTTACTCTTTGTTCCAAATTCAGTGCAATCAAAGTCATGTTTTATAAGGCTTGCATGATTGCTCTGTTATTAAATTATCACTTGATCATCATGACGTATCCAAAATTTTTGTTCCCAGCCATCATTCAGTATTGCAGTGAGTTTTAAGCAATCAAAAGTTCTGTTAATCATAATTACAAATACAATGTACTTTTTTCCGATTTTAATTATGCTTGATCGCAACCATCTCACCTAACATATCAAAGAGTATCAATTTAAATGGATTTATGATTAGAAGAGAGTTTGTTCAATTTATTTTTGCGAATTAAGATGGTAATAATTATCAACTCTGTTAATCAAAAGAGTTGAATAAATTATTTTCGTAGTTTTAACGTTACTGTGAAAATAGAGACAAGTTTTATTTACACTAATGCTTATTTATACAGCATGAAACAGTTTATTTATACAGCATAAACAAGAACAGATTGTTTTGTTTTTTTGTGGATGTTTTTTGCTTCAGTTGACTTAGTTATTTAATTTAACTTGAATATGATCTAATTTATGGTTTAAACTCTTTAAAGTGGTTATAATCGAATTTGACTTCCAATTTGGTGCTAGTCAGACTGTGTCAGTTTGATTCAGGTAAATTATGGACATTTTTCTGTGATTGGTGACTTTCTTTTCTAGCTTTTTATTTACTACGTATTTTTTCCTCTGTTTGACATTTTGTCTGGTGTTTAATTTCAGTATGTCGGAACAAAAAATGGACTGGATGTATAAAGGCGTTTCTGGTATGGTTGACCCAGAAGCGTATTTAACAGGACGTAAAATTGATAAAACATTTGAGCTTGCTCAACGAGAGGAAAGAGGTGAAAGGATTGATGCACCAGCCGATGATGCCGTTCCTACATCTCTTTTTGGGTTTCCTTCCAGTAGTATGAATAAAGAGTTGTCAGATTTGATGAGAGAGGATCCTCTATTTGCAATCAAGAAAAAACAACTAGAAGAAACCCGAAAGATTCTAAACAATCCATTGAAAATGAAAAAGATCAACGAGTTGATTTCAAAAGAAAGCGGTGGAGAGCCAACGAGACAGAGGAAACACAAAAAGAAACACAAACGTTCAAAAGACGATAGCTCGGATGATGAAACGAAACATAAACGTTCAAAAAAATATGATCCAGATGACAGAAGAAAACACAGAAATGATAAAGACAACTCAGACTACAAAAGTAAACACAAAAAATCAAAAGACTATAGTCCAAGTGATGAAAAGAAAAGCAAATATTCAATAGATAAAAGTCCAAGTAGAGCTAAGAAAAGAAATAGACATTCAAAGGACGATAGTTCTAATGATGAAAGCAAAACCAAGCATTCGAAAGGAATTAGCCCAATCAAAAGTAAACATAGGTATACAAAAGACGATGACTCGAGTGATGGAAACAAAAACAAAACCAAGAAAAGTCACCATCATAAAAGATCTCCTAGTTCATCTAGAAAAGAGCATAAATCTAAATCGAAACATCATTAATCTGCATTCTTTGATTCAGCACTTCTCGGTAATTTTAGACAAGTTCCCATAATGTTAAGTCGGCTTGTGTATTTTTATTTAACCTCTACCATCGCAAATCTCGTATTTATACGATTAAAAGAGAGTTGATTCAAGGCAAATAATATTAAACTAACCTTTTGATTTGAAATTTCTAACAAAAGCGCTTTTAATAATGGATTTATCAGGACATGACATAACTCTGCTAGTGCTAAAGTTACAAATAAATGCAGGGTGTTAATTAATAAACTAATGATCAAAGAAAATCCAGTTTAATGAGTATCAATACTTCATCAAACTATGGAACTTATTGGAGTAACAAAATCTTGAATCATTGAGACTGGAACATTCAACAAACTAAACCTGTTTCTGTTCAATATATTCAGCTTGAGCTACCTTGAGTCACTATAACAAACGCAGTTGCTACGTTTAAATGATATCAAATAAACTGTTTACGACCATCAAAAGGATAGAAAGCTTGAATCAACCGGTTAATCAAAGGAAAGGGCAAATCTAGATAGTTTGAGGAATGATGAAACACATTTTAAGATAGAAAGTTAAATTTAGATGTGGGCTGAGCCAGAATAGTCGTTCGAAGAGACCGCTCTCAAATTTCCACTGCTAATTATTCATTTTTTCACGATACTTTAATAATTGAGTGAAGTTATGTGTCGAGCCCCATTCGTTTCCATATATAATTGATGAAAATTTTCATTGGTGTATGTGATTTTATAACAATAATTGTATCAAGATGAAGATTTTTATTGTTCAATTTTTCACTTTTTTGTTACTTCTGTTGATATTCAATGGATTCATTCAACCCATTCACATGTTCACTAATGAAACGAGTGAATATAATATTAAACAAGCCAAATTGCTAAAAATTGGATTCAATCATGTGTTTTGGGATTTTGTTAATTCAAATGATCTGGAACCACTTAAAGTATCATCATCATGTATCAAAAGTTTAAATAATGTTTTTAATTCAATGAAGAAGGATAATCAATGGACATTGCAAAGTAAGTATCTTTTGATGTCTTTTAGTGATTGGATATTGTAATTGTACTCAAAATTTGACTCGAAACCATCTAAGCGCCTTTACAATTACATGTTTGCATTTAAATTATATTTGTCACTAAAATTTATTTATTCGTTCTTTCATTATTTTTATTTCAAAGTGTTTGATTCATCATCTAGGTTTATTATTGATTCAACTGAAACTGGTTTCTATGATTTTGGTAATTATGATAGATGTTTGGGTCTTCAATGGATCAACGATGAAACAAAGGAAAGTGAATTTGGTCAACATTGTACAATATCAATTTTACCAAAAATATCGGAATCAGAATACTCTACAAATATGTTTACCAGGAATAAAATAGTGTCACATCATCTAGAAGCCGTTTTCAAGATTGGTCTTTGCATTCCTTCCTCTTGTTCTCAAGATGATATTCAAACTATCTTTTCTAAAGGTAAGATGTACACTAAACTAGCATATATTGGAAACTAGCACAACAATTACCTTATCTGCGAGTTAAATCGAATCTTATCAATTTATTGAACAAAGCAGGAAAATTTAATATGAAAACATACTAAAGTCGTCGTGAAATACTCGTTGGTGGATCCAATCTGCAGCTAATATGATAAATTTGCCACCAATTTTAGACACTTAGCAACTAAATTGATTTTGTGAAACTATCTTTTACTCAATCTAAAAAATTATCTAGTTTAATGTATCTCTATTAGAAAGTGAGAACTGAAAATTGTGTTGATTAGTGTTCACTCGTTTGAGTTTATTTGCAACAGAATGGGTGCTCAGTAAAGCCAGTGAATTAACAGCGCGTACAAGATAATATGTAATACTGTGATCTTGACATCTTGACCTAAGTATGCTTTACTCTACTTTAAACATTCAGCTATTGACGTTTATGATTGGCAGTATGTAAAAACTGATCAATGTAAAATTAAGACTACGTTGGTTGAAAATATTATGAATGCTAAAGGATATCAAAAAATATCATTGTAAGTTGAAATGATTTCTTTTCAAATAAGTTTCTTATTACATGCTAAACATATCAAACAAATTAATATTTTATTTTTTTCACAGAGCTTTTTTGACTACAATTGTTGTTATAAATTTATATGCAACTTGGTTGGATTGGTCAGTGAAATCTAGTGGCTGGACTCGACATTTCTCTCTAATTCGTAATTACAATGGATTTATCAATCCTGTCTCAACATCAAGAATGACTTTTTTAACCAAATTTCAACTGGTAGTCCATTCTTCAACTTTAGCTGTCCACTTATTGGTTTGGTTTTATTGTTGCAAAGGATGGGGACTCATCGGTATACAATTTTCCACTTACTTGTTTGTCAATTTAGTAATGGTCAATAATTTTGCATTTTTTTGTTTTTTCACGTTCATGTCATCGATAAAGCCAATGCAAACAATATCATGAAGAAACGAAACAACTTTGCGGTTAGAGGTTCAGTAGGGGATTGGATTACAGCCATGCTTTTTGTATATGGGTAAGTCCAGTCCAAGTTCTTATACGCTGATTGACTGATTGAAATCCATTTATTTTATTTCTATTCCATAGATCGATAGCTCGCACCATGGAATACTGGAAGATCACTGGACCATCAACCTCTGTCATTTCGTCTTTTATCAACATGTTCATCAAAATGTTTACGTAAATTGTCTCAATTCTTCTTCTAATGAATAATATTTACATGACGATCTTTCATTCTTACAGAATTACCCTCATTTCTCTTCCCCTGGTCGCTTTCACCTTCATCACTCCAGTGTTTTTCGATGGTCCTATCATGTCAATTTTCAGTGATTATACTGCAGAAGCTTGTTTAAGATCATTTGGAGCAAACCTTTTATTTATACAAAACAGTTATCGTCCCATAATCGATATTGTATGCATCATGCTTATGATAATCGATCAATAATCTAGAACTTTTTCTGTCTATTATTTCAGTGTTTGTCACATACTTGGTCTGTTGCTGTTGAATTTCAAATTTTACCTGTGATCATTTTATTGGTTCATCTCTACAAAAGATCTCCAAAACTTGCTGTTATCATTAACTCATTAATAGTAATAGCTGGATTATTATATACTGGTGTCTCTGCCTTCATCAAAGATTCTCATCCTCACACATTTAGCCGTTCATTAGCTGTGAGGTAAATGCATGGATTTTATATTAATAATATCCGAGTTTCGAATATTTCATCATTTCTGAAAATCTTTTGAATTTTAACTTTTATTTTCAAAGCCCTTTTGTCCATTGGTTCGAAAACGTTTATTTGCCAACTCCGATGAATGTTTGGATCTACACTCTCCCTCCTTTATGGACATATTTGATTATGAACAAGTATGAAAAATCAAATCCAATTTTGGTAAGCATCAGTCCATTTAAACATTTTCCCAAGTAATCTTTATGAACAGATACAACGTAATGCTAATTTATTGTTCTCTTCATCCATTCATTTTACATATTCACTCTAGATGAAATTTACTAGTTGTAATAAACTACTTGCTGCTTTGCTATTAATATTACAAATTTTACCAATGATTTGGGTTCTTTTGGAAAGCCATGTCTATCCACCATTTTTGAACTTTATTTATTTCATCTTCTATCGACTTTGCACTGCGGCTTTATTTTCATTTGTTTTCATGTGCAATTCAGATTCATTGCGAGAATTTTTCACTCATCCACTGGACAAAGAAATTTTTAATGAAAACAACAATTGCATCAATAATAATTTTGAATCAAGTTCTGAAAAGAAGATTGGCCAAGTCGTTCAGACGGATGAAGACAATGCAGTCACACAATCCAGTAAAAAGATTTCTTCTGGACTGAAGAATCGTTTGCTCCACATTTGCTCAACACTTTGGCGATCCGCATATTATGTGCATATCTGCATGATTACATTACGATATTCAATACAACGTTGGTCACTCAATTCAGCAAAGGCACATGTGAGTCCATCTCGGCTCATAAACAATTTAACAACATAATTAATATTTGTATTTATTTTTTTACCCTTTCTTTACAGATTTCAATCGCTATTGAGTGTTTAGCTCTAACTTTTTTCGCAGCGTTTTTCTTCCATCTATTTGTCGTTGGTCCAGTTACCAGTTTAATCTCAACTATAAAGTCAAAGCCACAATTGAAACTTAAAGCAAAATAATCAAACTTAACTAATGAATACAACCAAATCAATGTATTTGTTTTTACTTGATCAACTGAATAAATTTATTTATTTTAAAGGAGGACCTGCAAATGGATAGGGAAAATCTCCTCTTAGGATATTTTTATGAAATGAACTTTTTTTAATGTAATTTTTTATGCTGATTCCGAATATCTGTTTCTTTTTTTGCTAAGACAACGCATTCGAAAAGAAAGTTCATATTATGATTCGAAGGTTGCATTTTTACGCTCGTTAAAAGAGGTCGCTAAGCCAGTCGATTCTATTCGTGGTTTATGTTATCAAGGGTACTGAATAATATAGTGAAGGTTTGGCCACTGAAAAAATAGCCAAACAGGGTTAAAATTGCAAAAAAAAACATTAAAATATCGATTTATTAGTGACCTTTTAGACATAACGAAGATGCCGTCTAAGCCAGCTAAATTTTGCCATAATCAATGTAATCGAGCATGCTGAATAATATGGTGATGGTTTGGTTCCTGAAAAAATAGCCAAACAGGGTGTTGCATGACATTTAGTAAAA